TAATAAGTTTATATAAAGTTTATATTTATATAATAAAATACTTATAATTAAAATAAGTAATTAATTTACCTTATTAAAATCCCTTTTTAAAGCCTTAATAATATTAAATATTATTAAGAGCTATAATTATATATAAATAAAATATATATAGCCTAATAGCCTCTAAGTAATTTATAATAATTACTACTTAACTTTTTTATAAAGCCTATTTTATTTTTATAATTAAATTATTATAAAAAGGTATAAATATTATAAAAAAATTAAAAATCATAAAAAGTAAAAAGTAAATAATTTTTAAGCTTTTATAATAACTTTCTTAAAAAATATTATAAGCTTTACTTATTAATATAATAAAATTATTATAATAATTAATAAAAAAGATAAAAGTAATTATTTTAATAATTAAAAAAAAGTAAAAATAACCTTAATAAAAATATTAAAAAGCTTAATTAATTATATTAATAAATCTAATAATATTATTAATAATATTAAAGGGGAGAAAAATCTATTATAATCACCTTATAATATAAGATTTTTAGGTTAATAATTAATAATATAATAGCCTTAATTAAGGCTTAAAAAAACATAAAAAAATAAGAAAATAAGTAAATATTATAATTCTTATTTAATTATATAAAAATTATATATAAGGGCATGGCAAGAGGGATATATATGTATTATCTTATAGGGGCGCTGTGGGTTACAGCGTCCATGCATACAGCTCCTAATAGATGTACTCTTCTTTCAGACTCGCGACGACTACCAGAACCTTGCTTCAGGAGAATATGCTCATTGCGAAAGGGTTTGCGGAAGACCTTGACGAAGACAAGTATTCCTTCACGCTGATCCACTGTATCCAAACACTGCCATCAGACTACATTCTACGGAGGGATTTGATACAGTTGGAGGCTCTCTTGATGAAAAGGAGGGTTGGAGGTATGCTTAGCCTCGGGGCCAGGCGAGAGATTTTAGCAATAATGAACAAGGCGAATAGCATTGACGACACGCTTGATGTTCTCCGAGAGCTGTACGCTAAATGCAGTCACAGAATTGAAGAGGAAATTTGATAAGGAGAACGTTCCACTGGGTTAAATGTTGCAAAGCCTTTAGCTGTAGAATTTCTAGATTAGGCAGGTACAGAAGATGATTCTGTTCATGCCCATTCCTCCATCACAAGGAACCCTTACCCTGAATGTCGTATGAACAATCGCACATGCCCAGAATTTTCGTCTTTCTTTATCGCCAAAGTAGCACCAAATCTGTGGTTACAATTGTCGCTCTACAGTATTTGTTCCTCAGCTACCCTCACTTCAACTTTCATCCCCCAGGACTGGTCCTTGCCAGCCCAATTCTTCTTCTTCCCTGACTTTTCAATTACTTTCAAGTTATCCGTCACAAGCTTCTTCAACTTCTCCGGGTCGTGCTTGACCTTTCGAATAGAAATCTTGAGCACAAGGCCTTCCTTGGTTCCCTTTTTCCCCAGGGTCGACGACCACGACGAGGAGAAGAGAACCTTCAAATTGGCCGGGTCCACCTTGCCCGAGGGATACAAGCAGGTTATAACAAAGCCAACCCTTCCCAGGTACTGAGCCCACCAGACATCCTCTGGGCTGATGATGCCCCGGAGGGCATCGCGGAACTCCACCTCGCGGGGTGGCAGTTCCCCGCGATACCGAGCTTGCAGCATGAGAGCGAGCCGCGCACGGTCTTGGTGAGACACGCCAAGCGTAGATGCCAGGATCCCGGAGCTCGTCGAGTAAAGCGCCGCCGTGGAAGCCGTCTCTTTCGACATGAACATGTGGACGTACATGACGTTGGTAAAGGCCTCCATGACATGGCCGCCAAAGTCTGGCGGGAATCTCCTGGTAGCGTCCTTGGACGGCTTTGGGATGGCTCCCCTGATGAGCTCTTGGATCTGGAGCCTGGATCCCGGTGCAAAATTCCTGGTGATGACCTCGAGAGGGGCCTCTCTTCGGATCCTCGCAGCAAGTTGTCTGAACAGGTATCCCTCCCGCACACCACCCTGGCAGAAATGCGCTTCCCTGATCCCAAGAGGGATCGCCTCGGCAAGAACATTGACCAGAAAAGCGACGGCGGGGACCTGGGAGCGTCTTCTATCCGAGATGCGAAATATATCACGAGCCGCCTTGGCGGCCTTTTCTATCGACTTTGTGTCTTCAAACTGCTCTCTTCCCACAGTGTAGCCGTTGATGATTGATATGGGATAGTGTTTTCCTTGGGATTGGTTGAGGTACAGAAGTAGGTAACCCCATCCTCGGAAGCCACCTCCAGAGAGATAGATGCGGAATCCGCCTTCTCTCTGCGCCTCCTCCACCATGGCCTGAGGGACCTGAAGCCGCTGGTACGCATCCCTGAAATTACTCACCATTTCTTTGCGCAGCTGCTCTACCGCGTGGTCGGCGTCCTTTTCATCCTTTCCCTTCCTGATGTCGTCGAGCGTCTTGGTGAGGGCTGCCGCTCCGTATGGAAAGCTAACACTCCCGTTTGTGCTCGTCCTGATGTGGCCCTGCCGGCTGATGATCCAGGTAATCTGGGTGCTGCCTCCGCCGAGATCCATGACGAGTCCTTCCATGGTCAGGAAGCCACTTGCAATGCCCAGCGCGCCTATCTGGCCTTCCATTTCCTTTTCAATCAACTCGACATTCTTGCCGGTGGCTTCTTTGATGGATTGGAGCAGCTGCGCCGAGTTCTTGGCCAGGCGGGTGGCTTCCGTGGCCACAAGGTAGATGTGCTCCTCGGGGACGTCAAAGTCTTTGCACACCACCATGAAGCGTTGGAGGACTTCGCACACGGCGGTGATGGTAGTCTCGGGTATGGGGATCTGGTCCCCGGTCTCGGGGTCAAACTGCGCGTCGTAGAGGGAGATGGACGAGCGGTATACTATGACGGGATTGAGTATTCGGGCCAATGGGTCGGAGAGGTCGGTGATGGAAAATCGAATCCCGTTGCTACAGTCGCAGACAAGAATACGAATCTTTGATTAGTGGAACGCCTGGTGAGCGGTAGCTGCGCGCGGAGCTTGACATGTCAATACCTTCCCATGTCAACGAGGCCAACCAGTTTGTCTCGATGGCCCTGCCAAGGCGGGTGGCCATCTCCTGTTGAGGAGGAGACTGAAAGTTCATGGCTGCTTGATAGCAGCGGGGTTTGCGGAATCTCGGGAACGTCGACTTGCTCAAAGTCAGAGAAGTCGGGGCTGTCGCATCGCGCGGCCATGGCGAGAGAATACTCGTGCTCTGTACACTTGGACCGAAGTTGGTGAGCAGTGAGTTTCTAGCGAGAATAAAAGAGCTCTGTCAAGTTTGTGCCATTTCTGTCCGAGTTGAAACGTGAAGCCCCCTGGACCTGTACCGGGTACTTGGCAACGAGCGTCAATGGCTGGGATTTAAGCTTTTCGGGCAATTAATTGACGCAATTGGTTTCGAGATGCTGGTGTGCTCGGTTTTGAGATGGATTTGACGCTAGCCTCTTCGGCACGCAGGAATCGAGACGGGATACAATGGAAATGCTGCAAAAAAAAAAAAAAAAAAAAGGAAATCGGAATACATGTCCTCCATTGACCAGACATTAGGGAATTGGGCATTCTTGTGGACTACGGAATCGCTGCCAGATACTGGCAGCAAACAGACGCGGCCATGAAGGTTCCCGACCCGTCTGAAAAAGACTGGAGCGTGTCGCAGCAAACAAAGCGGTCTGGGATGAACTATTGACGTCTGGTGCGTCATATATGAGTAGCACCCCGGCAGTTGGCTTGTTGGATCCTTGGCCAATCCGACCCATGGCTCGCCCTCCACCAGACGCCACCAGACATGGACTTGACGCTTTGCTCCAATGAGGGAAGCTTACCCTGGTACTGATTCTTGGCCGTGTATTGAGTCTGGTGCATAAGCACATGTAGCTTCAGAATTTGCCTGTCGAACTTGTTCCTCTAAATAGTTCTAATACGTAGCCAACAGCCATGACTGGAGAGACAATGGTCCTTTGCGTTTTTTCCTTTTCAAATTTTTTTTATAAATTTCTTTCACTGATATTACTCCGAGCCATGGTGCTGGAATAATGACAACACTGCGACTGTTTCAGAGTCATGGGACGAGGAATCGGCTGGGGTCTGTTGGATTATTTCTCCATTCAACTTGTCATCGCCTGGCATAAATGGAACACTATTACAACTTCAATGCAGGTGCCGACGGGCTCTTCACTTCCACCAGCAACTTGCCCTGGTTCGAACCATTGTACAAGTCCACCAAGGCCTGCTCCGCGACGGCCAGTCCGCCCTTGACGATTGTCTCCGTCTTCTTCAACTTTCCCTCGGCCAGCCATTGCGACAGCTCTCTCCGGATCTCGGGGATGCGGTCCCGGTGGTCAAACACTATAAAGCCCTGCATCCTGATTCTCATGGTAATCACCCTGGCAATGTTCTTGGGGCCGACGGGGTTGGCCGAGTTGTACTGGCTGATTCCTCCGCACATGACAAACCGCGAGTGCTCCTTGGCCCGCGCCAGACACATGTCGAGAATGTCGCCGCCCACTGGTCCTTGGTCAGTGACAAACATGGCAGAGAGACGGGAGTCGCAGTGACGGGGTGGACAAACCATTGTCGAAATACACGTCAATGTAGCTCTTGGTGGCGGCCTTGAACTGGTCCCTGAAATCAGACGCCTTGTAGTTGAGCGCAACGTCGAACCCGAGCTCATTGACAAGCCAGCTGCACTTGGCGTCGGAGCCGCAGATGCCGACAACGGTTGCGCCCTTGATCTTGGCAATCTGGCCGGCAACGCTGCCCGTCGCGCCCGCGGCGCCGGAGACGACGACGAGCTCGCCGGGCTTGGGGTCGCCGATCTGCGTCATTCCCCACCAGGCGGTCGCGCCGGTGAGCCCCAGGACAGAGAGCATGTCCTGGGGTTCGTTGGCGTTGAGGCCGGGGAACGACGACGCCGGCTCAAACTGGCCCTCGTCGAGGACGGCGTATTCCGTCCACCCGGACATGGCGCTCACGTAGTCCCCGGGGGCCGCCTGCTTGCTCTTGGAAGCGAGAACGCGGGCTGCCGTGGCTCCTCGCATGACCGCGCCGAGCTTCACGGGCGGGAGGTAGGAACGGACGTCTTGCCCACGGGGCTCGTCAGCATTCAATGGCGCTGGTGTTGTTTGGGATCCATGGACACATCATTGACTTCTCACCGTTTAACCAGCCGCGCATGGCGGGGTCCAGGGACAGATAGACCGTCTCGACCAGAATTTGGCCATCTTGCAGATCGGCGGGCGACGGTAAAGGCGTAGTCTTTTGGTGAAAAGTCTGGCCGGGAATAATGGCACCGGTTGGCCGCTCGGCAAGGACCACGGACAGATTGTCTTGCTTCATTGTCGCTGCGAGATGGACCAGGACGGGCGTATTGACATGTCCAGACGGCCAGGCGACATCGTTTATAAGCGTCCTCCAGAAGTCATCTATCCACTTTTCAGCCACGCCAGCAATATCGAGATTGGTAATACAACAGTGCTGGCGTTCGGCTGAAGTAACTGGAATTGTTCAAGTATGAGCACGGCAACCCGGAGACGTTGCCGGATCGGGAGCTGCTATGTTGTAAACCTCGGGAAAGCCCACTCGCCGTGGTGCGTAAATAAACGAGTCGAAGCTAAATGAACGAAGTGTGGGGAGATCGACGTCGGGATTGATGCTGTCATGAAGCCCGGTGTCACTGCCGAGGCTGCAACGATGCTCCGAGGTCACCGAACAAGCTTCCATCTCTCCACGGATGCTTTCTAATGCGTCGAGTACATGTAGGCATGGCTCGGCACGGGTATGCAAATCACGTACATGTTTGCGTTCCAATGGGGTGAAATGCCAGTATTTTCACCGGTAGTCGATTGATTTCTTTTTCTACTACGGCCACTGTGCATCCTTTGACTTTGTAATTGAATCGGCCTTACGACACGGCATAGCTGTTTTTTGCGGTCGCCCATGTTCAAAAGACGTCAACTGATTTAATTACTGTCAAGTAGTCCAATTTTTCATGCAGTAACCTGTCCGTGTCTTCACCATTCCCCCCGGAGAGAATGCCATTATAATCCTGTTGCTGTTCCGCGACAGCCACCAGTTACGGCCACCAAAAAAAAAAAAAAGACTTTGCTGGGGCAATTTGACTTGGTGACAATCTGGAGGCCCACAGCGAATTCCAATAACCAATATAACCGAGCCTTTGAAACATTGAACCCATTTTATGAAAAGCGAAAGTCCCGACTTGGCAACGTCCAAGTCACCAATCCGTCAAGTCACGCACGGCGTTGTTGGTTACTTGTTTAAATGCAACGCGTGCTTGACCTTGTCCATTGTTGACTCCTTCTTGTCATGTTTGGCCTGCTGCCCAGCCGGTGGGTTTGCTACCGGCATCGTCGGCTCTGGCTTGTCTGGATGCATCTGGTTCACATGGTTAGCGAAAAACCTGGCCAGTTGTTGGACTATTTGAAGCGCTGCATACTCTCTCCTCCTCCTCCTCGGCGTGCTGAATCAGGTCGTGGCCCTCGATTACCGCCTCATCCGTGAGTCCCGTCTCGTAATCCGGATGTCTTGGATTGGGATGTGGGTGTGCTGGATCGCTCATTGTGTATTGATGTATTGAAGATGATTGTAGCTTTTTACGTTGCAAGTCAGATCTTTAGTCTCTTGGCCAAAGAGTTGAAAGGTATTCGAGTCAACAATTTGCCACCGGGGCACAGCTTGACCGTTTTATAGCTTCCCCTCAGAAGCATCATGTGCCCGGCGAGAGCATGCCGCCACAGCAGTCAGCCATGTTACAACGGCAACGTCATAGCTTCGTAATGTCCAATAAGATGTTCTATCCCGCCACTTGATCACACCATTTCACTTTGATCCTGTGTCTCTGCTGCATAGTGCGGATTGGGACTGCAAATGGTAACGCCGTCCTGGTTTTGGTGTGAATGACGGGCAAAGTTGAGTAACGAGGCTAACTTTAGGACAGTGTGTAATATAAGTGGATGTTTTGGGCGTGGCTCAAGGGTGATTGTCGTGCGTCATGACATCAATTGCGCTCAGCATCACTGTTTAATACTTATTCTAGAAGCAAGCTCGTTTAAGCTCGACCGGGTTCCAGGAGTAAAATAAGTGTAGGGATGAGACCATCATATCAGATACGATTGTCGATTTATTTGGGCATTTTGAGAGCCCTTTCCTTCGATTTATACTACTTGCTCAGCCTACAAAGACTATCTGGATCGTTAATGAGCTCGTAAATCCATCTAGGTTTGTTTATTAGCCTCTTTGATGATTTACTTTTACTTCGAGAAATCACTACGTTGTCCTCGCGACGGTCTAACATGCCAACGTTGAGTGCAGAGATCTGATACAAATGCAACACACTGCGACTAGAGAGCCTATATGTAACGGCTGGATTCCTCAAGGAATTAAGTACTTAGGGTTTATCTTGGCAGAACTACCCGTGCGGGGGGCATACTCGGATATCCTGATACCCTATTGTCACAAGAAGAACGAGCTCTAATTGGACAGCAAACACACCCCCTTATATTTCTGTTGACACATATGGCCTCTGGTAAATTAATCCGATATCGGGAGAGCAGGTTTACTACACATTACATACACTAGGCACACAGCCAAAGCAGTATTGTTCCACTACATTTGAACCAGTTTTTCGTCAATACGTGATCAATTTGCCAGTGGGCAGTCAGTTATTACCATATCCGAATCACGCCAAAGATTTGTTCGCAAGTGGATTCTATATGCCAGTCTTTCTAAAGTACTTGGATTGGTGTAGGCCAATAGGGAGACAACGGTTTCATCTATTTAATACCCATAGTATAAATTATTTTGTGACTAATATAATATTCGTAAAAGGTTGACTTTTACTGTATCGGACTGAGGCTCGTACCGAATCGTTTCGGCTCCAGTTCATATCGTCATCCGCCATGAAATTCTTGACCCCGACAGTCCACCGAGATATGCAACACTATTATACAAGATAGTCCTGTCATGGTTCATGTCTACGATGAATCCATAAGTCGATCTCACATTAATAACGGAGAATCTCGTATCCGCTATTAGGCAACTCCGATACCCAGACCACCGACGTCCAGTTTGGGCTGATGTAATCTGCATTGATCAGAAGAATACCCTTGAGCGGACCCAGCAAGTTTCCGTGATGGGTGATATCTATCGCTTAGCAAACCCGGTTTTCCCATTTCTTGGGCTTGAAGAACTCTATAGCACCTATGTCCTACAACAACTGGACTTTATTTCTGGTCTGATCAATGTTGATTTTGGCACGGGCTCGTTGACGCCCAGATGTGCTACAGAGTTGCACTGGGTGGACTTGAGTCACGAGATCCCACTTGGAAAGAGAGAACTTACGGCTCTGTATGAGCCCATATGTCGCCCATTGTTTGGGAGACTTTTGATTCGACAAGAGATTGGACTTGGCGGACCTTCTGCCGCCCTACTATGTGGTCCCAAAGGCCCCAAAGGGATAAATTGATCAGACTTTTGCCCTGCAATTTTTTTATTCTTCCGGAAGCCGCTCTCACGAACACTGGATACTACTTCTCGTGTGGCTCCTCGTGATAGGCTGCAGATTGTTGATACCGTTGTCTTGACTTCCAAACGACGCATTTCTCTTACTTCCCTCAGACAAGAAACCAGAGGTGCGGAGTGTTTCGACCCAAGAGATAAGCATTTGGTGTTCTCAACCGGCTAGACGAAGATGAACAAAAACTCGGCATTATTCCAGACTATGGCAAGACAACTTCGGATCTGTATATTAATGTAACATCGTAGCACATGGCACATTTCGAAGAGCCCTATTTTTTGCGGCAGTGTGAGCTGCGGGACTCCCCTGCTATCTGTCTGCCTAGCTGGGTCCCGGACGGCTCTACGCCATTGACCATCTATCACTTGCATTTTATAAATCGACACGTTGCAGAATTGGGACCCAGTTCCTTTTGTATTGAAGGCCATTTCCTTCAAGCTCTAGGCGTCCGCTGTGGCGTCATTAATGATATCATTCCAGTAGATGGAAATGCGCAGCTCTTAAGTAATTTTCAGGCAATTGAAGCAATCAGACTACTATTTTCCCACTTTGCTAGTTTTAAAAAGAAGTAAAAAACAGGAGAAAGCCTTTTGGAGGCATTATGCTCCATGCTATGCGCCGATAGTTTCGCAGAGTGGTGGCATCCGTACGTACTGGGAGGCGAATGCCCTGCGAATCACGACTCTGTCAACTTCATCATGCGTATATTTGGCGAGGAGCCAAAACAGTCAGTGGAATCCGCTTCAAGACGTTCTACGGCTTGTAAAATGCGGAGTCTCTTCATGATGAACGACTACATGGGCCTAGCACTAAAAAAGAAAAAAACAAATTGGGGATGAAGTAGTCATTCTTTTCGGATCCGCAACTCCTCTCGTCGTTCGTCGATAGGCCATGCATCAAATGCATCTTCTTATCGTCTAGTTGGAATCTGCTATGCACATGGCCTGATGCAGGGTCAGCCGGGTGTGGGGGATCTTCCCCCATATATCAAAGACGTCTATAGCGTAAACTCAATGGCGAACTTCTTTTTTAAAGGCTACATGGACGTAAGAAAAGCTACCAGACATATGTAGTAGCGTATTTCCAGAGGATGATCCACCAGACATATGGCACCTTTTCTGTCTGGGCAGGTGCGGAAGGGTTTTCTTGAATCTCCTACTTACGCAGAACTCCAAAAGGCGGGTCCTATGAGAGAATTGAAAGCGGCTGGAGTCCCTATTGAAGATTCCATTTTCTTATAATCAAGGAGCCTAAAGACTTGGCCAGGAGGCAGGTGGAATGCATGTCACACCACCGCTGATGAGATTTATGCACTTTTTTTTGTGGTGTGTACACGCACCACCTAACTGGTCTTCTATTTGAATAACAGGGAAATGCCATTTTAATGGTTAAATAAAAGTGGTGTGTCTGAGCTATGGGGGAAATCCCAAGGAATCAATGATCTCTGAGTCTTCAACCAGGCTTTGCATAGCCCGCCGACAAGTCTGATTCCTCGCCTTGGGGCTCTTCTCCTGAAGGCGGTCCTGGTGATATGGAATTCATAAGAACTACGTTGAGAATCCTGGCCCATAATAGTTCTAGGAATAGAAGATAGTGGAATTTCTGGATCTCGGCGTTTACGGTCATCGACCGAACTTCAGGAACAGCTCTCGTTCTTCCCCGGCGGGTGGAGGCAAGGTGCCCGACGTCAGATGCGGAAGAAGGCTGGCTCATTCTCGAACCATCTTCCCAAGGTACGACCGGTACCCATTTCCCCGCCCTGGTGACTATTAAGGATATTCCGGTCTTGCGGGAAAAACGGTGATGGAACGAACCAGCATAATCCCGGATTGGATTCCACATCTCTTGGCCCCAGTTCACAAGTATCCCCTCTATGTATGTTATTAAGCACTTGACCCAGGTGCCCTTTTTTTTGGCTGGGTCCCTTTAAATGCCGGTGTCGGGATTTACTAGCAATTACGACAGCGATTACCACAAGCCGGCTTCTCCATGTACCTTGATATGTAAATTTATATGAAAAAACACATGTTGATTTTCCCGGCCATAAAGCAAGGTAGGCGATAAATAGCCAATTAAAATCGAGGAAGTTGACGAGTATTGGCCCGGATATCGCGAAATAGCGTTATACGACACTAATTCCCGGTCAAAGAGATGCCGGAAGATGAAGTCGGGCCAACTATTCTTGGGCGGGACATGGGTTCGCGTTCCTATCTAACAGAGTATTTGCTTGGCATGTGTTCAGATTTGCCATCTGCATGGACACGCCGATACGCAGCCCACGCTTCGTAGTAAATACATCAGACGGCCTGAATTGTCACGATCTTTAAAACACTGCCTAGTTACCTAGCCATGGCGTTCCAGCGGGTTGGTTACCACGAAACTGGCCTGCACTTTGCATAGAATCAGCGCTTGCTGATATGCACATTACCTAGTTACTAAACAGACGCATCAGTCGACCGTAAAATTATCTTCATCTTGGAAAGAGTAACTAATTACGGTAGTTGATTGTTTGTTACGTCCCGGAACTAGGGAATTGGCCCACATACGGACGCCGCGGAATTTCACCCCTTTTACATACAGCCTTTTATTAGCTAGGATTAATACAAGGACACGCACGCAGGGGCTCGGGTTGAAAAAGCCTCGCCTTCATCAATAGTCGATGAACCGTTCCTTGGTAGGGCGTAGGGCAGTGCGAGGGGAAATATGGGGTTTAAATTATCGTACCAAACTTGTCGAGCCGTAGACACCGGCATCAATAGCCTTATGTCTAGGCCATCAAGGGACCTCCCCCTAGGCGGAATATGGATTAATGTCCGCACTCTATCCGTCGCCCCAAATACGAGGAGCTGGTGACTCCACCGGGGGGCAATGACGTATCAATGCCTCAATAAGTTCAATGTTCTTTTGTAAAGCTGCGCAATACCTAGTTTGGAGAAATGCTATCCACAGCTGTATTCATAACGCAGCTGTCCGGCTGGATGTGCCCCTGGAATGACTCGTTTATCTCCCAAGTCACTCCTCTAAGCCCAGCTATGCTTTATCTCGTCATCCAACGTTTGCCTGAAGCCAAGATCGGTCGTGTAAATAGTTTGGCCATGATATGGTCTGGGCTAGGCCCGAGCTTTCCTCTAGACATGGCTATATAGTGTCAATTAAACGAGTCACGAGGGAACTGTTCAATGCGTACCCTTTTGCTTCTACGGTATTCTGGTTCGGACTTGTGCGAACACTAATGATTTGCCTTGTTGGGCTAGACCTGACAGGCCATCAACAAGATGATTTTGTTTCTAATATTGTACCATGTACGTTATGCATAATCATACCATATTCGACAACGGTGTTTCTGCGCAGCTCTTAGAGAATGCCCCTACAAGGCTGAAAGGTCTAAAAATTAGCAAAAGAAATGGTGACATGTGAGTATAAAAGATATAGAGATGCTGCTCGTATATCATGGGAAAGAAAGCAGGAGCCATCTTCCAAACTCATACAAACTCATATTTACACTCTACACTATCAAGGCCATTGTTGTCAAGACGTTCAAGCCACCCTTTCTCAACTTCTACCAACATGGTGGCTGTGTCTTTACTCGTGGGTGTTGGCAAATGGGTTGCCACATTTGCGGTGAAAGCAGCCTGGAAATCTCTTTCACAGCATGATGCTGCACATACCACTGAGCTGCTACAGAGTATTAGTGCCGGGCAACACGAAGTAGCCCGGCAGATTGAAAATTTATCTATCAAGGTCGAGATTTTAGAGTCTATGAGACGCATTCTATATTGGTCAAAGCGTATGGACGAGGTTATGGATGATTTCAAGAAGTACGTTGCACTATTATACGCCAATAACGAATAACATGACTGATATTGTTTAATAGACTCAACGGCGGACAAATCAATGCGACTGATTTGGCCTATGCTGAACTTGTCTCTGCACTTCGGGACGAAAACCTTGGTATTCGCTATAGTACCTTCTCCATCTATAATACGATTATGGGTTTACCTGGTCAGGATGCTGGCGCGATATACGTTTGGCATAAACAGGCAATATCGAAGTTGAACGATGAAAAAAACCTCTATTATCACATGTCTGATTATGTGAAAGAAATGGACAATCATTTAGGCCCGATTACGTATCTTCTTCGTCAAGGGCTTGTATTAAGTTTGTTTACATCGCACAGTTCGTCTCCTCTCTTTTTTTATTATTCGCAATTACTGTATTGAACCAATTTCACTGACTTCATTTATAGCCGAGACTGACGCAGAACGTCTACATAAAGAATGCCAGGACCAAGTAACGACGATTTCCAACACGCTATTGAAGCTCTACCCGCCTGGCCTTCGCTTCCTCAAGCCGGGCCTTGAAGATTCCGGTAATCAGGATGGCAGTCAGTGGTTGAAGTGGCAACAAGCGGATAATAGCAATCACCATCTCGTCATGCACAACTTTTGGATTCCAGTCCTTAGCAGCGACAGAAAGCCGATACAAACTAAAAAGCCAGAGGCCTGGGTATTCGCCCTCCAGCAAAATGAACAGCCCCTTGGTGCAATGCAGTTTCTATCTGCTTGGGAGAATAGAGGCAATAAGCGTCTGCGGTACAGCAAGATGTACCAACAAGGATGGAATATTAACTTTTCTACCAGCAAAAAAAGTGACACGAGTGCAATTTTATTCAAGCTCATACCACTTGAAGGTGAAAGGCCTGAATTCCGTTTTGTCCCATATCTAGAGGGTTCAATGGGAATTGTGAGCGACAAGACTCGCACCTTTGAAAAGAAGTTTGTACCTGTTGTTTCCAAGTAATTAGATATGATGGTGTGGGTTATCGCCCGCAATCGGGCATTTGGGTTGTACGTGGGAAACTCACCGTAGCTAGATGCCTGAGATGGCTAGCAGGTTATATTCGAGCTGATTCCTTAAAGTCTTTGAACCAATATTTGCCAGCAAGAATACAAGCACACATATGGCACAAAGAGTCCCGTACACCGTACAGGTTATAATATACGGTGTCAGTTATACGTTGTGGCCTACTTTAAACTTTCCTTAGCAGCTATCACCCATCAAATTCAACAATACCGTCACCGTGTCCTCGCAGCCCCGTCACAGCCGTCGCCGAGATCTTGGCGTGCCAAATGTCTGTCTGGATATGGCCGTCCGTGGTACTCACCTCTTGGTGTGTGCAGTCGTTATAAATAGTATATTTGGGGCATGGATAACCTGTGATGCTAAATTGGTTGCATTTACTTTCTCTTTTTGATAGATTGAAACGTCCGGGGTCACAGTCTGAGAAAGCAGGAAAATTGATAGCCATGAGAGAACAAGTTGGCAGAACTATGAGGTTATAATACTTGAATTTGCTGGTGCTATGTCTTAGTCGACACGGTAACTAGCAGTTGCTTGTGAAACGATCGATGTCCCACCCATGCGTCCGTAAACCCCGGTGTTGAATGGCTTCGGTGAGTACGCGTCTGATGATGATGGCACGGCGGAGTTGAAAATGTAGGATTAAGGCAAACAATGATCAGCTACATATTATATATATATATAAGCATCAGAAAGCCATGAACTAAGATTAGGTTGCTATCGGCAGTGTATTTTGAGGGCTAAGAGTTGGGGGGAGAATATTTTTCACTTCTAGTAAACATATGTCTGGCACCGACTCATTGTCGAAGACATGAGATACAAGCCTCTTCTATTGTGATGAGATAGAGAGTTATATATAACTGTAAGCGCCACTTCAGTACACCTCACAGATAATTCCTCCAAAGTGAACAACGACTCTGACCGGATTGAGCTGCGTCGCGGTATATTGTCTAAAGGAAAAATCGATACGCCTTGCCCTAAACCCAAGGAAGACGACAACGCGCAAGGAAATTGAATTGTACAGACTTTTACAACTGCCGTAATGTAGTAGGAACTGTGATGTTTATGGAATACAATCCCAGCCGGTATTAATAAATATGGGTAGAGAGTCTTTTAGCATCACAATTGATAGCCATGGATGGAATTGAACAGTAACGAAGTCCTTGGATTGAAGTTACCTTGCTACGGAAAACAGGCCCTTATTATAGCTATTACAGGTTATCTATAAGTTATTAGGAAGCTCCGGAGCTGTGGCTACAGCATTTATAGGTGGCTTTTTAGGCCAGTTTGAGGCTTTTCGGTTGTGCTGATAGCTGCTATCATTGAAAGCAGGCCTTCTGGAGGCTTATGCCGTTGAAATTTAATGGCCGGGTGGAATTTTCCACGATACCGTAAGAGACATGTGAAACACATTAAAGGATAAGGCCGGGAGATGCTATTGGTATATCCACATGGCAACTTGGCTAAATTGAGGACAGAAAAACGTCTTGCTTTTTTAAAAGGCAATTTATGATATAATTACAACAAAAGTACAGGTTCACCGCAAATGTGCCTCCATTTATGGAGGTAGTGGTGTCATTTTTTGGAAGTTGGGATGCCGCTTTTGGAGGACAATTTGCGAAGCGCCGGTGCGGACCACGCCGGGCCCCACCCATGCACGCCCGCGTCAGCTGTGCCCGGGGGCCCACAACACGGCGCTTGTATTATTTTTAATTTATTCTGGATGTGGTAACTATCTAGTAGCTGGGTGGCTATATGAGCAGGAAGGAAACACGGCGCCCACCGTTAACATGGTTTACTGTATAACCACTTTATCAACTGCTCAAACATGGCCACAAAAAGGAAATCACCACGCATTCAGCATCCTCCGGAATACTATCGGTCGAAGCGTAAACATCTCGCTAAGCATGGTGCCATTCGAAAGCGCCATGCAGACACGACCAAAGTGAATATGCACGGGGTCAAGTTGAAATGGACGAGGTGAGCGACAGTTCATGGTTCTGTAACGTAAACTCTAATGCAATTAGGCACTGCTGCCACTTGTCTGTCAATGACATCAGTCACCTCGAGAATGCCTCCAAAGAAGACATTATGACGTTTTTAGAGTGGATGCTGGATACGTACCGGCGAATACGCAAACGAAGCACTGTTCACGCATATAAAAGGATCCTTTTTCAGGTTTACCGGAAATCCGTTGGTGTTGATTTCAACAACCAGGCAAATGAAGAGATCAATGATGTGAGATCAGCATACCTTGAGAGCAAGACACCGTTCAGAGACCTCGACTTACACCTAGTACAGTATATTAATGGATATCTCACAATTCGTTACAAGCTGGACACATCTATTAATGAGAAGCCGGTTATGGATGTCGATGACGTTTACTTAGTGCAGCATCATCACTGGGTCCACGATACATCTGTCTTTCCGGACGAGCGCCAACGAATACAACTGGCACTTCTGATCCTTCTGCAAGCATACACGGCAACGCGTCCGAGGGTTTTTGCGTACAAAAAGCTGAACAGGAAAGCCATCAATGATCACTATTTTAGTATTGATGATGAAGATACAGAATCGGAAGACTATACGGAGGAATGGGACCCGAAAGAAGATGACTTTAAGACAATTACATACGGCGACGTCAAGTTGATACTTATCAAAAACCCGGAAGAAGGAAGAGATCTTCCAGCAATGGAAGTGACGCTTAGGTATACTAAAGGGTGGGAGAGGAGAGAGAATCCGTGAGTATTTCAGCATGAGGGCAGCGTAATTATCGCCTAACGGTGATTGTGCAGGAAAACGTTCATTTTCTACGAGGTGGATGACCTTTTATTCGATGCCGTCCTTCATCTTTTGGCTCTTGCCATTCTGGATCAAGCCTTCGAGGCAAATATTCAAACAGTTCAAGACTTCTACAAGATAAAAGTCCGCCCCCCTAGACGCTCACTTGAGTTTGAATGGAGAAAGGACATCTCAAACAAGCCCATCTTTCGACAAGCGGTGCCAACCAGCGACGGAACGGTCCGAACATCCGACACGGAGGCACTCCGTTATCATACGTACCTTTACTACCTTCAGAGGCTGGGACTTGTTACGGGGTTTATGCAAATCTTAAATCCATACTGCATCCGACGCGGTGCTGGAGAAGGTGTTGAAGGTAAGATGTTGTCGTTGGTTTCTGTTGCGCGAACTAACTTTATCTAGCCGTTGCGACGCAGGCGCAACTTCAGCAGGTCATGTGTCATATAAACGCAGCCACCTACCAAGCCTACATTAACCAGCGCGTCCAGTGTGACACTGTCGCGGCCTTCCTTGGTCGCCCTTCAAACAAGGCTTTGTTGAAAGCAGCGGGTCATATGAGTCGCAACGTCGACCCGCGAGCTCCAACCAATGCCAGTCATCTTGAACTTGAAAACATCAGAACAAATCCGACGCTGGTCAAACTTATTGAGCTTCGGGATAGCCTGAGCCGAGAAGTTCGTCGTGAGTCGGGGAGCATTAGAGAAGCAGAAGTGCATGGCACAAAACTGCATCAGCTGTATCGTACCGTGGAAAATAAAGTACGATCAACGAGAGCATATCTCCGGAAGCTGGCCAAAGCAACAACACGACAAGAGTTTTTCAGCACGATCAGCACCCTAGAAATAAATTCTCAACTGGAGGATGAAGCCGGTTCACTCCTTGACCTTGGCCCCGATACGTGGAGCCCCCAACCTTCTTACAATCTGGAAGAGCGCCGGCTGCTAGCGGAGCTTATATGCGCCGATACGTGCGATTTAGATGATGGAATGAAGTTGAAACATCGCATTTATACTACAAATGCAATGATACTGCTTGGGAGAGAGCGGGAACAGCGGCGTGTGAAGTCTGGGGCGAAGATCAAGACGGATCACTTTCCCACAAAATGTGAGACGAACCAATGCTTCATGTGCTTCTGGGATGACCGTGCGCCTCCAAGTCAAAGGTTTAAAAAGTTTTGCTCCTCTTATCGAGCAAGGGATCACCTCATATCTCGGCATCTCAAAGGGCTTGTTGAACACTCGGTGATGTGCCCTGAGCCAAGATGCCGAGACAAGAAGCTTGTGTTCCACGAACTTCAATCCTTACAAGCTCACCTGACAGCGGCTCATAGCTATAATAACTTCAACAGATATAAGGGTCTGGGGAAATTTTGATTAACATCAGAAGTGTATGATAAAGCAGTGATCGGAGTTCAAAGTCTGTCAGGAAAGATCTGTCAGAGTCGTTGTCACGCTAAAGGAGAACTTCACTAGATTTTGGGGTACAATGTCATTCTAAGCTACGGGTCCTTACAAATTTTGAGTAACTAGCCAAGTGAATGACCATGATAACTTAAGGCACGTTAATTCAGAATCGCGCACATCGCCAACAGGCAATTATAACCAAGTTCCCCCCCTGACACTTGGTTTCCTGTGCAATTGAGACATCGCATGACCGCCCTGACTGGCCTCCCACTGAGTGAGTACGAGATGGCATTAGTAACTCTTTCTTTGCCGTGGCTAAGGAACTGTGTGCAAACTGGAAATATTGACACATGGTGAGCTTTTAACTCCCACATTCCGGTGCAAGACTCTCATCACTTATCAAGTATTCAATTGTAGAAGAAAGAACTTCGAGCTACTGCAGAAGATCAAATTTTTGAGAGACTCAATTTAGTTCATTTGTAAGCTATAACTAGGCACATATTCAGATAGGGAATACTCCACTGTCGCCTATGGCCTGGCGACAGGCTTGTATAGCCTGATGTGAAATATTCTCCAAGACGTCGTGCTTAACAGAGAAGTCTCTTCTACATGGTATCTGTCAGAAATGTTGATGGCATGGGCTCGTAGATACGTACATCATGCTGTCTGCCTTGTCTGAATACGCGAACGCCAGGAATAGGGATCCGCCTGTCATTTTGTCTAAACGTTTTCCCCAACGTGGGCGAAGATCACCGAGAGTTTTACCCGACTCTCCCTCAACAGCCTGGAGGTACATGTCGCGCTTGATGGTGGAATTGCCTTGCCCGCGGCGGCCACTAACATGTCCTTTCTGTCTCTCGCGACCGATGATTCTATCAAGTGACTCCAGAATTCTTGCCAACCGTATGTAGGCGAATCGGTGCTTCCAGCGCGGTAGACCTTCGTCCGAAAGAATGCTATCAACTATCCGGATAGCTGCGAGGGCGTTAAGAATGGTTGCGTTTGTGCCAGTCACCGAAGTGTCCAAAAGCAATTTGGCCCAGAAAAAGTGAATCTCCTCAAAATGGACTTTGAATGTCCGCCATGACTCTTCCGGAATTAGTGGTTTGAGTAATGAGAGTTGTTCATTAGACAAGACCTGGCCTGGAGGAGCCGTGGCACCGGTTTGTGTTGGTGGTAATGCGAGAGAATCCATGTTTGCACAGCAAGTTGAGCAGTGAAGTATAACGACAAACGGCGATTATTATATGTAGCGCTCATATTAACAATAGTATGAGGTAGCGGCCACCTAAACTTCATTTCCATATCCAAAATCAAATGGCATTGGATTTGAAATTAGAATTTAAAATTGCAATTAAATATAATCTTCACGTCGAGGGAGTCCGACATTTTGAGATGAAGTCGCGGAGGTAGCAGGGAAGGTGTACTCTTCTACTTGGAGGTACTTGGTATACTTGGATGAATTATGCTGGCTGGGATGTGTGCGAGGATGGATGTACTCATTTCATGGATGTACTTTGACTTTGGGGATGAATTCCGGAGGATGGCGTGTGAAGACAGCATAATCCTTTTACTTGATGTACTGGAATTTAGAGATGGATGTACCATCTGGGATGGAGGTACTTGGCCGTCAGATGGGTTTGTTCCTGTTCGGTTGTTGCGTAGCAGATGGATGTACCCCGAGCCCTGGTGGTACGTTGACGGCTAGCCGCTGAGCGCCGGTCTGTGGGTGCTCTGCATTTCCTAACTTTAATACGAACAGCGAGCTGCAAGTGGGCCAGACTCGCCATACATTACCTCTAACTCCGATGAGGACAGAATAATAATGAAAATTAGGAAGGAAAAAACTGAGCGTATGCGGCTTGTAGTGATGAAGAAAGAACCAGTCATATTTGTTCAGGGCAATGGTTTTGGAAGTTGCCTGTTGCTAGGTGTTGAAAGAATGCCCTTCGAAAGAGTGCCCTGCAAAAGGAGTGGGGTAGTTATTGTCATGGTGTTTTTGTTAAAGATAGGGAACCCTGAGCACCCTACGACACACTGACCTCCCGGACTATGGGAAGGAGATTTTTTTGACCCCGGCCCTCCCTTTTTTTGCTGTGGCCAGTTGTGTTGCCAAGCACAAAATGGTGGTGCCTGTGGCTATGGCCGTACCTTTTTGCTACATCACTACGACAAGGATCTTTTTGACGCCCTGGTGGGTCTATGGTCCAGAGCACCAAGTCAGCGCCTGGAACGGGACCTAAAGATAATGCGTTAGTGCGAAATCGCACATTCCTCCGCGCCTCTCCTCTAGGGTTTCGCGCAAGCCTGCAGTGCCAGTCCGTCACGGAAATGCTGGAGCCCACGTATGCACCGTAGGCCTAGCTCCTGTGTCATCAACATGTTGAAACTTTGGAATTTAGGAGCTGGGGTGACTTGTAACAAATTACAAGCTTCGGAGGAGTAATAAGCGTTCGCGGGGGTTACCAGCAACTTGGCGCCGTAGGTGCCTGGCCCACCGGAATTGACTGGTGTGGTTACCAGTCATCCCACGGTGCGCCACAGCGGTTACCAGCATCCTTAGGTTGCGCATTGGTGGGTTACCAGTCACGACGATAGGCAAGCTACCAGCACAAATGGCTACCTGCATCAGCCATGTAGTAATTGCTGGTAGCGCTCAAGTGCTGGTAACAAGGACGTAGCGATTACTGGTACCTCTCGACTACCAGCAGTAGCGCTTCAGCGGTTACCAGCACACTAGCAGTCAAAGCTGGTTGGTTACTGGCACCTATTGGGCGGAAAGTTGTAGGTACTAGTAGCGGAGGTCTGCAAGTTAGTGGTAACCTTGCCCCCACTAGATGTCCGATTAGCGGTTGGTGGTAGCTCTAGACGCCTTGTTGCTGGTATCTGTAACAAATCGCTACTGGTACACCGCAGTTACCATCATCCTGCCCGTCTGGGTTACTGGTAGGCAGAGAATACTAGCAACCTGTACCGCTGGCCTGCTGGTAGCGCCGTCATACCAGTACCTGAGCGACGAAGATTACTGGCACCCATCGGGCGGGAAGTTGTAGGTGCTGGTAGCGGAGGTCTGCAAGTTAGTGGTAACCTTGCCCCCACTAGATGCCCGATTAACGGTTGGTGGTAGCTCTAGTCGCCTTATTGCTGGTACCTGCAGTAGCTACATGATTGGGCCGAACGCAGTAGGAACAATGAAGTAGTCGCTACCAGTATTTTAAGCACGCCTGCGATAATCCACGGCACTGCCCTACGCTCTTTCATTCGCCTCGGAATACATCAGCCACTACCATAAAACGTATCAAAGATCGTTCAATTAAATGAAAGGACACTTCAGAAACACTAAAGCATGCGCATTTAGACTATCGACTGGCACCAATGCACTATAACTAGCGAAACTACCTAACGCAGCAGAGATTACTTGATTACCTGATCACCTGGATACAACAAGGTAAGTACCGTCGTGCTATTTTAAATGAGGGAATTTGTGGCAGCAATACGTAACCACCGAACCGGAGTTTCAAAACTGAGGGCCATTTCTTTCGTTTGCTTCAATCCTTTCCATCAACTGCGGACTCAGAGACTCATCGTATACCCACGTATCCTCTTTAGACGGCCGACCATGCCAACGTAAAAGGTGTTGGCGCCTTCCAGCTCTCTGTCGGGTTTTCAAAACATCCACGCCCGCGTCAAAGCCCCGCCAACTTGCCTCAAAGGTATTCAGCATTCCCTCGTCTATGATGTGTTTTCTCGGCTCCCACGTCGTGGTCGCATCAGCCCATTTCACCAAGAAAGTGTGTCGCCTCCACCGAGCAAGCAGGCAATCCATTCGGTAAAGGTCGGGGCAGACACTTGGGTAGGCGGCGTGGATAGACTCCCGCGCTGTATTCGCCGTGCATTGGTTGGATTTCTCCTTTGCGGTTTTAGGTCTCCGATTCTGGAGTTTGTTTGGTGTCTGGTGACCTTTTGGGGCGGGATCGTTCTGTGAAACTAGCGTATTCCACAAAATGTCGCTGGTAAATTGTAGCTGGAACATCGCAGTGCCATTCTCTCTGGTGCACCTTAGGACTGGCTGGCCAAGTGGCCATGCCTCGTGGCTGGCAACACTGGAACTAACAGGCGGTTTTTTGTTTGCAACAGACTCGTCGTCGTTGCTTTTCGTCGTATTCCTCAGCAAGCGTGCCTCTCGATTTCGCGTAGGGTCCGAACGTAGGTCCGAACGTTGCTGTGAATTACGCTTCTTGGGCTGACGGGACACAAGCTTGCGACGCTTGCGTTGTGGCATAAGCTTTTCGTCAATCCCGCCGTCCTTTGGTTCCGCGGTGAGTTGCCTTTTGGGCGGGAGAGGGCGAAGGTTGTAAGCTTTTCCGGAACCACGACGACTAGTTGACCGCTTTTCCGTTTCTTCGCAGGGTTCATCCAGCTGGCTCGCTGTGTCGTCTGCATCGATGCTTGTCTGGCGCTCGTCGTCCCGTCCTTGACCAGTTGGCAACGAGCTAGGGCAAGAACCCAGGGGCGAAATATCATCAGCGGCTTGGTGTTTCTGAATGGCCTCCGTCAAAGCTCCTCGATGCGAGACTGGGTGGCTGCATCCCGACGGAGGTGTTTTGACTGAGGCGGGTCGAGCTACACTGGGCAGTTCGTTGTCGCTTCGCGGAACTACTTCACCCATACGGCCATGGCCAATATTGATGCTATGAGCTTGGACGAACTGGTTTGAAAACAGGGCACTGCAATTCTGCGATTGAGAAGGCTGGACGAGGTTGGTCGCCGATCGGCCGGGAGGATCTGTTTTCTCATGGTGCAGTGCTTCATCCCTCGGAGGCAACGCAGTTGTGGACTGCACTGAACAACACTCGGAGGCCGCTGAGACGACACAAGGTCTTCGGATAGGAGTGGGCCACACCACGCTTACTCCATCATCATGTTGTTGTATTGGCGGAGACACCAACATGTTAGAGTCGGCGATGACCCCCGGACTCTCGAGAGCCATTGAGGGGAAAATCACTTCTCTCGAAGAGTTTGAGGTTAATGAATTGGGACTTTCCCACTCATCTGGTAAGCAAAGATCCTCAGATGAGCTCCCTAGGATCGTGTTAGGCATTGCCGGACATTGGAATTTGGTTTGCAATTGCTTACCGATTGCTTCTGTTGGATCATGTCTGACGTTAATCAGTGACGCCATAATCTCAGAGATAGAAGGAAGCGAGTCGTCACGGTGTTGATTGTGTACCAAGTGCACGCGCGGGACATCTTGTTCCACCACCTCAGCATCACTATCTGTGTCAGACTCGGAATCGGACGGGATCGATATCACATCTTCCAAAGTCCACGGACGACCAAGAAAGGAACAGACTCCCGCTGTTTGTGCCATCATGCCGGTATAGTGTAAAAGAGGGCTTCTAGAGAGTCTGCTAAAGTTGAAGCTATGAAGGTGAAAGCACACGAACTCGGTCAGTCCGTCCGTGTGACCTAACATCGAGGTAAGGAGGCCCTACCTACCTGCTGGCAAAGTTGCAGGAATCCAAGCTGTGACTACCCGCGCCACTTACAAGTCGAGGACGGTGAATTTATGAGGAACGATAAAATCAAGATCAAAAAGTTTCACGCAGTATCGTGGGGGGGCTGACCCCTTTATATACCCGTTCGTACTCGGCATCACGTACTTCGTAGCTCTGCTACCAAAGCCTCGTCATGCCTCCAAATCTCCACTCATGCGGCCATGCGGCCTGTGAGATAAGTTTATGGTACTCCTCATTGGCAATATTATCCTCGCTTATGTTTCTTGCTCATCAGTCACACAGCCTGAATCTCGCGTCCTAGACCATGTTGTCGAGAGGAAATACTGGTGTATATATTCAACTAAATGAGTGGATGCTAGAAGATTTCTAACAGGTTAATGCATACGAAATGAGACGTCGCGATCCAATAAATGGTGCCCTTATACTGATGACGGACAACACAAGTCTCCTTATACATTGTCCGTTTGGCCCAGATTCCCTGTCTCTATTTCCACTTTTACCCAACCAGACCCATCAGCACCCTCCGAGTCGGTCACGCTCGATGCCCTTACGGAATCATTGTGTTGAGATTCCTGGGTGGCTTTCGGAGGTTGCCAGTCTGAAGACACGCTTGGAAGAGTATATCCAGGACTTTCTTGCCGGTTCGTGGTGCCGAAAACATCGATGGAGGGGTCGACTTTCATTTCTAGAAAGCTCGAAGCATTAGCAGTGGGAGGCCTTCGGTGTCCTCTGTCAATTCCAGTCTTCTTCTCCGCCACATTTTCTCCAGAGTCCTCGGCGGCGGGACCGCCAACCGAGAATAAGCTCTCCTTACACACATTTTCCAGTCCAGGCAAATCCTCCTTGCTTATCAGGGGGAGACCAGTTGTTACGTCGCTAAGATCCTCCTTCCACCAGCTTTGAAGATCTAGCCTGCGTAAGTCTTCCTCAGTCATCTTGCGAGAGCCTTCATTCAAGTCGAAGTCCACGTCAGTGTCCCAAGTCTCAGCAGAACTTTTGGTCTCAAACTTGTCATAAGGCTTCTTGGTCCCAGGGACCGACGGACGTTCAGGGGAAATTTGTTTTCCCATTTCGACCCTGAAGTTGTCACTATCTTGAGTAGCATCGACTTCATCGAGAACTTGCGTGTCTGAAGTAGCATGTGTAAAAATATCCACAGAATAGATTTGGAGTCCAGGAACACCGGTACTTGTTGCAAGTTCTCTAGCCTTATCGGGATCGTCGGGGTAACAGTCAGTCCAAGGAATCACCGATACATCCCGCAGCGCAAATGGAGACTCCGGCCGTTCAGAGGCGCTAGGAATCTTGCGAGAGCAGGGGGAGTTGATGTCAGTGTCCCCAGTTGCTGCAGTATCTTTGGTCTCTGCAAGAGGTAGAGTGCGGGATTCTGCCACCGTGGGGGTACCAACAGCACTCAACGAGACAGACCGCAAAGCTTTGCAATCCGTATCTTTGCGTGGTGGAGTTGGATAAAGGCCAGAAACTTGGACGAATGGTGCGCCAAGATGGTACTGATTGCTGTTTTTTTCTAACGTTTCTCCTGTCTCGCTGAACTTAGTTTCGATCCATGGAGGAAGGCCAAATGTCACGTTTATGCCCCCGTAGCTCTCGGTTCGGTTGCCTAAAGCAACTGATGATGCACTAGGCTTGGGGGTAGAAGAGTCGTGGATACCATCATCAGACTTTCCCTTATTAGATGCTGTTTTTTCTGTGTGATATTCACGAACATTCTCGTCGAAAGGCGGAAGGCCGTGGTTTACGTCCATGCCCTCGTGAATTCCAAACTTCAGCAGATCTTCCTCAGTCCACATCTCAAGGAGAGAACTTGCGGGTACGTCCTTGCTAGTGTCCCAAATTCCCAATGGAGATGTGGACGTGTTAGAGTACGGCCCACTGCTCTGTCCAGGAATCAAGTCTCCCAGATCGGGGTTGGCATCAGTATGGGGTTTATAGATCTGTCCACTGCCAATGTCGAGTTCATGAATACTAGATGCCAACTCAGCAGGGGCTTCCTCGAAGATTTCGGGCCTCGATATTTTGTGAAAAGGAGCTTTCGTAACATCCGAGGGAGCTGCGACCGACGGTTCATTAGAGGAAATGCCATGACCACGATGGAGTGGAGTTGAAAGAACACTGGTTTCCTTTGGTCAGCATGTTTCGAGTCTGATACTTTGCTACAGCAAGTTATATCTTACCTTCCAGAAGGTTCTTTCTTGCCATCGGATTTTATCATCCCTTTCATCCACAAACCTTCGTCCTGCGCCTCGACCTGGGAGACAGGAGTGGCAGGGCGGGTTTCGGGAGCAGTTGGCACCTGACTGGGAAGAGACATCGTGTTACGCAATTGAACAAATCAATAAGATGTTTAGACTTGAAGTGACAATATTCTGGTGTTGTTATCTCTGGCTCGTAGATTGTCGGAGAACAAAGATCTTTCTCTGGGAGGTAAGCCTTATATAGACGGTCAAGTCATTTCTTGTATCTAGCACATAGCGCTGTTCTCTCAGGGAGGAGATAATGGCGATCGCGTTGCACTTCCGAGTCGATCCATTCAGCCAGAACTAAATGGCCGAACCAACACGGATATGCAGTCTCAAAGCCGTTTCTGCAAACCGCTCTTTTTGGTGAATGACGCTGCATCTATGGATTGAAACCATGGAGTTCCCCGAAGCACACTAGATCAATCGGAGTTGTCACATTCTGCTTGGATACGCAGACGCAGCGATATTCCTGCAAGTCTCATCGATGTTGGCTCGGAAAGTTGGGGCAAAGTCATGTATGAGCCTGCAACAAAGATGTGCCGCTTATCCAGGAAGTACAAAAACACAACCAGCTGACAGTTTGATCACACAATTTGAGACGCACAGATGCAAAGGCCCTCCGCCTATCCCAACGCAAGCGCCGGCGCCCCATATTTATCCAGCACATAGCAAATCAGCACTCGATATTTTACAGGGTTATACTCAAACAACTGCAGACCTGCATAAATCCATCAGTATCCCAGATTTTTCCACCTGACCTTGTGCATGAACTGACTTAATTATTAAAGGTGCCAACTGCACTAGTCACGGCTTCCCATCACCATTCACAGCTTGGAAGTCTTCCTCAACCCAGCCAAAGTCATGTCATCGGCTTCTGTCGTTTCCCAATTACGGGGTCTCCTTGAGAAGACTGGTCAACTTGCGCTCAAGTTCGACAAAATTTACCCCACTGAGGACCAATGGAACACTTTGAGTGACTTGAGCAAAAGCCTTGTAACTGCGGCTACGACAATTTCTGACAAAATCCGCCTTTTGCGCGAATCTCGCGCGGAAAGAGCTTGGAAGGATAGTCAAAAGCTCAGACAACACGCTATGGCTTGCAAGGGCGACGTGCTAGGCAATGGCCGACTCAAACATTCGCCAGTGTTTAGGAGGAACATTATTACTATTTTTGAAGGACCAAAGGAGTCCGTATTCGACTCGGAGGATATCAAAATTCGAAAATGTACAACACGTCAAAGATGTGCGCAGATCCGAAGACTGAGTCCCGACGGCCTCATCTCGTGGGCAATTGCATTCGCGCCGAGCGTTTGGGCTGGTGGGTCGATGGCTACCGACATCTTCACATGCCTACTAGATGACATAGAGCCACAACAGCAACCATCATGGCCCCGCGTGATAGATGAGACACTGCAAATGCTATTGAAGGACGAGACAGCTTTACAGAATTCTCAGGAATACAAAGACTTCATGGAAGGTAAGTTAAATTTGCTGCTACTTAGGTACAGGAACTGATAATGCAGCTGGCAAAACCCCACCAAAGGAAGGCCAGGCAAGACAAAAGAAACGGCCACGACTTGACATTCAGGAGCAATCCAGTTATATAGAACATGAAAAACGAGGTAAGGAAATCCTCTAGGTATTTAGATGACTTGTTGTTCATGTACTTATACATAGACAGCGTCATTCGATAGTCAGCATGTCAAGCACAAGACCTCGCCAGACCTGCCGCCGCAGCCTGGAGTAGTCTATCCACCTGTTATTTCACAACCGCCGACCAAAGAAAATCGGGGTGAGAAGACATCCAATTATGTACAAAGTAACAGCTATTAACATTGTACCAAACAGAAATGAAGCATATGTGCACAAATGCGCCACTGCGCGTTGTATCACAGTTGCCAGAGCCATTTAGAGCAGCAGTCCAGAATAGTCGCCTTTTCAAATGGGAGAGAAGTCAGGGGTATGCAACCACAAACTGTCTCGCAACTCTTTTCCCCAAGGACAATGCTCAAGATGTCTCCTTCACCTTTTGGTGCGGCAACTTCGAGGGCTATGACCTTACTAGTTTATTTGGTCTCCAGCATGCTATGTCATCTCAGACTTGAAAATAGACGCTCCCCCCTCTAACATAAACTGTGTACCCTGCGGGCACATGGTAGTCTTTGTATTCTGTCGAACGGACTTCGTTATCGATGTGTGTGCTGTAGGCTCCTGTTTGCTGATGGTAAATAGAAAGGTAGTAACCTTTGAAGTATATCGTTCGTGGTTCTCCGGTCGCGTGGAATGCTTGAGTGATACCTTTCTCTTCCCGTCCAGCGAGCGCTTCATCGCCGACCTAATAAACGAATTTCGTTAGCGACTTGATTGGCATATTGTAGGGTATTCCACACTATCTGACCGCCATAATGATAAATTCTATATTGCCCGCGCCCGGTTGAAATTCCCATACAATGCCGGGATTTTGCGATTGCGAACTATCCCAACGCAAGACCACCAGTCCACTTGTGGCAGACTGGCCAGTTATCTGTTCAGTCCGAGGTGTTGTCGTCTCTATTAAGCCAATATCGAAGGCGCTCAGTTGTGGGAGAAATTTGCCGGTCGGCTTTAAACGTTTAGCGCTTGATAAATATTCTGCTGCTTTGCGCATATGCTGATTGACAAAGACCACATCTTGGTCCTGAAGATGGGATGTTGGGTGGGGCAACCATGTGACCCTGCTTTACTTTTGGGCACCTTTCGAGTTCAGGCACTAAGGTACAACAAATGTGAGGCAATTTTCTGCACAGCATTCCACAGAATGCGCTAGGCCCCAATGGGTTCTGGTGCCTAACTACGTCATATCCCTCCCGAACTGTGGACTCCACTAGTCTGCCTGAACTTCGCGAAGAATGTCTTTCATCCAACAACACGACTCGGGATTCATCCTCTTCCATCTCTCTCCGTTAGGAAATATCTTCTGTCTCAAAGCTTGTCATATGGTGTGGAATTCTCACCCGTTATCTTTCGATATGTTCTCTGCCATATTGGCGACCAGACTAAGCCTGTTGTCCCCCTCATAATACAACTGTCAATTCACTACTCGAATTTTATGCATATTGCGTGGAGAAACAGGCACTAGATATCCAACTACCTCTTCCGCGGGGAACGTGACTTCGTACGCTTAACAGGCGGTCTGATATCAAGCGACAGTTCGTCTGCCGATGTCTCAGACTCATATGATAGTGGCAAAGGTGAACCGGGATACTTGGTGGTTTGTTGGCTAGTAACTATGGTTTCAGCAGCAGATGTCCCGCTTGTGAAGCTCAGCCCTAAGCTATCGTCGACCAGCGAGGCACCGGCTTCGACGATAGCTTGTCTCTCGTTTGCCTGACTGATCGCATCATCCCTCTGTCGCTTTGCCCAGTCTCTGCCATTCCGATACGCAGCAACTCCTTGTCGAAAGGTATCGGCATCGCCAGTCAAGGCCCAAGTTTTGATTTGTGTCATGGCAAAGCCATTTTTGTTTCCGGGAGCCGACGGGGGTATTGGATGAGTGGTATACATCTTAAGTTGACCACCATGGTATATGGATGTGAGGGTGTAAGCATTGTTATCATATTGCGACTCCGCCTGGCCATATGACTGCAAACAGTGGACCCCTCTCGCTCCTAGTGCTCGCTCCTAGTGCACCATCGTAACACGCTTGCCGAGAGGCGACTGAGAGAGATCCATCAGGACCCTTAACCTGGAGAAAGAAGTTTGGTGCCACAGGCAGATGGTCCTGGGTCGAAGGTTCAATCTTGCCGCTCAGCTGCTTCCGTACTTTTTGTTGAAGCTGTTCGGGACGTGCTCCGTAGTATACGTCCGGGTTCCCGGCCACGAGCGAGCCATCAGTCAAGTAATCGAGGTTATTAAATGGAATCTGCCCTGCGGTACACTTCGGATCTTCCAACTTTCCTTCAATGATTGGAATCACTCTTGCCATAACCTGTGCCTCCTTGGCAGCGTGTGTATCTGCGTCTTGAAACGAATCGAACGCGCCGTCAGAAAACTGCGAGGGCGAAAGCGAGGGCCGGGGTTGCCCGAGCGTTCGTTTGATTTCGTCCATGTTGTCTGGTTGTCGCGGGCCACTACCATTTGGATAGGTATATCGAGGGGGGTAGATCTCATGGTTGATCAAATGTTGCTGGAAATTAGTATCGTATGGACCTGTGCTCTTTGTTGTGGCCGTGTTCGGAGTATCACTTCTTTTAGCAGGAGACTGGGAGCCTCGTTTTCGGCGGCCAAGACTCGAGTCTCGAGAGCTCATGTTGTACTTTGGGCCAGTAAAGGGATACTGCGAACGGTCAGCCTCGGTATTGCGTGGGCACAGGTATCTTTACCCCTCTTAAATCCCTGAGATCTGGACCACCGTGGGATGCAAAACGCTTGACTTATTCCAAATATGTCGGAGTGCTGCGACGGAGAAATTCCTGAGCCTGCTCGGTTCTTGGATCGAGAGTCCACCGAATAGCCAGCCGCTCGCTCCGTCTGGGTCGCGTAGGACTAGAGTTTGCGGGACAGGGGTCTACGATATCGTCTAAAGCTTGCAATGCTCCCTTTGTAAGATGCAGTTTGGAGTGGGGATATTTGGATAAGTTCTCCCAGTATGTCGTTGGCGGGAAATCTGGGTGGCTCAACTTTTGTTTCTTCGATGTGAACCCAGACGCGTCGGCATGCAGCGATAGATCTGAGTACGAGGAATGTCGACGCTTCTGTGAGCCGTAATCAACGTGTCGTCCGTATGGTGTGCGTCGCGGCATGGACATTCTTGAGCGGTTGACATAGCTGAGGAATCGATGGTGTAGAGTGGCATTTATGTATAATACCAGTCATGTCCATTCAGGATCGATGCCGGAGAGTACTGAGAGCTTGATATTGTGGCAATGTCTGGTTGGTTGCTATTGAGAAGCCCCGCTTTTACACCAGCGCTGAAAACCAATCAGTTGACGCTCCCAAGTTACCAACTGTTGATTGGTGGGAGCCATGCTAATACAAACAACTCTCCGTCTAATTTTGGTGCTGAAGCGGGGGGGCCTCCAGCCGTACCTTACAAGCCTAAGCCACACACTAACGAGTTTCATGACAGGCTCGTGTAGTCAATTGCACATTTATTGGATGAATGTCTGAGTTTGGAATAATGCACAAGACTTGATAGGAAATCGTGATCGGGAATTAAGGTTGTTAAGCGCCTCTACAAGGCAACAACCTGCCGAGTTCCAGCTAGAACGTGTCAGCCGCCGTGACAACATCGTCACCACAGTTTCGCGGGAAACCTAAGGTACGGAAAAATAAAAGGCCGAGCGCATTCGGGAGCGTAGTGGAACCCTGTAGCGTTGCAGCGCGCCAAACGATTGGATATCCACTACCATGTGACGGGCCTTTTATGGGGCGTGGTCTCCCATGGAGGTCTAAGACCAACTCCGCTTGACCAGCATGCCGCCTGCCTTCCAGTTCGGTTGCAGGTAGGACTTTGCAAACCAATCGTTAACGGCCCAGAATAGGAGCTTGCGAGTAGCCAATCGATGAAGGACAAAATTGAAACAGACCACATGTATAGGCCCGAAGCGAAGCATGCCGTGCTGTGCCATGATTCAAGTCAAAGTCTGTGTCAGTGTCCCAAATAGCAGCAGAATCTTTTATCCCTGACTTGTCACGCGTCTTGAGACCCAGTGACCAATTTGACTGAATAGCCGGCTTGGTGACAGGTGGAGTGTAGGATTCCGTCGCCGTGGCCGTACCAACAGCACTCAACGGGACAGACTGGTCACTGCAAAGCTTTGCGATCCATATCTTTGCGGGGTGGAGTTGGAGCGAGGTCAGAGACTTGGACGAATGGTGCGCTAAGATGTTTATTATGATACTGATTGATGTTCTTTTCTGACGTTTCTCCTGTCTCTGAAATTAGTTTCGATCCATGGAGGAAGGCCAATTGTCACGTTTATGCCCCCGTAGCTCTCGGTTCGGTTGCCTAAAGCAACTAATGATGCACCAGTCTTGTGGGTGGAAGAGTCTTGGATACCATCACCAGACTTTCTGTTACTAGATACTGTTTTTACTGTAGGGTATTCGCCAACGTTCTCGTCGAAAAGCCGAAGGCCATGGTTTATGTCCATGCCCTCGTGAATTCCAAACTTCAACCGGTCTTTTCCTGTCCAGCTCCCAAGGACAGAACTTGCGGGTACGTCCTGGCTAATGTCCCAAAATGCCATTGGATATGCTCGCGTTAGAGCACGGCCCACAGTCCTGTCCAGGAATCAAGTCTCCCCGATTGGTGCTCGCAGGAGGATTGGGGTTTATAGATCTGGCCACTGCCAATGTCGAGTTCATAAATACCAGATGATAACTCAGAAGGAGCTTGCTCGAAGTTTCCAGGTGTGGATATTTTGTGAGAAGGAACTTCCATCACACCCGAGGGAGCTGATGGCGACGGTTCATTAGAGAGAATGCCATACGCATGATGGGGTGGAGTCGTGAGAACACTGACTCAGATTCTCTCGCTTCACACGCTAACCGTGACGGCATCTTTGGCATGATAAACCTCTGCAACTTTGTTAAGGATATCTGCAAGATTTGTCCATAGGAATAGCGTGACTCGTTTAGTCTCCTCGCCCACTTTGAATTTTTGGGCGTACCGTCCGGATACGGCTCGGGCTACATTGGCGCGTAACAGCTTCTCGGCGGCTTTGAGATCGAGATTTGACAAATAGATCTTGCGCGCCAAGGACATAACATCAAAAATTGTGACCACAATTTCTTCAGAATGACGGACACATCTGACAAGATGAGAAGATTCGGTAATCTCACAATTTTTCTCCACTCCGTTAACCTGGACTGAGTCGGTACTAAACGTGAAACGAGCATATCTCACTTCTTCCGCTCCCCAGTTGTCAACCACTCGGTCAAGATCATGCGTCAAATATTGTAGTCGCTCGTCATGCCACGTTATCTTCGGGCTCTGGAGCCCTGTCCCGTTGTGTGCGGCTGATGTTGACAGCCGTGGTTTTTTGTTCGGACCGGAAGGCCCCTTCTTTTGTCGCTTGAGCGAGATAGCTGGTTCAATCGCGTGGCGCACGGGAGCTGCCATGTCAAGCTGCCGTCTGACCTCTTTCTCGCTCTCAATTGCTAATGCCAGGTCTGCTTTTGCCTTTTCTGCCCGTGCCTCTGCTTGTCTTGTCGATGTAATCATCCATACCTGATTCCTTTCCAACTCCTCTTTATGTTTTTCCGCCAATGCTTTAGCTTTCTCAGCTTCAAGCCTTGCTCGGTCTGCATCTTCGGCTCGCTTCTCAGCTTCGTGTCGGGCCTGTTCTGCATCTTCAGCTCGCTTCTCAGCTTCGTGTCGAGCCTGTTCTGCATCTTCAGCTCGTTTCTCAACTTCGTGTCGAGCCTGTTCTGCATCTTCAGCTCGCTTCTCAGCTTCGTGTCTGGACTGTTCTGCATCTTTAGCTCGCCTTTCTGCTACTTCTCTGGCGTGGTATGACTCCCTCTCCCTATTGACCGCTGAGCTCATTTCTTCCTCGGCTCTTTTGGCATGATCATGCGCCGCGACGCTTGACTGAAGCGCCCTTTCAATCTCGCCTTTGGCCCACGTCTCATAAGCTTTCGCAGTCTGTTGCGTCTCTTCTACTACCGCAATTGCCAAGTTTCTTCCTTGCTCGAGCTCGCTGTTGGATTGTGCTGCTGTTTGCAGCGCTTGCCAACTCTGCCGGATTTGTTCGTCCTTTTCCAATGTAATTGCTTCCAGTTTTAAGTATTTCTCTTCCATTTCGTGAATACGATGCAAGGCGGTTGCATTTTCCAACTCCAGTGTCTGGAGTTTTTTCTGTATCGTAATTTGACCTTGCTCTGCTTTTCTTACATGCTCAGTTCTCTTGAGGAGCCGCTTAACAGCTGCTTCCAATTCTCGCGCACAGTCATCAACTTTGGAAACGGCCTCCGAGTGAACCGGGATGGATTGATATTGGGTTGAGGGATCATATGCTTTAATGATCAGAGAACTGGGCATGTTGTTCTTCGAACTCTCCATTGTTACGGGTCGACGATACCGAGCCCGCCAAAAGACGCAGAGTATTGTCCGCAAGAGAATTAGAGCGCAATTAAGAGACGTGGTATACGGTGCTCCCGCTCCGATGATGTTGGTAAAGGAGAATCATATGACTAACATTTACGACTGAACCAGAGATTCCGATGATGGGATGTCCAAGTTATCAAACACTTCAAATATTGCCTTTGGTGATCAAGAATAGGCTTATGCTTGTAAAACGTGTTGGAAGGAACAAGTTGCCGAAAGCGCAAGAACAGAGCAGGCACTTTATACTTTATCTGTCCAAGCCATCCCCGATACATTCAAATGATACTTCTCAATGCGATCCTGGGCGTGTCCCTGATCAATTGAACGAACGGCCCTTGTTCGATATTCAACCAACAACTCTTCTGCAAGCCACATCACAGCTGATACGGTTGCATACATGGACGGATGATCCAATTTCATTAACCATGCTTGCCAGCTACGAATATCCACGGCTCACAATCATGTAGCTTCGACCTCAGCTATCAAGCTATGAATGTAGATCAGCAAAGGCCAAAAAGTAGACCTTGCAAATGCAACTGTCCCTGCAAGCCGTCATTCACATCGGCTGTAACTGACACGTTTATCCATGCTGAGACTATCCTCAAACTCCGGACATGCACTGTAGCAGCTCCGGGTAACCCCTTGACTAGACAACCACTCATTTTGCATTCCGTATCACAGATCAAGCAGGCCCTTCGTTGCGTCAAGATGTGCCGCGGATTTGTGCTACAGAGAGCGTTGGCCCTGTCTCGAGTATCAGCCAATTAAACAACGTGTGCTCTGGATTTGTGCTACAAAGCCATTGACCCTGTCCCCCACCCACCCGCGTTGTAATAACGTGTGCTGAGGATTTGTGCTTAAGACATCCTAGCAACCTTCCCGCCTTTCCCGCTGACCCATAAGGTATTTACGCGTGACGAGACCCTTCCCCGCAGTGACAACAAATCAGCGTGAAATGCAACCCTCCTCCAAACGAGGCAGTTCTGCAGACCTGCATAAACCAAAGGAGCGCCCAACCTGTTCAATGACGGATGACCAAGGCTCTCTATAAGTACGCCGTGGGCCAGTCCTTTCATCTCTTCAGCCTTTGACCGCGTACCAGCACTCAAACCATGTCTGCCTCTTCTGTCGTTTCTCAGTTGCGAAGCCTCTTCGACAAGGCTGATCAGCTTATACCCAAACTTAACAAAATTTACCCAACAGACGAGCAATGGGAGTCTTTGGGCGACTTTAGCGCGAAGCTCGCAACGGCTGCGACGACGATTGGACAGAGAGTACAAGCCCTGAAAGAGTCCCGGGCAGACAGAGCGTGGAAAGAAAGCGAAAAACTTAGATCCCATGCTCTGAAATGTCAGGGAGATGTCTTAGCCAATGGTCGACTGAAGCAATCCCCGGTGTTTAGGAGAAATATCGTCACTATATTCGAGGGGCCAAAGGACTCCAAATTTGACACTGAGGATACCAGGGTCCGAAAGGCCACGACGCGACAAAGATGCGCGCAGATCCGATCTTTAAGTCCCGACGGTATTATTTCATGGGCAATTGCCTTTGCGCCAAGCCTTTGGGCTGGAGGTTCTATGGCCACTGATATCTTTAAGTGCCTCCTAGAGGACATTGAGCCAGATTGTCACCCTTCGTGGCCGTCGATTGTAGGGGAAACCTTGCACACCCTCCAGGCGGATGAAGAGGTCTTGCAAAGATCCACCGACTACCAAAAGCTTTTATGTGGTATGCCTGTTTGATCATAGAAACAGCCCAGCGTTTGAGTGGAGAATTGACAGTTCAGCGTATGATACTCCGTTAGCGACCAATCTGGAGAGCAATAGGAAACGGAAGCGCCTCGATCACAAACGACCATCTACTATATTAGGGCAAAAAGGTGAAGACATCCCTTGCCTTAGGCGCAATGTTGCTAAGGTGTTGCTAGAACAATCACAGTACAATAATGATAAATCTACCCTCAGTCGAGGCGAAGCCTGTGACCCGGAGTCAAGACAGGGCAAGCAAGAAGATCATAGCATGTTGAATCCTCAACCACCAAATGATGGAAACAGAGGTAAGAAAAGTTCTAAGAACGAATGTATAAGAGGTTACTAACATTGTACCATAAGAAATGAAGCATATGTGCACAAATGCGCCAGCTAGCCGCGTCGAAGATTTGCCTGAGCCACTGAGAGAGGCAGTTGAAAATAGCCGGCTCTTCAAATGGGAAAGGAGCCAAGGCTATGAGACGACTGGATGCGTGACGGCCGTATTTCCAAAGGATAACACACAAGATGTAACGTTCACCTTGTGGTGCGGTAATGTCCAGGGGTATCACCTAATTAGTTTCTTCGGCCTTCAACATGCTATGTCCTCTTAAACTTGAAAATACACGGTCCCTCCTCTAACATACACAGAATACCCCGCCGGCACAGTATAAGGGTTGGATTCGGTGGATGGGGTTACATTGTCAATGTGCGTTTTGTAGTCCCCCGTTTGTTGTTGGTAAATAGAAAGATAATAACCTTTAAAGAAAATCGTTCTTTCTTCCGTCGTCGCGGGGAAGTATTGGGTGATGTCTTTCTCTTCTCGTCCGGCAAGAGCATCGTCGCCAACCTGAAAAGCAGACCGTCGTTAGCCATACGGAGCAAATGTGACTGGATTCCAAGTTATTCTGACCACCATAGTCACAAAGTAGTGCTCAGCCCTCCTGGCTTGCAAATGCTTATTGCTTAGGTACTCAACCCGGAATGCGACGGTCGCTCAAGAGAGAACGGCTGCCGCGATGCAGCGGGTGCGGCTTTTAGTGCCAGAAATTCGGAATATTCCTGATGGAATCTTCACGTGATGGTTGTCTCAGAGGGTGTGTACTAAAACCCCCCACAAATACCAGATGCTGATTGTTTGGAAGATGTAGAAGAAACGTCGGGAAACAAGAAGGTCTCTTGCGTCACCGAGGAATGCGTGTGTTGATGTAAAGCGATGTGAAGAGGCACACTTCGACAGATGTTTTTAAGGTGGAGAGTTTGAGCGGGGGCAATCTGATCACTTGTCGTGGGCGACAAGTCGCGCGGACAATTAAGTTAGGCACGTACTGACGGGTTGGGCACATCAGGTTATGTCATTGCGGTATATCTCCCGAGGTTTTGCCGAACCAAGATGGGCTCGGTTATGGGGGGTGTTGCCTCGAAATGACGTACAGGGAAAGTCGAGTATGGGGCGAAGGATACGAAGGTAACATTCATTCGTCCATTCCGCCCTATGACCTAAGCCAGGAGGGCAGCTATCTGCTTGATTACACGGCCCTTCCTGTCGACGTCTTGGCGAAGTTCTGACGAGTTCACGAAGCTGCTCGTATTTTGGCTCCATGGGGTTTGTTGCAATGAAGATGTGATCGGTCGGGGGGGTGGGGTGGATTCGATAGCCGCGATAGATACAAGGTCCCAGATTTGCGCATCTTCAGCCCTGTCAGCAATAGCTGTCTAGAGGAGCGGTATGATGCGGTCGAAGTCGAAGTCATCAGAGGCGACAGCAGAAATAAGTCTTAGGAGGTCGGTTCGTAAAGTGTTACTTCCAGTTGTCGAAATCAGCAGGCCTGAGACAGGGAGACTTCGTAAGGACGGAAGAAGAACTAGTGCAGGATTGCGGAGATCTGCTTGTTTGTCAGAAATGCATAGAAATTGCTGGGTGATTGGATTACCTTCGTTACTAAGTTGGCCAAGAGTGCAAGCCGTAAAGGTGACGTTTCTGTTGCTGCAAACAGAGGTGAATAGGGTGCGGAAGGCGTCAAGTCCCTTACCTATTGGATTTTCGTCAATGAGCTCCAATCTTCGCTGGTCTGACATGACGAGGAAAGCATGCCGTGCTGTGCCATGGTGTAGTCGAAGTTGGTTGAAGGGGGTGGGAAGTAAGTTGTCACAGTTGCATGGGTGTTACCGACGCTTCAGCAGGAAAAACAAAACGCCGAGCGCATCCCGGAGTCCAGTGGAACCTGTGGCGTTGGAGGGCGCCAAACGATTGGGTTTCCAGTTCCGTTTCAAAAGCGGGGCTTTTTCTATTCTATTGGCCAGCAATTGGCACAAGAGCAACCCCGGATCGAACCGACACTGCGGCTAGGACTTTGCATATATACCAACCGTTAACCGCCCGCAAACTTCACCCATGTCTGATATCATAAGGAGCAGGCTTTACACGACAGCCTACATTGTGGGTGTCATTTACAGAAGCTGTATCACCAATCGTCAATGGCACTCGAGAATTCATAGACGATGCATCTTGTGAGCAGCCAATTGGACGCTGCACAAGACTCTGTCTCCTTTTCTTGCTTCTTGATCAGAAATGCTGTATTTGCTACTGCCGCAATCTCGGATAGTTGTTTGTCAGTGATTGGCTCACGGCTTCCCATTTCGGCTTGAAACACATGAGCGATATCATGGATGGATGAAAGTGGTAGCTGCGCCCTGTTGACTCTATTCTACACTCCAACCACCTTTGTATCCCTCTGAGCTTCGCGTAGAATATTCTTCATCGAAGAATACAACTGGGAATCTTCCCTTTCCCACCTCCTGCCATTTGGGAACACCACCTTCCGCAAATTATTAATACAAGGTATTAAACATCGGTAATGCGACGTGAAATTCTCTTCTGCTGTTTTGAGGAAGTCTCTTTCATCAGAGACCTCTCCCTTCTTCAGCTTTGCCAGTTCCCGCATGTCAACATAATTCCACTTCTCGAACTCAGTTGCTCCAATATCTTCACCCGGCCCGTTGTAGTGGATGCATATCCAGAACAGCACCCAGAAGAATGACTCAAGGTCATGCATGAATGAATGATACTGTCCTAGAAGTGCCCCGATAGCCATGAAGGCCCTTGTGCCCGTCTTTCCTTTGGCTCCCGAAGCAGGCCCCCTTTGGTCCCTAATGGCAAGGTCGAGATCGATCAAAAAAGCCGCCCAGGACGGGTTCTCTTCGTCTTCATTGATCATAAGATTGTTGATGGAAATATCCCTGTGGAGAAAGCCGGCATTATACAAGGATTCGTGCCCCTGGATGCATCTCTCCATTGCTGCAAGCAGGGCCACTCGGGAGCTTGCCTTGTAGACCAGCTTCCCATAGTCTCGAAGAATAACACGCCGATGTATCCGATTTGACAGTGCATCCATGCCGAGCTTTGTTGGAGATGTAGAGCAGGTTCGTTTGGTTGGCGGCAGGGCGACGCCAAGGTCACTCGAGGGTCGCTTCACGCCGCCGCTGCTGCTGCGGCCCTTGCGAGAAACACTAGACGCCCTCATTCCTGACGGCTGCATTGGGCGAGACGGTCGATAATTTTCAGCTTTTGTGACGTCCAGTGCCTGCCGAACGCTGCTTCGAACGTCGTCTTCACCACCGCGGACGCGAACAGTCTCATGGTGGTAGTATCGGGCAACGTTAATCACGCCTTTCTCGGTGGCTTCTTGGAGCAGTTCGCCCTCTTCGTCCCGGTCGGTATACTGCCACGAGTCCTTAATGACAAGTGGCGTCCGCGGGTCATCTTTACGATGAGCTTTCCAACAAGTTGTCGCTCGGCCTGCGATGCATGGTGCGCGCTTCATGACCTCCTCGATGATAAGACATTCTGTCTGACCGTTTCGTTCGATCTCAATATATTTCTGGCCGCCGGTTGTTATTATGGTAGGATCAAACCCAAGTATCTCCTCGTTCATCCGCAGAAACCCCAGAATTGTGGTCACAAACTGTAGCCCACCTTCCTCCTTGTTGATGTCGAATTGTTCGGAGGCGACCCCCCCGAGCCTGTCGAACTCCCATACCCTCATAAGAGACCCGCAGAGCGTAAATCCCAAGACGAAGCGGCGGGTATCTTGAGCGGCGAGCACCTCTCTCGCATACCTGGCGAGATCAATCCATGCAATCGATGCTATGTCGGCCTTCGGGTTGCTTTTTAGTTCGCCTGCTACGAGGACGTGTGACCAACGATATTTCGAATCCGCGGCGTCGGGCTTGTACGTGATATCGCTATTAACGAAGCCAATGTCCATGCTGCGTTTGCCCGTAGAGCCTAGCAGTGGTGTTTTGGGCTGCGCCAATAGCTTTCGTCGATGTGGTAGGGTCGAATTGCGGTCATCTTCAAATGCATCCAACCTCGGGATAAGGTCAACAAACCAAGCAAGCACGTCGCTTTCCTTTGCGCCTGTCGGCCACCCGGTCCATCCTCCACTGAAGAGTGGGTTGTCGCCTTCAGTGCATTTGCTGAAGACCGTTTCAGCTATCGTCCCTAGATCTGGCACGCCTTTAAAGAAGGTGTCACAGAAATTGGGAACGCCAACATAGAGGGGTCCAAGTTCCTGCTTCAAAACTCTGTCCACGTCCTGGCGGAGCTCTGACGAGTTTACGAAGCTGCTCGTGTTTTGGCTCCATGGGGTCTGTTGTATAGAGGAAGCAATCGCTCGGGGAGGGGGGGTAGTTTCGGTAACGATGTCGTAAACATGATTCCAGATAAGGGTATCATCAAGACTGTCAGCAAGAGCTACTTTCAGGAGTGGTTTGATGTGGTCAAAGTCGAATTCGCCCGAGTTGACGGTGGAATTGACTCTCAGTAGATCGCTGAGGAGGTTCTTCCCGTTTCCACCAGAGCGGAGCAGGCGGGAAGCTCGAATATTTTGGAGTGCCAAGAGGAGATCTATGGAAAGATTCTGCAGGTCTTCATTTACAGTCAGAGCGATAGTAACATATTTCAAAGTACCGGGGGACATACCGTCGAGACTAAGCTGATCTAGTGCTCTGGGCGAGCGAAGGAGGCGTCTGCTATCACATATTGAATGAAATGAGGAGCGAAAAGCATCAAGTCCATTTCCGATGGGATTAGCCTCGATCACGTCTGATCGATTTTGATGTGTCATATCCAGTAGGTTTGTCGTCCCTGATTGTAGCCGTGATGGAAAGCAACGCGACAGACTGTGGACAGGCCGACTCCAGTTGGCCGTCCGGGATGCGTCAGCCTGGAGAGAAAGCAGGACTTTGACCCTGAGACCACGCAATTAGCAAGATATGCCTGGTCGGGTTGTCTATGTGGGAAGGGCTCAATTGAGTCCAGAAGCGCGCAGTCCGAACGTTAGACTCTGCACTGTGTAAATGTTGGGGGGGCTTTGTTACCTCAGCAGGGCTCAGGCCGTTTCTAAGATCCGCGATCATGTGACAATCAGGAATTTCCATTTTCGGCCTAGTTTATTTTCAGCGCGATGCTGCACTAATCCCTTCTAACTCAACGCTTGATTGCTCCTTGACAAAAATGAACACCCAGGCTGGGGAATTTTTTTGCAGTAAATGCGCAAGATGCTATATTCTCGATGACTTCGAAATTAACAACCATGGGAAGCGAACCTTTTTGGGGGCAGAAATCCGGAGAGTGGCACCAGCGCCTGAGTGAATCAAAACGGTATATGGACAACGTATCAATCCCCCAAAGCTTTTGTCGCGGGCGCTTAAAACACTGCCTCATCACCAACTACTTTGATACATACAAACACGGACAACCCTTCTCAGTTTGTCAAGAAATGGGCTGGATTGTCAGTGATGCGCCTTTCTACTAGAAGAGAGGAAACGAGTGTGGATACATGAAACCCGTCCGCTCACAGAGGTGATTTCAAAACCTGATCAGTTGCAATCAACTAACAGATCTCCTGTTTGAAACCGTAACGTAGACTCTGACATGTGCCATTCGCGTTGTAATCCTCCTGCGAGATGGCAGTACTCTGTAGAGCCAAGTGGCGCGTATAAGGCGAAGGATACTTAAAAATCGGGACAACGTTGCATATATTCACGCCGACTATCCGCTAACTAGTCTAATTCACCCTGTGTGTCAACGCAATCCAACTTGCTCATCTCCCTCTCCCAAGCGGCGTGGCCAAATTTGTTGGTCACCAAGTTTTTCGCCTCTTCGATTGCCTGTTCCCCACGCAATTGGTTGCACGGCAAGAAGATGGGCGCCCAAAATACTTCAACTTCAATAGATCCGTTTGTTACTCGACGTGCTTCTCCCAGGTGCATGTATTCGTATTCATGAACACTGCTAGCTAACGCGCGTTTCGTACACGAAGTCCTACGTGAAGTAACCTTCTTCCGCTGTTTGGTCTTGACCTTCGAGATTCCTCGTTGCTGCTTACGGGCGACATTCGCAGTCGGGTATGAGATGGCTTTCTGGCGCGGTTCGGTTTGATCAGAGTAAGAAGATTCGTTATCTACAAATCGGTTGTAAGTTAGGCAAGATACTTCGGCATGGACAGATTCGTACTCTCATCTGGTGAAGCCTCGCGTTCACGCGGTATCCCCTGCCCATTGACAAGTTTTTCATACTCAGAAAAGAGAGCATGAAGACGGTCAACGTCCAAAGGCGTGGGTACGGGAGTTCTCTCGGGATCCTCTTGCCCAGCCTCCAGCTGCATGGTGGAGGAAGTTGAGAGGCCTAAATCAATGTCGAGCTTCTTATCAGTAGATTTAGAGGGGAGCTCGCCAGAGTCGCTGAAGGAATTACATCCATCGTCATCGTTGCCGTCGTAGCTGCTCACACTGCTAGGCGACGATGCAATTGTTATCGTGGAATCCCAAGAGGAACCAGGCGACAAAGGTGGCTGATTTTGAGTCTTGAGCGTTGAGCTCGTCTGTATCAGTACGATTCCCTCCATTGCGCAGCAAGAAAGTCGAAATCATAGGAAAGAAGAAGAAGAGGTGCTTGTTGACCAGACGCTTCGAGTCGATCGTGCCCGAGTCGTTTAGCCTTTATATATAGGCGGAACCCAAGCCATTAACCGCAGCGTCAACTGGTTAAGGACGCAAAAGCTTGACCCGGAGTGTCTTCCCAGATTCAATCAGCTCCGCCAATCCAATGGTGTGTGTGAGCCACCCAACCATTCATCCAAGTTCATGGATAGTCCTGGTATGGTCGCTCACCCCATTCTGAATCTTGTCAATATTCCATTTCCCCCGCCCCAAAGAATTCGCATTCTTGTAGCGGTGCTCACTGCTCCACTCCCTACTTCTCCGCCCGCTCTTCCTTTCTTTGTACACCAGCAATCCTTGCTGGAGCTAAGCCTCGCCGTGGATGCGGCCAAGAGTCCTACTGCATCATTCTGCAACAGTAACCTCAGATAACGTATCATCAAAACCTTCGGGGGACACGTCATATGGCGCGGGAAGTCGAGAAGCCGAGCATCGAACGATGGCTCCTCAGCCTGTCGTTCAGCAGAAGACATTCAGCCTCCGACCTTTCGCGTATTCAGCCAATGCAGGGGAAGATACCAACCAATACAACATCGACGATTCGAGCGAAGCGGCGCGGCGAGATTGACACAATTCGTAGGCTGTAAAGGGACATGGCCGCAGGTTGTGGACCAACGTCGGACGTACTCTGGCATACTTAGGCCGTGGTATGAGAGCAAGGCAACCTGGGCGAACCAACCCCGAGCATATTGACCCAATGCTTCTAGCCGCTTGAAGATCAGCTGAAAAGCGGTCAAGCCTCGAGTCTCATGGGGCTCCCGGATAAAGCAAATCTTGCGAGGCAGTGGGAAGGCTTGGCGGCGCCGCCAGCCCCCCAAAGGCAACGTGGGCGAACCAATCCCCGAGCATATTGGCCCAATGTTCCTAGTCGACTCGAAGATCAGCTGAAAAACCTCAGATGACGGAATCAAAGGGAGCGGTCAGGCCAAGCCCCACGAGTGTCATGAGACACCGGGATAAGGCAAATCATGCGAGACAATGGGAAGGGTTGGCCGCGTTGCCGGCCCCCCCAACCCGACTGCAAGCATTGAAAACCCTTTCGGACACTCCGAGCACTGGAGGCAACCAACCCATCACGAGAGCTGGCCATCACCAACAGGCCATCTTTGCTGGAATTTTCGATGGGAGAAGCGCGTCGGTACGCCCTAGTGTTTGTAGACTTGGCGAACGATTTGAGGTCATTCGGCAGCAGATCGTAGATTTGTAGATTTGACAGATGGTAGAGAACGGGTGAGCGTTTCTGTTTCTGGGCGACATTGCGCGAGGATTCGTATCGTCATGATCTTAGCTGAACGGGACGGCAAGCAAACGGGAGGGCAGCCCCTGAATTGAGGAGGCGTGCATCACGGACGCGGGGCTGCGATAGGAAAGCGGAGTCTGTTGAGCCCAACAAATGATGTGGCCAACGCGACCAAAGCAATGACGACCCGCGACACCAAGGGAGAAGTGGGAATCGAGCAGGGTCAATGCGGCGAGGGAGAGGACGAGACGAGGAGGGAAAGAAAGGAGAGAGTTGGGGTTTTGGTGGTTGGTCTTATAGATTTTTTCTAAAGCAGCGGGAGGTCGGGAGTGGGGCTTGGGAGCTTTGGGGGCGGCGCCTTACCCGTGCGGGCAGGCGGTCGAAAACGGCAGCCAATTTGCAGGCAACGACTTTACATGAACATTGGAGCTGAAAGCAACTTCGAAGCTTGCATGATCTCAAATCCATCTCATATAGTATGTGGAAGCAATCACGCATAACATCTCCCTACTTCCGCTCAAGTGGGACACCTCCTTCCTCAGCATCTGAAGAATTAGGAAGGGTGGCCTTGGCCTTCTTAAAGACAAGACCCGGATGTCCAAAACACAAGGCTAGGGTAGCAAGAAAAACGAACACCCCTTCTAATATAATGAAAGGAACCTGCTCTTTGATCAGTGAGCCGTTGTATCCATCTTGCAGTTCGGCAACGCGATATGCGCAACGACTGAGAATTAGAATAATGGCAATGGTCAGACCAGAAAAGAAGGCCTTTAGTCTCCATCCAAACTTCTTGGTCTGACCCGATCGAAAATATCGGATGAGAAAATCCGCAAAAAAACCGATAAATATTGTTAGAACAACGACTTGCAAGATTAGACCAGCTAGAGATATGTTGACACCGGTCTATATGGTAGTCAGGACTCCGTGAGATTTAATACATATTTTAAAGGCGTTCTTGCTAACCTGGTTACTGCCAGTCGAATTGGTAGACATGGCACCGCCGGCAGCCTGAAGAAGCAAGCATGTAGCATCGAAGGGAATAAAAATCCAGTAAAAAAGCTGGGGTTTAAATCGTGACAAATCAGGGGCCAGATGGACAATAGTCTTTGAAAGCGTAACGTAGATGGAGGCAGTGAAGAATACGGGGGCGATGGTAAGACAGACTTCTTCTTGTTAGTCATTGTGATGATATTAGAGCGTATGACTGGCTCACTGATTTGGGTCATGAAACCCGGGTAGGAGAAAGGGTTATTCGACATAATGACGCGGCCGGCGTAACCAATGACTTCGCAAAGGCATCCCAGCAGCATGCCAGTCATAAACCCCCAGCTTCTCCATCGAATGCCAAGATAGCCATGGATTGCTCCGGCTATAATGTAGAGCATCAAAAAAGTCGTATTGGCCGCAAGTGATGGTTGATAACCGTAAATGCTCCATGAGACCGGGCAAGTCTCAAGGGTGCAGTTTTCGTCACTGCCAAACGGTATAACACCGGGAGGAAGCTGATTCGCCATCTAGTACGACGAAACCTTGAAAGACAGAAGGGAACAAAGTTTGTAGATATGAGGTCTTAAGAGTTGTAACTGATGTCAACTCAAAGTTGTAATAACATAACAAAGTGAAAAAAAACGGGCTTGTGGTGATATATAAGATGCTTCAGTAAATATATTTCTTGCGGGTAGGTCGGTACTTGATGGTTCAGGATGATCTCGAGCTGTAGGTGCTGGGAGTTAAATACGGAAAATAGTGACTTGATTTGGTATATATATTTCCATATGCCGAATAATGATAATGATCACGATCCCTGATGGAGGAACAACTTTGCCGAGGCTCTCGGACAATGACGTTTGGAATTGGGGCTGAGACTCGTCATCACCATCTACACACTTGTGATCTCCATTTCGAGACCTTGTGCTTTGCGAGATAGCCTTCACGGAGGCGGCGCCTTGTGAGGGTGCTTGTGGCGGCTGAGACTGGAATGCAGCACGTTAACTGCCCCGAGTTGGGGACGTGGCTGATATTGGCGGCGGCTGGCCAACAAGTTAATGGGCACGACGCGTAGCGGATAGGGCTAGATTTCAATGGGTTCGGCGAGCCCGGTATAGCTAATCGCCCTAGTTTCTCAATCCTGTGAGCGACGTGAAGACCGGTCGGTTCTCGAGACTCCCGATGCTATTTGTCTGGAACATCTCATGCTCTCTATGCTTACAGACTAGATTACGCGTCTTGAAGCTAAGCGCTGTAATTATTCACCGAATGTAGAAGAGCAAATCTTGGGAATGACGAATGAGCGTATTGCGTCAAATATAGACACAAGGTGGCTTGCTTCAATCTGCGCACCCTCCTCACTTTCCACCACAATTTCTACGGAGAAAGAATACAGTTCCAAGTGTGTTGCATAAAATTATAGTAGTTTAGATCACGGTCGGCTCATCCCGATTGACAGTTGCCAATGCAATGTTGCGTTTGCGTATACTTGTCGTCGTTGGGGGACCTGTCGCCAGGTCAATCAGTCTTCTCACCATGTCAAGACTGAAGAATACAACAGTTGGTAGCCACACCACGAGTTGTGAACCCTCGACTCTATCTGCCGTGGTATTTTCTGATAGAGATTAATCCATAAGTGCCCTATCTGTGCTCGTTGCTTTTGCACAACAAGAGGAGAGTAAGAGACCAAGCCCACTCTCCAATGCAACTTCTCGGGGGAAATAAATCCGAGGCAAGTTCTAGCCCTCCCTAGGCCGAACACACTGCGCAGCATATGCAGGTAGGGCTGGAACGACGGGTTGCTCCGAAGCCACAGCTGACGCGCGTTTTGTAGATTCGCATTGGGGAATTCGGATTAACAAGGAAAGCGATTGGCGCCACAACACACATACGCTGTGGTATCATTCAGTCGAAGCGTTGTGTTATGTTGCTCAATAAGTATATAATACAACCTGCAGAAGCCTGAGGCGAGCAATTATTGAGCAAGTTCCTCAATCCATTTTGACTTGAAGCATCAATCCAATCATGGCATGGACGACGATTCTTGCGATTCTCTTGTATCACAGCGTGTCAGTTATTAGTGTTCAACACTATACTCATGACGAATCTTTTACCCCAGACGCAGTTCTTACTGTAACTCGGCAAAATATTAGCATTGCGGGAGTAAACAAATTCGCTACTCTAGTCAACGACTCCATCCCTGGCCCAGCCCTACACATGTCCGAAAATGAAGTATTCTGGGTTCGCGTATATAATAACATTGAGGACGACAACCTCACCATGGTATGAATTCTTGGAACAATGTCGAATTACCGCCAATGATACTAATGTATGGTGTAGCACTGGCATGGTCTCACGCAGGGTGCCTATCCCTTCTCAGACGGCACGCCGCAAGCCAGCCAATGGCCCATCCCGCCAAATCATTTCTTTGACTATGAACTTCAAAGCCCTAATGGTTCTGCGGGGACTTATATGTACCATTCTCACGTCGGATTTCAGGCGAGCACAGCAGCAGGCCCCCTGATCATTCTGGACCCTTCGGCCGCTCCGTATAAAACCGATGGCGAGAGGACTATACTTTTGCAGGAGCTCTTCAACAAAACTGACCAGGAAATCCTAGCTGGTCTAGAATCTACCCCGGTCCACTCCGCCGGTGACCCAAACGCGTGGCTAATAAACGGCAAAGGTATTAGCGATTACGGCATTACTCACCCCGTATCTGCAAACTTGGACGTGACAGAGGTTGAGCCAGGACTGACATATCGTTTCCGGTGTGTTGCTGCAACATCCACGTCGCTTGCCATGTTTGGTTTCGAAGACCACGCTGAGCTGGATGTCATTGCAGCAGATGGAGGTTACACGATGCCTTCCCGAGTGCAACAAGTCCAGATAGGCTCGGGGCAGCGCTACGATTTACTATTTAGAGCCAAGACATGCGACGAGCTCCGACGACTGGGAAAGCTAGACTACTACATTCAAGTCGAAAGGCGGGAGGACACCAACATCACAAGCTATGGTCTTCTTCGCTATAAGAATAGCTGCGGTCCGGATTCACAATTCGCCAGTCGAGTCTCGACGAGCAAAAACCCAACCAAACCTCCAGTGAACTTGCCACAAACCATCCAAGGTTATCTTGACTACGCACTGAAACCGCTGCGGAATGATACCGGCTTTCCGCCTGCGGATCAAGTTACGCGTCGCGTCATCATCAATGTTCAGCAGGTCAAGAGGGGGTATCAGCTCTGGACACTCAACAATAATACCTGGACGGAAGACGGAGCTGATCCCTTGCCACATACAACATCGTACGAGCCGTACTTGGTTGCTCTATACAAGAACCAGACACAGTACCTCCCCGACTACAACGCCTCGTTGCGAAACGGCGGCCTGGACCCAGGCACGAGAACCTACCCAGCAAAAATCGGGGAAGTCATTGAAATCGTGTTTCAGAATCTAGGTTCTGTCGACTACAGTGGCACTTCCAACGGCTCCCTCGACGTCCACCCCTGGCATGCCCACGGCTCCCATTACTGGGACATTGGCGGAGGAGACGGCGCGTGGAGTCCGGCAAGGGCCGAGGCGCAACTCGCAGGAAGCGTCCCGGTCCGAAGGGATACCACGATGCTTTATCGGTACAATGAAACGACCGATGCGGGTGCCGGGAGCGGCTGGCGAGCGTGGCGGCTTCGTATTGACCAGCCTGGCGTCTGGATGGTACACTGTCACTTCCTGCAGCACATGATTGGGGGCATGCAAACCGTCTGGGTGCATGGAGACGCGAGCGACATTCTTAAAGTCGGGCAGGTAGATGTCCAGGGATATTTGACGTATGGGGGCGATGTCTACGGCAACAGCAGCCATGCGCCTCGTGTTTTGCATTTTCACGAGCTAGAATAGACGAGTGCTGCGGCTGGCGTGGGATTGTTGGTGATTTTATACAGGGAGCAGCATGGTATTGGGGGACAGTACTGGCGAATTGATGCCGTGTGTGATCTGCGTGAGATGTTTCTCCGCAGAGGCAAAATCTCGGTTTAAACCCCCAAAAGTCGATCCAACTGGAATAGTCTTTGCGGGATACAAGTCAATTTCAGTCTCATATACTCAATTTTTTAGGGAAACTTGTAATATTTTGCCCTGTGAAATTTCGCCCACGCAACATTGAAGTGATGGTGCATAGAATTGGGAAACCGCCAGTTTGTTGGTGATAGTGAGCAGCTTGCCCCAAGAGCAGGCCGGGAGTTCGGGACTAAACCTTCAACTCCTACAAAGTGTGTTCCAATATCACAAAGGCGTATTGTGTCTCTCGACCAAGTATTTTGTAGCCTTCCAGCAATCGACAAGTGAACAGACCTTCAGCGGTCACGTCTTGAAACATGGAGGTGCCCGTATTGCCTCAACTGCTACATAAACCTGAATCGTAACATTCAAGGCACAGGGGCCACAGGCCATTCCCCATTGGCAACAATTCGTGCCGTTTGCCCACTTAGTTGCCAACTTGCAGTTAGTTTGGAAACATGAACCGTCAGGACAATCCCCTTGACCGACGCCGCCAATGACACCGGGTTTCGCATCGCCTGGCCCACAACCTGTGCTACAGCCTCTCTCGCCGTCACGTCGACTTGGGCAAGGCCACATGCAGTCGAAAGCCACCAAGCCCTGTCCCCAGTGGAGAGCTGAAATCGGTGGGTTGATCGTTCCACCCGGTACATGCGGGAGTCGGTCGATCCGAAATCTCACAAAGGGGAGCCAGACGTCCAAAGAGGGCCGCCATCTGCATCCCAGCAACATCTGAGATGCATCGCGAGCAACTCGGCGCGTTGAGGGAGGCGATCGCGCGGCAGAGCAACACGACGTGCTGGCATGGGATGCGCCCAACCCGTTGGACACGATGCCGCGATTCCCCCCAGGACCACCTCGCAAGAGCCCGAGCCCGAGCCCGACGCCCAGCACGGATCTCGAATCGCCCCCGGACATGGACGAGGCGGTCGGCGACGGACTCGTCATGGGCGAGCAGCGGCGGTATTCACGCAAGCCGCGCCGCGTGAAGCGCTTCTTGGACGACTTCAAGCGAAACGAGTCGGATCGGTTTTTCCCGCAACACCACCTCAGCCCGGCCAACTCGCGGACTCGCCACGCCCAGCGCGACTACGGCGGGCACTTCGCGGAGCTGGAGCTGGTCCAGTCCGGCCTCGCGCGGCGGTTAAAGGGCCGGCATCTACAGATGATTGCGATAAGCGGATCAATTGGTATGTCTCACCGTCCTCGCTCCGCGGCATACTGCATTGGCCCGTGTCTCGCGGCTCACACCTGCGTGTCCCAGGAACCGGTCTCTTCGTGACGAGCGGCGCGGCTTTGGCAACCAGCGGCCCGGCGTCGCTCTTGCTGGCGTTTGCGGCCGCAGGCATCTCCATGTATTGCACCTGCCAGGCTCTCGGGGAGCTGGCCGTCGTGTTCCCCATTGCCGGGTCCTTTTCTTCGTGGGCGACGCGCTTCTTGGACGCGTCGTGGGGTTTCGCCCTCGGCTGGAAGTGAGTCCGCATTCGAGGCCCTCAGATTGACACTGGTGTTTGCTAACATTCGACGACGGCAGCTATGCCCTGCAATGGCTGGTTTCCCTGCCGGTCGAGGTTGTTGCCGCCACCGAGATTATTGCCTATTGGAACACGTCGCTGCCGCGGGCTATCTTTGTAACTCTTTTCGTTGCTTTAATTATTGCCATCAACATGCTTGGGGTCAAGGGATACGGAGAAGCAGAGTTTATATTCGCCATCATCAAAATTACTGCCGCCATTGGCTTCATGTGAGACATGTCCCCGCCGCCGTCGACCTGGAACCCGTCTGCTAATGGTTCTACAGCTTGTTTGGTGTCATTCTCAACTGTGCGGGTACTCCAGAACGCGGGTACATTGGATTCGAGTACTGGAGAAGCCCTGGGGCGTTTAAACACGGCGTCAAGGGCTTCTGCAGCGTCCTACTCAACGCCGTGTTCGCCTTCAGCGGGACCGAGTTGATAGGACTTGCGGCGGCGGAAACCGCCAACCCCCGAAAATCTCTCCCCATGGCCATCAAGCAGGTGTTTTGGCGAATATGCCTCTTCTACCTCTGCATCATCCTACTCATCGGGCTCGTCGTACGGCATGACGACCCGCGGCTTGTGGATAAAGTCAATGAATCGGATGCCAATGCGTCGCCCCTCGTCATCGCCTTCCAAGAGGCGGGCGTGCAGGTTTTGCCGTCGATTATTAATGCCGTAATTCTCATCTCTGTTTTATCCGTGGCCAACTCGGCCGTCTTTGGCTCTTCTCGAACTCTTGCAGCATTGGGGGCACTCAGACAAGCCCCCAAGTTGCTGGCATACGTCGATCGAAGAGGCCGCCCGCTCATGGCGATAGGCGTGGCGGCCGTCGTCGGCCTCCTCGCCTACCTCGCTGACCTTGAGGAAAGAGATAAAGTCTTGGAATGGCTGGTGGGCATTGGAGCCTTGTCGAGCGTTTTTACGTGGGGAACCATTTGTCTCTGCCACATTCGATTTCGCTCTGCATGGCTTTCGCAACGACGCGGCCTCTACGAACTTCCATACCGCTCTTCTGTCGGCGTGGCAGGGTCGTATTTCGGCCTGTTTGTCAATGTCGGCATTATTCTCGTGCAGATTTGGGTTGCCATTGCTCCAATTGGTTATGAGACATTGGCCAGTGTGGAGTTGGCAAGAAATGCGGTACTAAAACTGTTGAGTGGTGTCTTGATGCTCATCTTTTTTGTGGTCCATAAGATTATCCACGGGACTAGATACGTGCGGCCTGGGGAGGTCGACCTTGATACAGGGCGGCGGGACTATAACGTTCTTCTTCTCGAGTCTCTAGAGAGAGAACAAAGGGCCATGTGGCCAAGGTGGAAAAAGATTTACAAGTTTTTGTGCTAGAATATTTGCCAACACTATAGAATACAAGAATAGACGCAGCGTGTATGCTTTCTCTATATAACTCTGGGTTTCCAGTATACTTGAGGTTCCTCGGGGCAGGAGAGGTCTTGCCAAAGTGAGCCTCGGTTAGGCTACAAAGTTCAAATCCTTGGGTCAAAGTCCGACATGATAGCTCTTGCTTCTTCCCGTCTCTGTCACAATACATTCTAGTCAGGCACCAAGAGTTGCCGTCAACAAAGAAAGGAAATACTATCTTTCTGCAAATCTTGCCATATCTAGGATGTCGCCCATGATTTTCGACGCAAAAAGCTTTTCATGTGACGGCCTTGGGACTCAAGCTTCCCTGGTAGACACCAAGTTCTACGTGGCAAACTAGAAGCACTCGAGAGGGATAAAGGTATGAAGCAATTCAGAAAGACCACACACGTCTTCATCTTTGACATGTATTCAACACGAGACAATTCGTTCCTCTCTAGAAACAATTCAAGGCCGAGTAATGTTTGCGGCCTACATGTCTTTCATAGGCCAGCCATATCATCCCGACTCGAATATTCTCTTCTATATGGTCATGTTGAAGTAGTAAATTATAAACAGCATTCTGTCTGTTTCGACAGCCGCCCAACCAGAGACTCGTCATTCTACAATAACCCCCTGGGAGGTTTTAGTAACAAACATGGTGTTGTCGCTCTATCCAATAACTTCCTGATCAAATCAAATTGCATGTCCACGTGGACTTGGGCATCAATGACAGCTCTCCGTCTTGATCTTTATAGTAGTAGAAAACAGATAGGGCTACTGGTCAGTGCACGCTTACATGTAGTATTGCAGTCGGTTGTACATGTTTCTTTTTCCCGATTTGGGGTTCGTGATGTAATCAAGCGAGTGTCTTGTGGCAAATCCAACATGACAAGCAGGGCTTGGGTGGCACAATTATGCAGCCGTACATTTGTACGCCATGCCGCCAAACGTACACCAACACAACGAGATGGTCGACGCCAAAGGGCAAACAAACAACAACGGCAACAGAACAAATCCCGTCGAGGTGCGGGGTCCAACGCCACAGGGCATCGAGCCATGACTTGATCAATGCTTCTCATGCCCGACGGTAATTACACTGTGTACAGAGCCTTAAGGGTGGCGCCAGGCCCATCCATCATCTAAAGCAAGTCTAGGCCCTGTAAAGCATGACGCCGCGAGCCAAACCCTCGGATCACGCATACATGCATGGGTCTCGGAGTCGATCCCGGAAATGCCACTCCGTACTGCTGGGATATGTCTCTGGGTCATCTCGTTATGGATGGTGACGTGGCGTACCGGAAGATTATTGCTGGCTGGAACCGAGCTACGGGGTACAGAGGAGCGGATTCTCGCATTGCCGACATCTGACAGCTTCCCACGGCCGGTATTTCGCTTTCCAGCCCAGCAAGACCCTGGCTTGCGGCCGGACCAGTCAGAATACGCGGGAATTGCGCCTCCAGTGTCCACCGCCCAGCAACCCGGGCAGCTTGGGCACCAGATCACCGACGATGCTCTCTGTTTTGGCGAGGGCCGGTGATCGGCGGTGGGTAGCTCTTATTTGCTATCAAAATGCCTGTTTCACCCTGTGACTTGGGCAAAAGAGACATGGAATGTAAATCATTTCCACGACTATAGTGTGAGGCAAACAAGATGCGTTTGATGCGCAGCGATGCTGAGAAACGCCGCTCAGAGCCCACTCCTCCAAGCAGCCTCAGCAACAACCTTGTGCGTTGCGTGGACAGGTTGACGGGGATTTTCAAAGGCTCAAGTACACTGCTTTCCATGGTTTCATGTATCGTGATGGCGCGCGAATACTCCCTGCCTACCTACCCAGGGTAGGCAATTACATGTATGTACCAGACTCGACACGTTGGCCGCGCCCAAACCAGCGGGGGAGATACGTCGCCTGCCCCGGACGCTACATATGTAGCCATTCATTACCGACCTCCTGTCAGCAGTCTCGGCTTGCGGGGGAATGAACATGGGGGTGATGAGAAGATGACGTTGTAACATAGACACCGCGGGATTGGGCACCGATTCCACGCACCCGGGCTGGCGGAGCAGACGCCTCGCATATTACTACCCCGTACTCCCGCCGACTCCAAGAGACACGCCAAAGAGAAAAGCAAAAAAAAAAAACCGGAAAAAGAAAAGAAGAGGGCTTTGGACTTTGATCCCTGACTTCCCAACCCATCCCCATCTCGGAGTACACGCCACGGCAAGGATCCAAAGCACGTAGCATGTTCGCTGGCAAGACGACGTGACGAATGTGATTGTGGTTGATGCACTCGGCACGATTCATTATCAATAGAAATCGCTTTCGACCCCCAATCACCTTCTGACTAGCCACCTGTGTTGCAGTGAAGACGTTATGGACAGCCGGAGAACTGACCCCTCTCGCAATTATACACAGCGGAGGGCATGATACGGAGCTGCAGATGACGAACTAGTCCCCTCTAGTCAGGTACGAAGACGTTTTTTTTTTTTCAAACAGAAAAGTAAAACGTCTCGCGCATACATCAAGTGGGATGCAAGCTAGCGTGGTGATGCGTTTAGAAATGCTTCACGATCCGACGAGAGAAGCGGCACTAAATAACGCCATCGTCGCTTCCTTGCTTGGGTTTTACAACTTTGGTTGAAAATGATGAAGAAAAAAAAGAGATTTTTTGATTTATCAAAAATGTACATGTCGCCGCCGGTAGATTAGCACGTAGTTGCTTGGAGGGTTCGCCGACGGCCTCCCTACCGTCATCTGTGAGGCATACGATGTTCACGCTTCAAACGCCTCTGGTCACTTGACATGTTAGATCTTGGACTAGCGAGCGAGTAAATGCGTACTTTTATAGCAAGAAACCAGGCAGTGGATACGAGTCAATAGAATTCTCCATGTCCCTGTATTTACCACTAAACTACCCTGACCAGTTATCGACCCTGTTGGAGAATCATAAGCTCCGTCCTTCCTCGAGTCGTTCATGTCCGTCCTCATTAGCGGCATAATTTCTACTTTGCCCAACAAACACCGGTGATGATCAATCCATGTAAGCCCCTTGGTTCAAAAAAACAAAAAAAAAAAAAAAGACAGTCAATGACGCCAAGCGCTCTATAATACACAACCACGACGGCAATTTATTCTGCTACCCGGACGCAAAATAATCACATTGCCCCAAAGACCACTTTACCCCTGTGCAGCGACTGCGCCCCGACTTCATGGGGGTACGGTTTCCGACCCCAAACCACAAACGTCGGCATGTACGCGTGGATCGAAGTGTTGGAAAGGTCCCGACGGACGTCGACAAGAGACGCCTACAGACAGGTGGCTGTGTCAGCTCGGTCCATGCCCATGCCCACGGCCACGCGCCGAGACCGACCGACTCACCTCAATCTCCTCGGCTGAACGGTCAAACCCGTGATGAAGGAGTTGGTAGGAAAAGGCAGACAGCCCTTCGACCAGGTTGTGCCCCCAGAGCAGCCCAACCTGCTTCAGGTAGCGATTCTTGGGCCACGAGTTGAGGGGCATCTTGTACACGCGCTGCTGGACGTCGACAAAGCCCGCGTTCTCGTAGGCCCTCTTCAGGACGGGCCCCAGGAGCGTAGGGCGGCCCATCTTGTCCGCGGCGAGGATGAGGTCGCTGATCCACGAGACGATGGGTCCGCAGGGGTCCAGCGTGCCGTCGTCGCACGAGATGTTACAGTCGACCTCTTGGGATTCGAACCAGCCGCCCGGCTCGAGGGCCTCAAAGGCCTGCGCGGCCACTTGCTTCTCAAAGTCTTCCCAGCAGCCGCCCGTGAGCCGGGTGTGTATAAAGTTGAACTTGTGGGGGAAGTCCCACGGCTCCGTCCTGCGCCGAAGCGTGTTAGTACTCGTCACGACTAAAAGGGACACCAGACCTGTTTTGTAAAGCAAAAAAAAAAAAGGACAAAGCTCGCATATGGACCTACGCGTCTTCGACATAGAACCGGACATTGGGCGGCACGTAGTTGGGCTGGATCGGCGACAGGTCCGTGGCAATGATGCGCGCGTCGGGGAACTCGTCGGCCATCTCGATGGCCCAGTCGCCAATGCCCGTGGCGATGTCGAGGATAAAGTGCGGATAGTCGCGCGAGGAAATGGGCGCAAAGTGCAGCTTGCCGCCCATGAGCTTCTGCATGATGGGGCCCTGCAGCGCCAGCCGCTCCTGTTCCTTCTCGTCGTTTGGGAAAACGTAGGCTTCACGAGTCTCATCAGCGAGGGACCGCGTAAACATGGACGGGCGCAGCTCATAGTCTCATACATCCGGCATGAAAGGCGTGGTAGGTGCGGCCAAACAACTTGGGGTATTCCAACACGCTGTTGGTGAGGGACGCGTCCGAAAACGAGCTGACTTCGCTACTGAAGATGGATACTGGTTGGTATTAGAACGCTTTTGCAAAGGTAGACCCATGTCCCATGTCCCCGTGTCCCATAACATATCCCCTTTGTCCATGGATGGCGGCGCGGCGGGGGGAAATTCATTCTCACCTTTCCCCAGACTGTTGTTACATCACGTCAGCGCAAACGCCCCCCCGATGAGCATCAAAATGGGAGCGTACATCAGGTTCAATCAGCAGCATGGACGACTCAAAGGTGAACTCGAAATCGCACAGCGGATGAAGGGCCGCGTCGTCGTGCTTGTCGATGCCGTCGACCATGACGGCATCCAGCTCGTCTGCCCGCGGGGTCGGCATGGCTGGCGAGGGTCGTATCGGCGTCGAGATTCCGAGGGTTCGATGTCTCGCGTTAAAAATAAAAAGGCAAGGGTCCAAGAGTCGGTGACACGGCGAGAGGATAAAGGACCAGACCAGACACCAGACCAGACTCTACACTGCCCAGGCCCAGGCAGCAAGCAAGAGCAAGCTTTCCAAGTCCAAGAGCGGCCACATGCCCCCCGAGGGGGTTTGCAGAAATGTGGCGCCAGCCTTTTCCTGCTCACGTATTGTACACAGTATGTTTGCTTTTTCCTTGACCGCATTTCTGTCATTGGCCCCGATACAATGCTATCTCGCGCGGCCTCGCGCACACTTGACGTCTTGGTCCATTCCGCACCCTGATTGCGCCTGACGGACCCCATGCTCGGGCGGCGCGCGCTGTGCTGAATGCGGCTTCATGGCGGCTGCCAGGCGCAATCGTAAATTGTTGCCAGACAAATACCGCCAGTCAGTGGAGCGGCGGACCCGAGGCCGTGGCCAATATTGTTCCGAGCTGACGGCAGAGACGGACGAGACGTGTGTGGGCTGGTGAAGGTTGACAGATGAGACAGAGATCCGCATTCCGGCATGGTCGGACCTCTACTCCGTGCCCACGACTCTGTCCATGCAAAGATGATTTACAGTCCATGACTCTGAACCGCCCTTTGTTTTTGTTTTGGGCCCAAAGGGAACCCAACAGGCAGCGTGGCCACCTATGCTCTGTAGACGTGCCACGACCGTCTCAAGTACGTATGTTGACACAAAACTATATTTCTTTGACATGCCATCATGTGTGAGATACATGGACGTATTGCCTATTCCGCCATGCTGCCGCCGCGTCAAATCCATCGGCCCCCCCCCCTCCTCCCCGACTATAGCTGATGCCCCCCTTCACTCCTCGTCCGCATAGGCGGCGGTGCCTCCGCTGTTCCTCTGATGGCACGCGTACTCGTCGGTGACGTGCGTGTTGATGGCGTGGGCGATGCGGCCGTTGCTGCCGAGCTCGACACGCAGCACGTCGGCGTACCGCGACGTGACGCAGCGGTACGGACTGTCCGGGTTGAAGGACACGTCGTAGCTCAGGGCGTTGTAGACCTCGACCCAGGTCCTCCAGTCGACGTCGGCTCGGCGCACGCCCCGCGGCGCGCAGGCGGCGACGGCGTTGCTCATGTGGTAGTGCATCTGGACGCTGTCGGCGAGGGACCTGTTGGACACGGTCGCCCACATGCGCATGAGGCTGCGCATCTCGGGGTCGACGTCGGGGGCGACGGCCAGCGCGGGCAGGTCGCGGCTCGCACGGCCGATGATGGCCTCGACGAGGCGCGTCCTGGCGGCCTTGGCCCGGGCAACGTCGGTGGTCCAGTACGGCGTGCCGTCGGCCAGCCACGGCTCCCGGCTGTGGTAGCTGAGCGGCGCGTGGCCGCGTCCGCGCGCCGTCAGCAGGCCCCATCTCGCGATGGTGACATAGTACAGCTCGCTGACCAGGAACCAGACGTAGCCGAAGCCGTGCATGCCGTCGCCGCAGCCGCACTCGGCCAGGCGCCGGCCGATGTCGTGACACCAGTCGGCCACGTGGCAGAGCGCCTCCTTGGTGTAGAGCCGGCACACGTTGCCGCCCTCGCCGCCGGCCGTGTCCTCCATCAGGTCCCAGACGTCGTGCAGCGTGGCCACGCTGTCGAGCGCCTGCCGCACGTAGACGCAGCCGCTGTCGTACCAGCCCTTGTAGGTGCCGCCGCCGAGCTGGCACCGCAGCGCGACGTCGATGAACTGCGGCAGCGCGCCGTCGATCCAGCGCGCGTCCAGGAGCTCCCCCGGCGACGGCAGCGCGCCGCCCTCGTAGTTGTCAATCAGCCGCTGCACAATCACGTCGGCCGTGCACATGGACGACTCGATGTTGTAGTGGACGGCCCGCGGGTTCACGAAGCTGTTGAGGACGGCGTCGGCCCAGCCGTGCGTGGCCGCCGTCTTGTCGGCGCCGAACCGGTCGGCGTAGTCGGCCATGGTGAAGGCGTAGCTGCCCATCATCATGTCCAGGCAGTCGTACCGCAGCCGCCCGGCCACGATGCACATGTTGTAGAAGCACGGCGAGACGTCCCCGGCTCGCAAGAAGTCGGCCACGCGCCGCGGCTGCGCCATGGAGATGGCCTCGGCGCGGTGCCGCTTGGTGTTCTTGACCTCGACCCCGTCGAGATGCACGCACCCGGCCTCGCCCAGCCGCTGCAGGTTGGGCACAACTACCTGCGAGGGAAAGGTGAAGGAGTGCGGCGGCGGCACGGCCACCGGGCCCCCCGTGTACAGGCTGTATTCCGTCACGCGGATCGCCGTCGAGGCCAGGGGCGAGATCTGCGCCGCGCGCGCCAGGGCGCTCACCGTCTGGCTGCAGTCGTAGAGCCGCTCGTTGCCCTTGAACAGGCACACGAACTGCTTCCCCAGGTCCTTGCTGCCGTGCAGCGTGTACTTGGGGTGCCGCAGCAGCCCGTGCTCGTAGCGAGCAAACCCGGCCGCGACCCCCCAGTCGTCGGCGTTGGACTCGTCCACCTCGGCCTGGCACATGGCATCCTTTCTCGCGTAGGCCGCCTCGTCAAAGATGTGGTCCCAGGTCGCCGTCGTCCTCCACAGCACGTTGCCGCCGTCGGCGTACTCCTCGTAGTCGTACAGGCTGTCGCAGCAAAACGGCATGACGCCGTCGCCGAGCCCGCCCGACCGGACCATCAGCGGCTTGGACTGGCCTCGTCGATCCTTGGCCCCGGCCGTCTCCGGCCTCGTTGCACCCGACGTGTCCGGCGCGGGCGACATCTGGTCCCATACCAGAATGCCGATGCTGGCGGCGTCCATGCCCACGAGGCTGTGGGCAGTCAGGAGGCGCGCGAATTCCTGCTCGGCGTCGGTCCTGACCTGCGGCTCTCTCGGGCACCGTCCCAGCCGCCGGGCAATTCTCCTCATGCCCTTGCTCGTGCTCCAGCTGCTGCCGTGGTGCCGTGCCATGTAGGCGCTCAGGAGCCGCTGCCGCCTCCCATACAAGGCCACGACCTGCTCGTGTTGCGCCCGGGGTGCCGTGTCGGGCCCGGCACGCTGCCTCTCTTTGCGGGCGTGGTGCGGAGAGGGGGCGTCTTCAAGTTCAAGTGTAACCATGTTGCTTGGGGGAGAGGACAAGGGGACGAATGTGTCAATGGGCATGGACGTTGGAGGCTATGTTGCTCCCCCTCACGGCGGCCATGTTCCGTGGGAGGCGAGGAGGAGGTTATTTATGCACCCCATGGCTGGCCCTTGATGGGCGACGGGATCCGAGATTGCATCACGGGTCATTGATGCGCTCTTCCATCTCAAGACACCATGTCCCCTTGACGGACCTGGGCGGCGGGCCGACTCCTGTGCCGCCGTTGGGCCGCGACCAAAGCCGAGTCGACCAGCTCTTGTTGCTGGCGTCTGGTTGATTTCGCGATCTGTCATCTGCCGTCGTGACATTGCGCACAAATGGGGCAGCCCCATGAGTTGGCGCAAACGAGGAAAAGCAAAAAAAAAGAAACAAGAGGAAAAAGAAACGAAAACAAGACAGCGTTCAGGTCGTCGTACAATGCCGAGGTCAGCCACGTCCCAGAAAAAAGTGGAAACATGGCATTGTGAAGACGGACGAAGAAGAAGCAACGTTGATTGAATCCATGGGCCGGTCTCGAGTGGCGCGTTTTTGTGTCGCACTGCGGCCTGTTCCCTTGTCGATCATCCGCTCCCTCGGGAACGCCAAGACGTACGTAATTTCGGTCCTTGGGTGCCACATGCTCCTACTGTCTACATATGTATGTACACCTATGTGATGGTGATTCAGATGGCCGTTATTGCTTCATTTCGCACAGAGTCCTTGTGCCGAAGTGCTCCGGTCTCCTCGACGTCGGGAAGCCACCTCGGGTGAAGTCGTCCTTGACTCTATTTCGTACCCCGGCCATGACCAGGCCTGCGTCTGACCACCCCCGGACCTTTGGCACTTTCGTCTTGCATCCCGGCATCAAGAAGCCATCTCATGACTGTGGAGTAAGCTGCATATTTGGAACCGTGTGATGCCAAGATGCAAGGACAGTATACTTATCAAGTCATCATCATGTCTATAGCCTCCGTCAAAAATCCCCTGCTGTCAAATCAACATGTCAAATAATGAAATATCAAAATCTAATACTGCTTCTATAATACCTTGGTGCTTCTCTGCCCATTCTCCGCATCATTGGGAAACACAGTGGGGCAATTTATATTCAATGTTCCGTCTGGTCTACCTCTCCCATTCTCCTCGAGGTGCCACGCAACTTCCTAGACCTAACCTCTTCGAGCGAGTTTTCTCAAACGTGCAGAAGCCAATTCAACGTACCGTCGACCGGTGTATGTACACCCTGGATGTGTCATGACATGCTCAACCGGGCAGCCATCTCCCATGTTCCCACCAGCAGGCCTCCGGTCGACCCTGGTATAGGCTCTGGCGGTAAGTGAGGCGCCGGGATGGACAGCCACGCGGTAAAGGAGCATCAATTGATCGTCTCCCCATATCGGCCCATTTAGAAGCTCTCGTGAGCAGATGATGCTTCCCTCTCGGGTGCACACCGTCCAAGATCGCTATCGGCGGCGACCGAATATTCCTGGACAAGCACTGATCAGCAATCCACCCGTGGCAGTGTTGTGTATAGTCTGGTGGCGTGCCATGGGGGCAATTCTCAACAGCCGTGAGCCTGTCCGTCCAGATCTTGATGGCTTGCCGCCCATGGTGACACCATGCCCTCCCTCCTCCACGGCTGCGGGCGAATTTGACCTATCGTTCTCGTGCCAACGTTTCGCGTGGCTCGTCAAGCTATTCGAGGCTCATGTCCAATCACGGTTATACTTTTTTCTACACTAGCAACACATTCATGACGTATCACATGCAGGCGCCATGGCGAGTCTGCGACTTGCAAATTCAGCCACGTCTTTCTCAGTCACGGGCACCATGACCGACGTCAAGTTCGGCACAACCATGGCTGAGTACCCGTGAGTGGCATCCTTGTGTTTTCCACTGACGGAGAGGTGCATTTCCGTCAGCTCATACAACTTGCTTGTCAAGGCAGGCTTTTTCTCGCTAGTGCCGCACAGAGAGACATCCAAGTCTGACGTGGGATTTGAACATTCTTGCCCATGGGCGTGACAGTTTGGGCCCCCAAAGCTGTCATGACCTCTGTCTCAAGCCGATCTTTACGAATAACGGGCTCTCCGTGGTCTCCCAGTGGCGTAGTTGCGTGGAAGAGACTGCTGCGAGGCAGTACTATCCCGTCAAAGTGCAGAGGATGGAGGGGAGGATGGTGAGAGACATGAGAATCATAGTCAAGACATGGATATACATGTGAAAGCACTGTGGCTTTCTAGACCCGTGGACCTTCAACGTTGTGTCTGCACGAGCTTTGCCAGACTGTGAAAAGACGCAAATCATGTCGCCGGACAAGATGAGGCCTCCTCAGTTCCATAAGTAGCATGTAATTCAAGGCCGAGGACGTATGTATCATAGATGAATACAAAAATGGTAGCGCTTCATCAAGTTGAAAAAAAAAAAAAACCAATCTGGATTTGCAGGACATCATGGTACGACGCCAAGCAGCAAATATAATACTAGCAAGTATGTCAATTCCAACGAGTCAAATAGATACAAAAGAAGAGCAATTCCATGTACAGGCCCCATGCGTAAATCCATTATCTCGCATGTCTCATGGGCATGTACCTGGCCGGCCCAGTGGTTAGGCTACCAATATACAGCAGCCTCATCAAAGGACCAGCATCACGTCAACGCTAAGCCCCCTCATGATATTACTCTACGACTACTGAAACTGAAAATATCACATTGAAGGTTTAAACTGAACGTCGTGTACTTGATCCTGGTACTCTGCAGAAATTGCGATTTGCTAAGCGTGTCTCCACGATCCATCATGTCAAGCTATGCATATACCACTATTGTCCCAAATCAATGCTAAAAACATGGTACATATTTTTACGTAGAAGAAACACTCACAGGCAGAGACTCTAGAAATGGTTCTAGTCTGCTGTGCAAGAAGGCCAATTCATCAAGTAGTTAACCTACGTGCTACCCACCGCTATATGAAGGGGACATTGCTAGACGCCAGAAGAAAGGCAGCATGGTTACAGCATTCTTCACCCGGGGCATACGCATAGAGAATTGTGCTTGCACGATTGCTAGCGCCCAGTTCGAAAACAGGAGCCACGTTCATGAAAGGGCTTCACGAGACTCTGACCATGACCTGAAGTTGCCAACTCAAGACATGAGAGTTATCCAAGTCTAATTTACAAAAGTTGTAGTGAATAGCAGAAGTACAACGGCAGGCAACACCTCGGGCTGTGAATACGAACACTAACATGAGACGTGGTATCTTGCAAAAGCAGCCACGGATGACAAAATTTCGAAACCCGTCTTTAAAGCCAAGAGGCTACCACGAGCGAAATCTGCCAATTTAATTGGGATAGCAACTGCTGCTCAGATTATATTTACCTGTACAGATGGATGAGGAAATAACTTTCCTCGCCGCGCAGGCTATCCCAGGACTGCGGCCGGATATGTCGCCCCAAAATTCAAGCGTCTGGGGTGAGAAGAGGCCTATAGTGCGAGAAATGGAAAACAAACTATGACATGCCTCTGGACACTTTATTAGCTGTAGGATAACGTACCGCGAATTTTGAAGATTGGGCGAGGCAAAACTGGTACTATTTCGGTACAAATGAGGCCTCACGAATCATAAAATACCACTCGAAACGTCAAGTGGTGCTATCACGTTCAAAATCTATGAATTGAATTGAACAGCGACGTCGTCCTTGGATTGAAGCTATCTAGGGAGGGAAATCAGGCCCTTATTATAGTTATTGAAGGTTATTTGATAGGTCTCCTAGAAAGTCGTCGATTAAGGGACTTGGCTATTGAAGGTCCGACTCTAATAGGGTCGTGGCGCCAGGCTGTTAGTAGTTTCATTTCAGGGCATTTCGGCGATGCCGATAAATAGCAGCCTTCTTCCATTGAAAGGGGCCTGTGGCGTTAATAGCAGGCTTTTTGCCGTTAACAGGTGCACATTCGAGGGAGGGTCGTCATTGGCCGTCTTTAGCATTCGACCACCCGTGACGCATCGCTTCTGGCAACATGGAATAGAGAGGTGTCGTGGTTGAATAGGCGTCAGGAGCATGGGATCACCATCACACACAGGGTTTTTAACAAACGCAAATACTCACCGCAGCCAAGCAAACATGTTGTATGTCATGTTGTCAAGCACCACACACCAGGTTCATGAAACTAAAAGGTGCACATATTTGCCCAAGAGAATTTGTCGACAAATGGGCACAATCACTTGTCAATACTTGACACAATGCAATGAATTTGCCCCATACAAATCAGCAACCGGGTAAAGAACTGACTTGATAGCTGATACGAAGCACTACCTGGATGCGTCTGATTTCCAGCGTCATTTATTGCTAAAGACTTTCCCATCCACGTAATGTACCAACTCCGTGACAGGCTCCAGCTCGTCTTGCCCAGCCCCAAAATCCATGCCCCTTTTCATCACTCGTCTGTAGTTCTTCCCCGGGCTGATTTTGCCCAGCACATACGGCTGTCTGGTGGCTACCCTGTCAGGCACGGGGATGCTGCGTCCAACAATGGCCTCCATTCCCTGCCAAGCAAACGTGATGGCTTCTTTGGCATCGGCAGGAATGCCCGCCTCGTCTAGCATCATGACCTTCGCTGCAGGAAACGCAGCCTGCAAGTAGTCTGTAATATTGGGGTTCTTGGCACCTCCGCCACACATGTATATCTCACAGAGCGGGCCGTAGCCGGTCGGCATGTAGCGCTTGTAGTGTTCAACAATGGCTTTGGCAGTGATCCTAGTGATGGTGGCGACGACGTCATTGGCGGAAAGCCCCTTCTCAAGACCTTGTTCAATCAAGTCGTGAGCAATCGTGTCACGAAAGGTCTCGCGGCCCGTTGTTTTGGGAGGGTCGAGGGAAAAGTACGCAAAAGACGAGAGGAACTTGTCCACCATTTCCTCGTCGACGGTGCCAGCCTTGCCCATGCGGCCGTTCTGGTCGTACTCTTGCTGGCCGTCTGTAAAGTATCGGACGGCAGCGTCGATGAAGACGTTGCCCGGCCCCGTGTCAAAGTCGAAAAACTCGGGGTTGAGCTTGCCGTCCCTGTCCGGCGGGATGAAGCAGACGTTGGCAATGCCGCCAATGTTCTGGCAAGCGCGAAGTTTGGTCGGGTGATGCAAGACGAGCGAGTCGAAAAAGGCAATGAGAGGCGCTCCCTGACGCCCGGCGGCTTGGTCCGAGACGCGGAAGTCTGTCACTGTCGTGATGCCCGTCATGGACGCCAGGAAGCATCCTTCGGCCATGGTAAGAGCAGACGTGACATTTCCCTCTTCCGGCATACTTGCAAACCAGATGGTTTGGCCATGCGACCCAATGACATCGATTGAGGAGAGTGGAACATTGTGTCTCTGGGAGAAGATTTTGACAGCCTGCGCAAACTCCTTGCCTAAAATGACGTTGACTTCCGAAAGCTCTTCTGGCGATGTCGTGTTGTGAAGGATCATTGCCATGACGCGTTTTTTAATGGTCGGCTCCAGAGGCACTTCATCATACTTGAGCAGCTCAAAATGCATCGGCGCATCGGGGGTTGCTTGTCTGAACCGACACAAGGCACAGTCGATTCCATCCATGGACGTGCCAGAGTTGAGGCCCAACACAACAAGGTCTAATGGTGAGGATTGTGAGCCAGTGGCTCCATCGTAAACTGAACCCATCGTGTCTGTCGAGGTTTCGCTGATGGGTTTTACCTTGGAACCTCGGACAACAGCTCATGAGAGAGTATTCATACGAAACACATGGAATCATAGGCTAAATATCATCAACAAATGCAAATATGGCATGCATCTCCTCAATATCGCACGTGACGGATGCAGGGTAGATGCGGGAGGATGGTCCCTGTTGTTTTCAGCTTCCACGCTTACATGCTTAAGTGCTTAAACGCTTAAATGAACACAGAGAGTCAGACATGTGTGACACAAGGTAAGCAGTACCAGCAAATGATTGGGCCGCCAAGCCAACCACGCCGTTCAATGTTGGCATTTAAGCGTTTAGCCGTTTCTCCCTATAAGCGTATAACCGTCTGGCGAACCATGAACAGGTGCATGCCTGGTTGTACGATAAGATCGAGCCAGTTTCTCGCCATGAATGGCAGACGCAAGCGGGCACCTGCATATGATCCAGCCGTCTCACTCCTCCCCGGACGGAAGCATTGTCTTCTCCAGGTATTTTTGCAACAGCTGACACACCCATCTCCCATGGCCGATTCCCCGATGCTTACCCCTGACAAACCTCAGCCACAAGCAAGTATAAATGAGCCGAGACAATCCTTCAAACAACCATGCCGTCCGTGTAGCAAGCATCTGGCCCATCACCAGTGTTACTGAATCGCTCGTCTCCTACTGTCTCTCGACTTTCGGCAAAAATGGCCTTGCCACAAATATGGCAATACATACCTGGAAAGGTGTTGCTTTTCCTCATCAATTTGGTGTCTGCGATTGCCCTGATTTTTGAAGGTACCGATCTGCGGACCTGACTTGTTGTTCACAACAACCATAGCTGACACATCGAAACAGGATACAATCAAGGCGTGTATGGCACGGTTAGCGGCACTCCCGGCTTCATCAAAATGGCCCAAATCGGCCATGATGATGTTGTTACCGACAGCATCAAACAAGGTGGCCTCGCCGCTGCGTACTACTTTGGCGGTATGTGGGGATGCTTCATCGGAGGTAAGCGTACATCAGACTAAAGACGCTCAGATGGTAAACATCTCATGACTAACATGTGCCCGTAAAAGGATGGATGGGCGACAAGTTTGGCCGCAAGAACGGCGTCCTCGCGGGGACGTGGTTTGGCATCGTCGGCGCCGCTCTCCAAGCAGCCAGTCAGAATTCCAACATGTTCCTGTGCGCTCGCGTCATTGCGGGCATTGGCATCGGCTTCATGAATGCCATTATCCTCCCTTGGGTCAGTGAGCTGTCTCAGTCACACGACCGTGGCTCCAGCTTTTCGCTCGTCTTCGTCGCCAATTTCCTCGGCATCACCATTGCCTACTGGATCAACTTTGGGCTTCGCGAATCTAATGAGTCTTTTCAATGGCGATTCCCGCTTGCGTGGATAATTATCCCTCTCATTGTTGTTGATGTGGCCGTTCCTTTCTTGCCAGAATCACCACGGTAGGTGGTGTCTACAAATTCGGTACCGTCTGGTCCAATGCTTAACTCTGTCGTAGGTGGCTCATAGCGAATGGCAAACGAACGGAAGCCATCAGCATCCTCTGTAAGCTTCGGGGGGATCTGTCTTCAAATGACTCCCAAATTGTTGCCGAAGTCGAGCAGCTGGATGCCATTGTCGAAGCCACCCATCACAAACGAAATGACCTTGTTAATATTACTCTGGGCGGTCGCTATTCAGGTAAACTCCACTTGGGAAGACGTGCCGTCATGGGATTTGCGCTGCAATGGATACAACAATGGACAGGCATCTTAGCCATTGTGTCATGGGCTGGCAAGCTCTTCAGCCTTGCGGGCTTCGACTCGTACAAGTCGCTCTTGCTGGCAGGACTTGTCAACTCTCTAGGCGTGCCTGGAACTGCAGCGGCAGCACTTGTAATCGATCGCATGGGCCGTATCAAGTCGTTGTTGGTTTCGTTTGTCATTCAAGGCGTCTCGCTCTTCCTTGTCGCCGCTCTCATCAAAACATCCGAGGACCGTGCCGCAACTGACCGAGACTTGTCAGCAAATCTCGGCACAGGAGCAGCCTCTTTTGTTTTTGTCTACCTCTGGTGAGTTGCCCCTCTCCCTCGTCGCACAGGTAGTCGTTTGTTAGACGGCTAATCGTGACCAAGGTTCTTTTGCATGTTTAATATTGTACCTTCATGGATCTACGGCACTGAGATCTGGCCACAGGAAATCCGTGCCAAGGGTTATAGCTTCACTATATTCGGGTGGGCTACCGGCTGCGGCATGACACAATTCGTTATTCCCATCTTGCTCGACAAATTGGGATGGGCGACCTACGTGTTTTTCGGCTCCTTGAATATCGTAGCCTTCCCTATTGTATGGCTTACTTACCCTGAGGTTGCCGGCAGGTCATTGGAGCAAGTCTCGTTGCTCTTCACGAGCGACAGCATCTTTGTCAACAAGAACATGGACGACTACGAGCGCCGCATGGATCAGGCAGGCGGAAATGTCGCCATTGCCGTCCGTCGCCTTCTTGACGAAGTGGATGGGGAGTCTTCGCCTGTGCCATCGATCGAGACCACCGAGAAGGGTCCCGGAGAAGAGGCTGGTGGGCAATCGGTTGTATTGTAGGACGTGTTCCGTAGTAATGGACAACAAGTTGTCATGGTGCACACGTCGTCTGGCACACTGCCGCGGAGCAACCTGGGATCGGTTCGAGGTAAATCTACCGTCTGGTAGGGTTTCACACTCTCAAGTTATGCAATTTTCTGACAATGTCACCTGCGTTGGCACAGCTTGATCTTGGCGACCAATCCAGGCCCTTGCATGCCGGAGACGACTCGGGTCGGAACATACAATATAACCCCTGAAAGTTTAGCCATGTGTGACATCAGTGAGTGGGGCCAGCTGTCAGGTTATTCGTTAACAGCTGTCAGAGTGGGCCGCGTATTTTTTCTGGAAAAACTGATAAAGTAATACAAGAAAAATGAAAAAAACATGGACCTTAGTAGAGAGTACTAATCCTTTCACATAGAATATGTAATGTTTTTAGTACCTCTTACTCTACTTCTTGTATCCCTTATTTTTTTATAGGCATCTTATTGGGCCCTTAGCCCCTGTAACCTCCACTGTAAGTCACGGGTGGCTAAACTTACAGGGGTTGGATTGTACCGTTGACCCGTTGGCAACTAAGTGGACCAGTCCTTTTCCACTTAGTTGCCAACGGGTAATTTCGTCGGCAGGATTAGATCTCGTGTATGTACATACATGGTCTGGTCTGGCTGCATGGCCAGAAGTAAAGACTACGGCGATGGACGTAGATAACTGTACATATCAATTGATGCAAATACCATTTGATACCACAAAGTCCTAGGTAAATTGGCAAGTTTGCGGATGGCTTGATTGGGGCCTCTCCGTCCTCGCCCGACGCTTTAAGGATAGTTACAGTATAACCCCTGTTTGATTAACCACCCGTAACCTCGCAGGGGTGATACAACCAATCAAAAGTTAAAAGGTGGGGGAAATAAATACCTAAATTTAAAAGGAAAAGGTAAGAAAGCTGGTGTACCTTCGCTAATCCCTGCTATAGCACTTAACAGCCAGTCATAATTAGCAGCTAGACTGCCGATACAGCCAGGGGACCTTGCTCTATTAACCTGATTAGGCCACGGCTGGTTAATCAAACAGGGCACCTGGGGTTATACTGAAGACAAGGCCTATATGTAGCTGAGTAATTACTCAATTCATCTAATAACAGTCTTTGGTATCAAAGGTCCTTGGTTTTCCTCAAGGCCTTGAGGGACTAAAGCCGTCTATTTATACAAGAACTCGGTGAGGACCTTCTGCCCTAATCCCGTGACCGTAGCCCTTGTGTAACCGTCAATGTGACATTGGCCCATTTCCATGTGAGAGTGTAACCACATCCCCAACCTGCTGACAGTAAACACTGGGCCGCAATGCCCTCCGCTGCATGAGTCCAAAAATGTAAAATAGAGGCTGGGGGGAAGGTAGGTTCAAATCGCCGTCTCGACATCTTCTTGTCTTTCACCTTATCAGCGCGTTGCCTCCTTCGCGATTGTTTTCACCGCTAGCAGATCTATCACACCTGAGTAAAACCTGATTCTCACAGCATGTCGAAGCAGGGAGACGACAGCCGTTCGCCAACCGTATCATCACGGCTTCGGTCGAGACTCAGACGTCTATTGCACCGTTCAAGCCCCCTGCCAAGCCAATCAGCTGCCCAAATTTCCAGTAACGGCCAAACAGACGATGATAACGTTCAATCTACCGGGCCTGCGAATATCTCGAAAACCATAGCAGCGCCCGATTCGACCAGTGACAAATCTATTGCAGACAATCAACAAGACGCTACTGGGAGCGACAATGTTGTTCAGTCGGACGCAAAGTCCGAGTCGAGTCTCTGGCAAGAGGCACTCGAGAAAACAGATAAAATGACAAAGGCCCGCATTGATAAATACATGAGTCGTGAGGATGTCAAGGTTCAGACTAATGAACTAATTGGTATCGTACGAGAGAGAGAAAAAGAGTTTCAAGACAAAACACACAAAATCAATATTGGAGATCGGGAAATCATATGGAGAGACTATGCAAATCGGGTCGTTTCCTGGATAACTGACATCGGCAACATTGCAGTTCAGTTTGCCCCGTCGGGGTCCGCAGCTGTCTGGTCAGCCATGAAAGTTCTTCTCAAGGTATTCCCTTTTACCACCGCTTTGTTCATGGGTGAACGGGGGGCTAAAACGTGCACTTTAGGCCCACGTAGATCAATGCCAGGAACTCACTGCTCTCTTCGGGTGCGCGGAGAGAGTTTTGCGTTTGGTCCGGCGTGGCAAAATTTACGAAGCCATTTACATCCAAGGAGCTAGTGAGACAAGTTTCAAGTCCTCAGAAGGCCTGCGCGAAGCACTAGTCAATGCATATCAAGCGTGTCTTAACCTTCTGGCACTTACAGCTGATCGCCTCCAACAGACAAGTATCGTTCGATTCCTGCATGCCCTAGAAAATCCCCGGGGAGAAGGTGATGAGATGGTTGGGGCACTAAGTAAGTCCGAAGTCCTCCTGTCTCACGAGGTACAAGCTTGTGAAGCCGAGCAAAGACAGACGGAAAATGCAAAGAACAGAGAGCTCCTTCAAAGATTAAACGAGCCTCTACGGTACATTGACCAGCGCATGGCTGCTCTATTTACGCAAGTGGAAAGGAGCAAACATTACGACACATTGGACTTTATCAGCAAGGTGAACATCGGCAATCAACATCAGAGAAGGAAGAACACAAGGTTAGAAGGAACTTGCGACTGGCTATTAGAACGCCAGAAGTTCCTTGACTGGGAAACTTCCAGCATGTCGTCAATTTTCTGGCTCAACGGTGAAGGTAGTTGCCCTGCCACTGCGTACACCACTGCCTGGGAATTCTGACTAATCTTTCATAGTTGGCGCCGGAAAATCTCTGCTTACTTCTAAAGTCGTTGATCGCTACTACGTCGATGCTCAGAGGCTGATAGACGAGGTCCATAGCTCATTGGTCGACGAAGGCTTCGCGTTCTTCTACTGCAGTAAAGGTGATGCTGACATCCAGGATGATTTGGAAACCCATCTTCTCAGAAGCTTTTTGCGGCAGTTGGCTACCGTTCCGCATTTTCCGACGAGGATGGAACAAAGCCTCATTGGACTCTGCGATGAAATGAGGAACAAGTCTGAAGCATTCTCTGTCCAAAAGTGCCAAGAGAGGATAGTGCAGCTCATCAATATTCTTCCCCGCACTATTTTCGTTTTGGATGCCCTTGATGAATGCGACAAAGGAACTGCCAAGAGACTTGTGAAATTCTTTACGAGACTTGTGCAGGAGTCTAAAAGCCTTATCAAGATCTTTGTTTCAAGCCGAGACGAGCAGCATATTCGCAGAACTATCTGTAGCAACCACACCATCGAAATTACCATCAATAAAAACAATCATGACGATATTAAAAGGTATATCAGCACGACTATAGAAGAGGTGGGCGATGAATGGTCACCAGATGTTAAATCGGCTGTACAAGCAAAGCTGTTGAGGGGGCATAATGGAATGTAAGGCTTATCATACCCAGGGGTCTCTGATGGAGATCAATTGCTGACAATCTGGTACAGGTTTAGATGGGCATTCCTGCAGATTGATCAGCTCAAATCGCTCACATCCGCCGAGGCAATCTTGGACCGCCTGGAGAACCTCCCCAAAGACCTCGTGGCAGCATATGATGAGATTTACAATGAGAAACAAGAATTTGACCGAATTTTGCTGCAGCGGGCCGTCAGATGGGTATCGTATGCCCGAAAACCACTATCAACCGAGCAATTACTCTCAGCAGTCCGGTTACAAGCTAAGCACGATGACCAAAATGTCTACACCTTGGAGCGATCCGGGGAAGTGACTAAACGGCAACTTGCATAAATCTGCTGCCATCTCATAAATGAGGATATCGCAGACGATTCTTGGAAATTCGCTCATGCATCCGTCTTGGAATACTTTCAGACCCAACATAAGCCTTGGATGGAGGAAAAAGCCAAAATCGAGCTGGCAAAGTTGTCACTTCTGATTCTTATTGAGGAGTATAACGCGTGGCCACTTCCAGAGGATGAGGGATTGACTGAAAGCCCCCGCGGCATCAACGATCCAGAATTTGGAGAAGACAACTACCTAGAATTACTACGCAGCAGGCCTGGATTAGAAAACTATGTCTCAGAGTTTTGGCCGTGGCATATCCAATCAACACAAGCTGGGGATAAGGGATGTCCAGAAGTGTCACATCTTCTCAAACGGTTCATGGCAGCCGAGGGCGAAACCTTGAGCTACAGCGAGGAGTACCGAAGATGGATCCAACACGCCTCGGAACAGATGACTTCTAACCCGTTTTACAGGGACTATGAGCTAGAGTACTGTCTAAGGTCCAACACCAACCCAGTTTTCTGGATAATAGCTCTCAATCTTTATGCTACAGCAAAAAAATGGATGGGTGGCCATCTCAATGTACAAGAACTCAACAGGGAAGGACTTGATGCTCTCGCATTCGCTGCTCGGTACGGCCACGACGCACTTTGTGTCGAACTAATCAAGATGGGCAGCGATACGAACAGAATCTTACATGTATGTGACTGGAGTGACGCGTCTATGAAAACAAGTGCGCTTAGGGAAGCCGTTATGAGGGAGCACGTACCTTGCGTCAGGACGCTTCTGGAGCACAACGCTGATCCGAATCTACATACATCCTCTATGGCTATTTGTGAAGCTGCACGGCGTAACACCGAAATTTTGGGGGTTCTCCTTGAATATAATGCGAGCCCAAATCTTTTGTGTCCGGAAGAATGCGAATTTAGTTCTGCATTAGAAGCGGCCGCATGTTGGGACGACTCTGCTTACAGGGCGGAATTGTTAATCAACGCCGGAGCGATTATTGACGCGGATCTCCCCAGGGCTGGCACTGCACTCACAAGTGCCGCGTCCTGGGGCTCACTAAATAGTGTTAAGATTCTTGTCAAGCATGGGGCAGATGTGAATGCTCATCTAAAAGTTCAGCCTGGTAGTGTCTTGGCCTCTGCTATTTTTGGTCTGGGTGACGTGGCCTTGTTAAAATTTCTTATCGAGGAGGCAAAGGCGGATCCGCAGAAGATGATTTTTAATTTTCAACGTACTAGTATAGAGTCTACGGGCGATATTGATACAATAGGCCTTGAAGCAGACGTGAGGATTGAAAAAGTAGATTATTTAATTAGCGGGCAACATCTCACTCACGACGACTTGGTAAATATTGGGTATACCAGAAATAGTACTGCTTAAACAAGGGCAAAGAGCAATACTCGACTGAGGTTGAGATTATCGCATACTGCCGGAAAATTCAGAGACAAAGCCAATATAACTATATTCAGAAAGCCTTTATTATCATAAGAATAAAGCCGAGACCAAGAGAGTATAAAACAGATCGCGATACGCTTAAGACTAAACTTTGGTCATGTAAGTAGTCTTGACACGTTTTGCGCAAAGAGAGAATTTTTAAACTGATTTATTGCATCCATAAAACATGATGCGACATCACGTCTAGCATATGGCTTGCGTCTTAGTAACCAATTTTCTAGAATCTCTGGTCTGTAGAACTAATTCAATCAATTCACCTTTAGATCCTGTGTATTCCGCTATGATGTCACATAAACTATATCCAAAAGATTGTTATTCACAAGCAGGAGTCTTTCGTTCCACGCGTGGCTATTATTTTAAAGATTTTCGTTTTAACTAGTTGTCTTAACAATTCTGCGGCTGCAAGCCTGGCATATCAATAATTGTAGTAGTACTTGAAAACATCACGTGATAAGCTGCTCACGTCTTCATCTGAGTAACTCATCGCAGACCGCATCTTCTTCAGACACACCTTTCGCATTGTACGGCAATGGCACTCAGAAACACCTTCAATTCTGCGGCACGTCGTATGAAGTCTTCGTTTAGCCACTCCTATAAACGGCTGCATTCTTTGGGACCTGTTTCCGAAGAAAACATAACACGGTACTGTGTCGGGGGCTACCACCCTGTGAGAATTGGAGACTTGTTCCGTGACGGCAAATACAAAATCATCAGCAAACTTGGATATGGTGTTTATTCCACCGTCTGGCTTGCCTTTGATCTCGAGTAAGCCGTAGTATTGCTGGGCAAAGATACTTTTACTGAGTTCGACTCCAGGTCGGAGCGACACGTTGCGCTCAAGATTCTCACAGCCGACTCTTTCGGACATGGAAACGACACCTTTGAAATCGATATTCTCAAACACATACAAAGTGAGATTGCCTCCGACCCCGGAAGACACCATATTCTTCCGCTGCTTGATAACTTCAAGCATGATGGTCCAAATGGAAATCATGCCTGCCTTGTCTTCCCCGCGATGGGCCCGGATATGTCCAAGTACAGGCGACTTTTCCCAAATCTGAGAATTCCCTTGCCTCTCATGAAGGATATTTCAAGAAAACTTCTGCTCGCTCTATCGTATTTACACGACACATGTCAAGTCATACACACGGGTTAGTAAACGGTCTCGGCGTTGATTGATCCTTTACTCGCCTGCCCCTAATAATAGTCTCAGACATAAAGCCTCAAAATATCCTAATTCAGACTTCTGCCATAAATAATATGTTCAAGCACGCACCATCTGAAGCATTTAAGCCAGACAGCTTAGCGCTGCCTCGTCCGCTGGACTTTTACACTGAATCCGCTCAAGTCTCCTCCGCGGAAGAAGATTTAGCTCACTCGACCGACATCTCCATTATGTTGGCAGATTTTGGGACAGGTAGGCCATTCAGCACAGGCGTTGTTGCGCTCATCTAATGAGTTGGTTGCAGCAAGCTGGTTCGAAAGGCACCTCACAGAGTGGATCCAGCCTCAAATGCTGCGAGCTCCCGAGGTGATACTCGAAGCGAATTGGGATCACAAGGTTGATATATGGAATCTGGGATTAATCGTACGTTCTATTTGCTGGAACACTGTGATATGTGGCATGTTGACGCTTGCCGTGACAGATATGGGAACTTGCAGAGGGACGACTTCTATTCGATGGCATGTGGACTCCGAGTGGCCCGTATTCACCTGAAGCTCATTTAGCTCAAATAACTGCCGTGTTTGGCAGTATACCCAGGCCATTATTGGATCGATCGAAGAATCGACATCGATATTTTGACACTGACGGTATGGATACCCTGCGACCTGGTCAGCACAGACACTACATTATACTGAATCATCGTTCCATCACATAGGCAAACTTCTCAAACCGTCATCCTTCCCACTGTGCAGCCTGGAACAATTTAGCAAGAATCCTGACCTCTCGGGTGCGGAAAAGAAGAGTTTTTTGCATTTTATTAGGTCTATGGTGAGAACGGATCCGGAGGAGCGCTTAGATGCGAGGAAGCTACTAGAATCACCTTGGCTGTCTTAACTGTGTAAATGGTCTTTTGATATGCTGGCAAGACCTGAAGGTGTCGGCCTGGTACAAGATAGCAAAGGCCACGGTTAGACTTGCGGCAACGGAGGTGACGCTTTAAGTGCTTTGCATGGAGGTGGGACGTGGTGGAACACTTCACCCGTCCGATTGCTATCGCCTCGAAATCGTGTCAATGCATGTTCTAGCACACGATATAGATCTGTAATGAAGCTCCACTCAGAAATCCAAGACTCGTCGTAAACGCGAGAACTGTGCCGACGAGAAGATGGGCTCATATTGAGCTGGTTGAGGGGGTTTGAGCTCTGCTGTTGGATAAGCTCGTCGTCGAGTTCCATCGGATATGAGACCTTGGATTGCTTCTTGAGACACCGTATGATTCCGCCAGACGACTGACACGTAGATGTTCTGGGCGTAGAAGGACCAAAACTGAATATGCGAGAATTAGTCCACTATAGCCCTTGTGCCTAATTCCAGGTTGTCAGTACTCACAAATCTCCTCCTCTCTTGTCGTGCAGCGTTTTCAAAATTCTTGGGTCAGTTGGATTCATCATGAAGAACATTACAGTATGGTACATTCCCAGGTGCAAGTGCATGTCCTTGGTTTTGCCAGTTTGAATGGACAAAATGGCGAAGATAGCATGGGCTCGAGGCCTGTCAATATGTGTACTGGCTTCGAGATGACGCAACTGTGCCTTTGCTGGGACATAAAAAGCATCCGGAGATATTCTTCTTGTCAATTAGGGTTGACGAATTAGGGGGATAATGGGATAGACAATCTCAAAGTAGAGCTCAATCAGGTCCTTGATGACTGCTTCACTCGCGACGAGTGGCGCAGACCAAGCATCATCCGAGCGATGAGTGTTGCTTTGCCAACCGCGAGGACCAGATTTTTATCGCCGTCACCGTTGTCCTTTCAATAACATGAGCGGTTAGATGCTCTTGGACCCCAAATGCCGAGTCATGTTGGCTGGTTGCGTCGCGTCATTTTGGCTTCTCACGGGCTCACGCCAGGCCTCTTCTCAAATCTCCCCCAAGTGATGCTACAAAATGCTGCTTTGTGGCCGTCCAAGTTTTTGGATAAGATTTCTGCACTACCAAGCATTACTTTGCTTTCCACATCAGGGAAACATGCCTCGCGTAAGTCTCGCGTTGCCCTGAGCCGTGCTCTGCCTCCGGAACACGCCTAACATTATGCCTCAGGGATAAACTGGACTTATTCAATTGTATTGACGCGAGAAACTGGTACTGGCCCGACAGATTAGGCATCCACAAGACAATAGCAGCGTTTGCATGGCGCGTTTGCTGCACGTGGCATGCAAACGCGCCGCGTATCAGAGGCTCTTCTTCAAGATTTCACCTCCATGGTTGATAAACAAAGTACGTGGGACTAGAGGGTTTATTTTATCGGCAGCGGAAAGAAGTCTAACAAAATCCTATATCCTGTTTTTAGTCCACATCAGCAAATCGCAAAGAATGACTCCTTTCTACCTCATAGAAGATGATGGGTTGTCACCGCCCTTGTATGCCGCCGACATCTGGGCAATTGAACAATCCATAGGCAAGCTCCCTTGCGAGTGTGCCGACTGCCACAAAGGCTTTTACACTGTCGAGGATCAACACAAACCCAATCTTTCATATCGCCGCAGGCTCTCCGATGAGGATGCGGAGCGCAGAGTGCTCTTGGCAGTGAAGAAGATGCACAATCTCCAAGGAGCCTTGACAGAGCGTCTTGATGTCTTCGATGATGCATTGATGAGCCGGTGGAACAAGCGAAGCCAAGCGAAGCGTGAAGCTTTATTAAAGGAGGCGGCCCCGGATCTTGAAGAGAAGCAATGGCTTATTCCGCGGTACAGCGACCTACGCGAGCAGTGTTACATATTTGCGAGATCCCAGAAGCGAAGGCGTCAACTCCTTTTGCCTTGGCTGAACGTGGAAGTCTTGCAAACTAATCCTATAGTTCTCTTTGCCTTGCTGCACTATAGGACAGCCTATTCTCCGCAGCACTGGGCAGCGTTCGATAGCCAACAACTTGATCACAGTTGGGCATCTGGATACTTCGATGCCGACTTCTCACCAAAATGTGTTGTCATGTATGGGCACAAATACGGATCGCTCGTGGATTGGGAAAAGGACGCGGCCCATCGAGCCGAAATCCTGGGCTTCCCCCGGGCGTCCCTGGTTCTTGAAGCGCAGGCCTACCTCATGGAAGTCCTCAACAATATCGTGACCAAGATCCTCGACGGCGTCGACATTGGACAACCCCCCCGGGTCGACAAGTGGAGAAGTCTCATCAGCAACGCTGCGTTTAGAGAGACGGGAGTCGTCGAGTTCTGGTCTCCATACACAAATCAAGCCTTCTCGCCACCACCGCAGTTCGACAGTAAATACCTAGTCTCGCTCGCCGAGACTCGACTACACGCAACAGAAGACCATCTCGGGCACTTGCAGTGCGATGCCGCATACATGCGGCGTTATCTGAAGGTCTTAGTTGCATCCAAAATCGTTAAGAAGGGCTCGGATTTCCACAAGGCCCAGATGATTGTGGAAACCATCCGCCTCCAGGTGTTCAATCATTATTGGTGGCGCTGGACCGAAATGGAATGCAGACATGTCGACGCGGTGCGAGATAGATTTCGCGACAGCATATATCCTGGCGTCGCCTTGCCCGTCGACTATGACCGAGCTCTCGGTGACTTGGAACTCCTCCTTGTCAAACAGATCCGTCTCAGGGTCTGTCACCTCAAATATCGCTTGCCACACACCCCAGGACTTCAAAAACACTGGAGCTTCGAGCCTAACACGCAGCCACATTTACCCCATATCGGCACCTTTCAACGGACGACGCCTATGTACGCACTAGAGTCTTTCACCAATGACCGCCTTGACTGGTGTCTGGCCCATTTAGTGGCAGAGCCCGACAGCAAAATAGCCTTTGATCCCGCCATGCTCTTTGATCCCGCCATGCTCTTCGCAATACTACATGAGCACATGTTGAATAACCCGTCTGAGAGAAATAGATTGGATGAAGTAGACTACCAGTTGCTCTCTGATCTCGCAACTTGCCGTGAAATGCTGATGGCTGTGCGTTTCCATAGACCGCAGAATACAAGATCGGCCTACGAGCTCAATAAGAAAGAAGAGAGACACGTCTGGGCACGCGCGCCATTCTTGAGTAGCGAAGAAGATGTCCGTAACTACCGGGTCATCGGGACTCCATTTTTGAAGAACTTCCACCTTGCCAATGCACCGACGGGTCCAAAAACTCCTGCCTGGTTGGAGAAGACCCAGCAGCTCCGCGCTGCTCTGGAGGCGTTCTGGAAAACGATGAGAGGATTAATCAGGAGAGACTTTAAAAAATTTAATCTCAGTCCAGCAGAAGCTGACAACCTTGTCGGGGTGATTTCGGCGAACGAGAGCGAGCAATATCGACAAGACAAACAGCGAGAGGACAATGAAGTTCTCGCGGCCATTCATGAACGCAATAGGCCACAACCAGTGACTAACTTCTTCAACGAGGCCGAAACCTGTTCCACGACTGCGACGATTATCCCACGCCTGGAGAAGACAAAAACGAGGGGTACCCCAAAGCCCCCCTTCGTGGAGGATGAGACGCCAGGTGTACAAGCAGAAACTACCGCAGTGGTCAACGTTGCCACAATCAAAGTGGCCAAGCAATGGTTGGATGTCTTTCACCCCATGTTCCCTGAGAAGGACGGTGCCGCGAAAGATGTAACGTGGGACAGATTTGTCCACGCCATGGCAGATGCGGGATTCACTGCCAGGAACAACGGGGGGTCACACGTGTCGTTCAAGCAGCGTGATGGGGAGGGCAGGATTGTCTTTCATAGACCTCACCCTGTACCCAAGATTGACCCCGTCATGTTGCGGGTCATGGCCCAGAGAATGGCGAAGCGGTTTGGATGGAGGCGAGAGCTGTTTGTTTTGCGCGATGACGCCACCCAAGCTTAGGCGTGGACTTGTAACGCCCGGTGTTGTAAGGAAACAACCAGAAGATCTGCCAGAATAAGATCTTCACTTTTGTGAGGCCTCCACTTTTGGCCGAGTTGTCAAAGCATGTAACACCAGTTGACTAGACACCTCATTTTTGGCGCACGTCCTTCTTGCTACCTTGTTTCAGAGTCATGGCTAGTTTAGGTAATTGTAAAATCTGCTGAATCAGCTTTTGTCATTGCCGCGCTGTCGTTTCCCGTCGGCGCGGTCGAGTTTGCTTCCACCGGTGCATGAGATTTTGTATCATTCATGGCGAGTTGTCCCGTCGAAGAGTGTCCACTGCCCAGTGATGTAAAGAGTCACGTGATCCAGCCTCACCAGGCCAACCTAAGCGAGATTGGAGGCCCTTTGTAAACAGCACGTGAGACCACATGCAGACAGAAAGACGATAGGGAAAATTGATCATCATCAATCCCCTCAACATCCAGAAAGCTCCGCATAAGAGTGTGGGGGTTCTTCCAAGACGATATCTTGGTTGACTGGCATCTGGAAATAGGGGATGACGTCAAGTAGGGATCGACTGATGGTTCCAGTCTCGGTTGATCCTCCAGTTGCGGCTGCGGGGGATCATTGATGCTGTGAGACCCCTGTATTGAAGTCGATCTCATATTTGGGCACTGGTGCGTGCTGCGAGGATCCTGCAGATCGCTCGTACCAAGATTGTAGGGAGCCTTTCGACGCGGGCTTGCACCAAATCCTGTTGGCTCAGATTTGGCAACTTTCTTGAAGCCTGAGCCACTTCTACACATGCCATTGTATTTCCCAGTTATCTGACGGATTCGAACGGCTTCCCGTTCTGTTCCCATGTCTGCAGGCGGGTGGATCAAATGACAATTGACAGCTTATTTTTGGTGGAGATGTGACATCAACAAGCAGATCTCCGATTCCACCTCAACAGGTCGAGCCAGGCAACCCGGCGCCAAAGCCGAATCAACAAACGCCTCCGCCAGGCACCGATGTCTGGCTTCGGGAAAGGCGGGCGCTTCCCAGTCCAAATTCTTGAGGAGTCGTGTCCAACGTGCCGCCGTAACCGACCCCCACGGCTCCAGCTACTGAATAAATAATTGTCGGCCCCTAGCAGGGAATTATATTCTCCAATGCACATGATCGAAGAACCCAAGTCCAAGGGACCAAGACGCGTAGCGAAATCGAGCCACCACGCGGTTTGATTGGCGTTTATCCGTGTTTCTCATCCAGACAAAGTGTTCAACCCTATTTCATGTCCATCGACAGAGCGCACGCGACCCCTTCCATTGGCTCAAATACTCCCATCCGCCCTGATTGATGGACCATTCAAAAGAGGGCAACGATACCACTCATCATGGCGAAACGCCATCTGTTTTGCGGCCTGAAACCAGGTTCGATCAAAGCCACCGGACCCTCGCAAATCGGGAGAACAAGGACGCCTCACTAAGGTCGTGGTGGAAAGACAAACTGGGTGCAGCCGCTGATTCTCTCATGGGCCGTCATAAAGAAGGAGCAGATGGCGACTTGAATACTTCTATATCGCCGGAATGGTTTGGGGCAACGGATGATCTGAACCGCGTCACGGCTCGTCGGGGGACTGGCGTGGAAGACGGTTTTGGAGGCGTTGATCACCACACACAGGCCAAAATGCTTCTGGACCATTTCAATCCGAAACGTCATAAGAGGCGGCGGCATCCGAAACAGGCCCAGTCCGGCGCATCCACGGCTCCTTCAACCCCAGACCTTGGCGAGCATCGCATGGGAACCCCGGTCGACGGCAGCATCCTCTCCCAATTGCTCCGTTCTTGTGCGGACAACTCGGCTTCAGAGAGCGGATTTTCTCTCACGCCAGGGACCAGGACCCCGGAAAATAATGCGACAGAGTCAGAAACAGACACGGCGCGTGCGCCGAGATCCAGACGAGGGAACAAGCGCAATGTCAAATGGTACAACAGCGAACAACACCTCGCCGAACGGGCGTCGACGCCGCCGCCGTGGGAGCACAGAAAAAGACCAAAGAGTGACAGGCAGGCCCGGCTGACGAAGCACATTGCCACGGTGCTTGCTCGGCAGCAGTACATGATGCAGCTCTGCCGCACGCTGATGATGTACGGCGCCCCGACTCACCGGCTGGAGGAATACATGGCCATGACGGCCAATGTCTTGGAGATAAGGGCGCAATTTCTGTACATCCCAGGCTGCATGTTCATCTCATTTGACGACGCGCTTACGAGGACTGCCGATGTCAAAATCATCCGCGTGGTGCAAGGCCTGGATTTGTCCCGACTCGCCGCCACACACAACGTGTATAAGAATGTAGTCCATGACGTGATCTCTCTGGAACAAGCCACCGAGGAGCTGGACGACATCATGACGTCGACCGCCCGGTACAATAAATGGCTTGTCATCCTCTTCATGGCGCTGGCCAGCGTCTCCGTCGGACCGTATGCGTTTTCCGCCCGCCCAATCGACTTGCCCGTCATCTTCGTGCTCGGCCTGCTCGTCGGCTTCATGCAGCAGGTTGTCGCGCCGGCGTCGTCGACGTATGCCAACGTTTTGGAAGTGTCGGCCGCCATATTGACGTCCTTTCTGGCACGGGCGTTCGGGAGCATCAAACACAACGGTACGTACCTCTTTTGCTTCCCGGCCATTGCGCAGTCTGCCATTGCCATGATCCTCCCGGGGTTTGCGGTTCTGAGCAGCAGCCTGGAGCTGCAATCCCACCAGATGAATGCCGGCTCCATCCGGCTCGTGTATACTATCATCTACTCTCTCTTCCTGGGCTACGGCGTGACCGTGGGGACGACAATCTACGGCCTGATGGATCCCAACGCGACCACGCAGACGCAGTGCACGGCAGATAGTCTTGAAGCGGCGTACGGGAGCCAATATGTCCAGCACTTTCCGTTCGTTGCGCTCTTCTGCTTATTTGCCGCCCTGACAAACCAGTCCCGGCTGAAGCAGCTGCCCGTCACGGTCGGGATGGGCGTCTGCGGCTACGTGACGAATTACTTCAGCACCACCAAGCTCGGTCCGAACCAGGTCGCCAACACGGTCGGGGCCTTTACTATTGGGCTCATGGCCCATTTGTACAGCCGCATCTGGCACGGGCATGCTGCGGCCACGATGATTCCAGGTATTTTTACCCTCGTGCCGTCGGGGCTCGCGTCTTCGGGCTCCATCATCTCGGGGCTCGACTTTTCAGAGTCCATCACGCATAATGCCACTGCCCCCGGCACGACGGGGGCGGCAAGCTCAAACTCGCTGACTGCTCTAGGCTACGGCATGATACAGACGGCTATTGGGATCTCGGTTGGCCTGTTCATGTCGGCGCTCATCGTGTATCCGCATGGCAAAAGGAGGAGTGCAATTTTTAGTCTCTGAGTCTCTGTGGCTGCCTAGTTATTGTTACCCACGACACAACATGACATTGAACCATTAGCCAGCTCCAACTGTAAGCACCGTCGACAGAAAAAGGCCGAGGTGTGTACCCGAGTCAAGTGTGTTCATGCCGCTGCCGGGAGCGCCTCGGCAGCATCAGCCACCTTGACATAGAAGGTTGGCGTCAACTGGTACCAACCGGACCGTTTCATCATGGTTGCCACGAGTCACCCTCAAAAGGGCCTAAACGAGCATTTGAACACACTTGTCAGCCCATTCATTTACCGGCTGCGCGCTTGAATAACCATGCTTGGGAATAAGACAGCTTAGAGCCTACTATGCTTTTTTGGCGTCGTTTAGTGGTATTCCCTCTTTTTGGACCCCGGGATGGCAGACTGGACAAGTGGTTGTACCTTGGATGCTTCCATCTGTAAAACAACCATGGAAATTGATATGTTCTAGCAACAGTCACACCCAGGCAAAACCCTATATACGTCCGGTAGTTTATGCGTAGCCAGCCTATCCATCACCAGCAGCACACGTTGCTTGACAGGTCTGGTGCTTCTATTCATGGTGAAGATTGCATATCCGTACAGACCGGATGACGCGTGTCACGTCGGTTTCACAGGCATCGGCATTATTCCTGACGAACCGATACAAGGTGTTGCCACCTATGTACACCACCCACATTATTCCTGACGAACCGATACAAGGTGTTGCCGCCTATGTACACCACCCATCGTGACAAGTAACCCGTACATAGCCAGCCGAGGCTGATGTCGCCTATTGGTACAGGGCCACTGATACGGTCCACGACACAGAGTTGACGGCGGATGATGCATGAACAGCAACGAGACTCGGCAGCCCCAGGTTTCAGCTCGGAGCAATACTAGCCGCTCGATACCCGAGCGCCAAGCCAATGGATGCTTGTACCGAAACGGAGATGTCGACTGCATTCAATAGCCGCACGTACGAGTGCGTCGCCAATTCACGCTCGGACTTGCAGGCTCCCTGCTTGGCAAAGTAGCACGTCCATTTGTTGCCAACGGCTAAAGAGATAGAATGTTGACTCCTTAAAGCGATGCGCAACAGGGATCGCTGGCCAGGGGGTGGTGGACCTCGCATCACATTGTCTCTTGACACAAATACCGTTTTATAAATGGCCTGCTTCCAATACTGCCTTGCCGCCGAGATCCCTGCATGATCTGTACAAGTTTTAAGCTTGTTTACAAGATTGGCATCCATGGTGTGCACCTTACTCGTTCCGAGGTATCTAGCTGCGTCACTATCTTGAGATGGCGGGTGATGAGCAATGGTTCATTGATGGTTTCAAGTGAGGCACGAGTGATATATAAGCCCGATCAGCCCAGCTCCGTGACCAGAATGCTCGTGTCGTTGTGTAAAACAGCAAACTCTTATACTATTTGTATTCTGAATTCTCTCCATCGCCCAAATGGTTTCCAGTGTGTTTGCGGTCGCCCTTGCGGCGTCAGCAGTTCAAATGGCGACTGCACGACCGGCAGATGCTTCTATTAATGTCGTCGGCGGGACAGAGGACGACGGGAGCCAGGTTCCTTTTATTGTTGCTCTGCAGAGAGAGGTACAGGGGAAGCCACAATTCTTTTGCGGCGGCTCACTTATGCGCAACCAATTTGTCGTCACGGCGGCTCATTGTGTCAATAGTCTAAAGACGACTAAAGGTTTGACCATTCGCGCCGGATCGCTAGTAAGTTGTTTTTCCATGATTACATGTCAAGTTGTTCCCAAATGAACAAGTTGGGTGGTGGCTCCGGTCCCTGCATCTCGCACCATGGCGAGAGATATCTCTGACACGCGCTCTCTAGTCCCCAGACAAGGATGGCACTGTAGTTCCAGTAGCTTCTATTTTCGTTCACCCCCAGTTTGACCCCGAGAGAATCAACAATGATGTTGCCGTCTTGAAGCTACAGAATCCAGTAGGCGGCAATCAGTCGGAGAGCCAAGCCACCTTGCCGGCGGATGGCTCTGACCCTGAACCGGGATCTCGGGCAAGCGTACATGGCTGGTACGTGGTGTAGCAAATCATTTGTCCGCCGCTGTCGAAAAAAGATTCTGACCATGATTCTAGGGGAGCAAAGAAAGAAGGTGGAGACCCTTCTAAGACATTGCTAACAGCTGAGTTCCCGGTAATAAGCCGTGCTGATTGCCAGGCAGCAAGTGAAAGCCTGCGGGGCTTAGTGAATGAGAATATGTTTTGCGCCGGTCTGCTGGAAGGTGGCAAGGATGCTTGCCAGGGAGACAGTGGTGGTCCAATAATTGATTCAAACAACGTTTTGATTGGCGTCGTGTCATTTGGCGACGGTTGTGCCAGACCCAATAATCCTGGTGTCTACACCAGACTGGGGAAATATGTCAACTTTATTAATCAAATTACGGGGGGTTCTGGGTCAAATGGCGGCTCTGGGTCAAATGGCGGCTCTGGGTCAAATGGCGGCTCTGGGTCAAATGGCGGCTCTGGGTCAAATGGCGGCTCTGGTTCAAATGGTGGTTCTGGGTCGAATGGCGGCTCTGGTTCAAATGGTGGTTCTGGGTCGAATGGCGGCTCTGGTTCAAATGGTGGTTCTGGGTCGAATGGCGGTTCAGGATCAAACGGCGGTTCAGGATCAAATGGCGGCTCTGGCTCAAATGGCGGCTCTGGTTCAAATGGTGGTTCTGGGTCGAATGGCGGTTCAGGATCAAATGGCGGCTCTGGTTCAAATGGCGGCTCTGGTTCAAATGGTGGTTCTGGGTCGAATGGCGGTTCAGGATCAAACGGCGGTTCAGGATCAAATGGCGGTTCAGGATCAAATGGCGGCTCTGGCTCGAATGGTGGTTCTGGGTCGAATGGCGGTTCCGGTTCAAATGGCGGCGGCTCTGGTTCAAATGGCGGCGGCTCTGGTTCAAATGGCGGCGGCTCTGGTTCAAATGGCGGTTCCGGTTCGAACGACGGTACTGGTTCAAATACTGACTCTGGATTGGATCCTATTATTATTCCGTTTAATCCAAACAGTGGTTCTGGGTCGAATGGTGGTTCTGGGTCAAATAGTGATTCTGGATTGAATGGTCCTTCTGGATTGAATGGTGCTGGATCGAATGGTGGTTCTGGATCAAAGGGCTCAGGATCAAAGGGTTCAGGATCAAATGGTTCTTTTGGGTCCAATAGTGGTTCTGGTTCGAAGGGTAACTCTTTCTAGTCTTCTCACTCTCATATCGATACGGCCTATACATACTTACAGGTCATAGAGCATTCCCTGATACTGTGTCTAGTAAATCCGAAAACCCGCCTTCTATATTAGACGTGTATTGCCATCTGGACTAACTGTGACAAAAGCTTACTATACAAGGTCTACAAATATGTCTACGTTTAATGTAATAACTTAATTAAATATGAGACTAATAAAATAGCTACTCTGAAGAACACAAATACGACTGGTAAACGCTAGAATCTCCTATTTTACGCATTCGCTGCAGGCTTGCTCCAAGACCCCTGGCCTTGGCAAGAGGCAAATCTGTTACTAAAAGAAAAGAGGAGAACTTGATGTATTGTATATTTCTTCTCTTATGACTTCTATTTCTCCTTTATAAAATCTAACTCTAAGCACGCTGTTCTATCCGCATAACAGCTTCATCCGTCCAAATTCACACACTCGGAACGCAACAAGCTGCATTGGGTTAATAACCTAGAATAGTAGTTGAGTTCAGGAGCCACTGCGAGCGAAAAATACCAGTCGCGAATACTGGGGTCAGTCCAAGCAAGTATATTGATAGCTGAATAAGCAGCTACTATAATCCGAAGCAAATGTAAATCGAGACAGGACGACCCTCTTGACGCAACTAATCTCGGAATTGGAGTGCAAGCCAGGCTGGCTATTGGACTTGACTGGCCTGTTACGCAGAGATGTAACCTCGGCGAGGAGACTTTTGAACACTAAAAAAGAATTTTGTAGAATACAGTTGACTGTTCATGAACCGGTAGACTAGGCCGTCGGGTGGTTGGGTCACGATGTTAAGCGATAGGTTAGGGGGCCTTGCCAGAGCTCTCAAAGCTTTTTGGATGCTGAAGCAAATAGTGCGAGCCACCCAGAAGCTTTGGCGCCCTGCATTGAAAGATGTCGGTGGCTTCTTGACGGGCTTCTTGTCTTTATCTTGGCTTGGAGGCAGACTGTTGGAGGCCTTGGGGCTCCGCTCGGGAGTCGTCGAGGTATTTTCGTCTTGGGCACTGCAATCCGAGTAGGTAGCGATAGCTGCTTTTTTGCAATCTGTATGGAGCTTTTTTTTGTTGAAAGCGCAGTCTTCGCCGCATTCGTTAAACTGGGAGAGGCATTTTACATGATTTACCTTGCGATTGTCCTTGTCCCGGAACCGCTCGGTAATGCATTCTGTATCCTGAATAAGGGTGATACGGCCACATATGCCACCCCAGTCACCGTTGTCGTTGTATATCTGAGGATTCCTGAGTACGCCTCAGATCAGTTAACAGCAGAGCTTATATGCTTAATATAATATCAATTTGTTCTGATCAAAATCGTCGTCTACGCTAGGGAGGCGTTGTTCTAGTCTCCGACTAACAAATGGCATCGACACGGTCAACGTGGCTAGAGAGGGGCCAATAAGTCCTGTCTTCATGGTGAAAGTCTTCGACATTTATAGAACCAAAATGTTGAGACTGTATATAGCAGTGGTCGTTAACTGGAAGAGAATACCACGAATTGTAGTAGTACGTGATAATGATTCAAAGAGACTAACCAGGTCAAGGCGATAGTATCCTTTTATAGTTATCCTTGTTGTAAATATTTTTATATCTCCCTCTGTGTTTCTTTACTGATAGTTAGTGAGCATTATACGTAGTTCTATATATCGTTTCACTTGAAAACGAGCTTTGAGTCATGTTCTTTTGTAGAGCATATACGCAACAAGGCATTAAATAATCGGTATTAATTAACTTTAGTCTCTCTAATGCAAGCATTATTGTACCCCAAAATCCTCACCAACGGCGCTACTATGCGACAGCTCGCAAAAAGGGCTATATCGATAGCTAACAGTTATGTACGAGGCCCTACAATTTGTTCAACCTGGATAATGCGCATAGCCTTGTGTGGAGCCAGCATAATAATTTGGCCTGAGTACTGCCTCCTACAGTAGTTGTTGCTATAATCAATTTACATATTGAGAGGAAGTTAGCAAATTGGGTTTTACACGAGCAAGAGACAACTACATTTATCAAATAGTCTAATCAGTCTGAGACGAGTTACGACATATTACCTAGGTGCCCACAGCAATGTTTGCGAATATCTTACTGCGGTTTCTCGCAATAAGGAAGCATTACTTATACTATGTACTTAGCTTGATAATTGCACTCCCTTGTGTGACATTAGCTAGTTAGTACCTTTATACTTGACCCAACTTGTCAAGCCAATATCCCATTGCCTCAGAAGAATCTCGGGCAGGCGGGTTGGAATTTGACCCGTGAAACTATCTGCCAGGGTCTAGTTCATATCCGATGTTGGAAATAGTATTGACATAGTGTAATGGACTCTCGCCCAATGTTCCGATTCACAAGTGAACGTTGACGCATGCTACGCCTCGGGACATTTATCGCGACAAGATATCACCCATGTAATCTCGTACCTGCCTTGTTCTCTATCAAAGCCCCTATTGACTACATATTGCCTTTCCATCAGGTGAAACCGAGAATTGGACCACATTGCGACTCCGGGTCAAATGGCGGTGGAATGGTACGCCACTCTTGTAACACGCGGGTTGGCCCGCGCCCTTGTCAAGGCGACCGTTGTTGCACTTCGGGACTTTTTCGTCGCTCATCGACCCGAGTGGATATGGTGTGTTGATTCCAGACCCGGCCGAACCCTTGGTAGGGTGTGTGCAGTTGGCATCCCAAAAGCTAACATTGAAAAGGTTATGGCCGAGATGCCCTCGCGGGCGTGCAACATGAACCCGACCAAATTGATCAAGCCGTCAAACTCTCGGTCTAGCGTTCCACTCAATGACGGCTCAAACAAGACGAAGAAAAATCCATCCTTGTATTTTGGCGTCAGCTTCCTCTGTTCTATTCTACATCTGTACTGCGAGCCGCGAACATGACCTCCACGTTGTCTGCGGCTGCTCTACAAGGTCTATAGTGTTATGAATTGTTCGTACACGTCTATACTTTTCGTTTCAAATCTGTCCCAGCCTTGGCAATTCTCGCGGCCAGTGCCATGGACGCGCCAAGAAAAATCGACGTCGCCCCAAACATTTGTGCACCCATATAATCTCCCCCCTGTTTTTGAAGGATTGCACCACATATGGCCGGCCCCGTCAAGTTGGCGAAGCTGACAAAACCGAGAATCATGCCCACTCTGGTACCGGTTCGACTCGGGTCTGGGGTCATGGTCGTGGCAACAGCTGGGAAGAGGGCCTGCAACGCCGCCGCAAGCAGGCCATATATGACTGCGAATACGTAGAGTCCGGCCGCTGAGCTGACGGCGGCCCAGCAGTAGACGAGCAAGCTAGCAGCAAAGCTGATTGGGATCAACATGTTCAACATTCCAACCCATTTATCAGCAACGATGGTCGGGGCAATACGTCCAATGATGCCGACGCCATTGAGAACCATGAGTAAATAGATGGGCTCGCTGATACCAATCTTGTCGCGGGCAAAGGTCCCCAGGTAAAAAAAGGCCAAATACAGCCCCCAGAAATTGAAAAACATGCTCAATGAGAAGAATATAAAGGGAACATCGGTAAACGCCGACTTGTCTGTCCAGTCGCCCGACTTTCTGGGCGGCAGGCGGGGCTTGAATAAGAATATGCAGGGTAGGTAGGTCGCCAGCATGATGAAGCCCATGATGCGCAGGGTCCAGGGGAAGCCGAAATCATCGTGGAAGATGAGCCAGTGAATCAAGACGGGGTACACCAGACCCCCAACTGCCGCTCCGGCCGCCGCAAGGCCAACCGCAAAAGCACGGTATTTTTGAAAGTACTGCGAAAGAATCGACAGCGCGGGACAAAACGTACACCCGTTGCCGATGCCGAGGCAGACGGCCTGCGCAAGAAAGATCTGCCAGTACGTCGTGCACAGCGAAGTCATGAACAACCCCAACAGCTGCAGAAACACGCCGATCGTAAAGGTGACGCGGAAATGGCCAGCGTCCGTCAATCGGCCTGCAGCCACACCAATGGCAAACAAGAAGAAGACCTGGACGCTCCCGACCCAGGCGATGGAGGATTCCGTCTCCCCCAGGGTGCGAGAGTAGTATTCCTGGAAGACGCCGTATCCATTGGCCACACCCCACGTATTGAAGAAGACAATGTGCATCAAGACGACATGAAGCCAAGCAGTGGCGCCTCCATCTGGCGGTGCGGAGGGTTTGGCAGGCGATTCCTGATCGCTCAAGCCAGCCTTGTCTGTCTCTATATCGCTCTGTATGCGCACATCGGTCGCGGGGTAGGTTTCTTTTCGTGGCTGCATCTCGTGACGTAGCACCGGCCTCTGGTTGGCACCGGCAGCGGTTTGTGACGATCTTGTTGGTTTGTGAGTGGTTGTGTCGCCAATACGCAACGTGATGTGGTGATACAGTCTTGTTACACGGCCACACGGCGTGGGAGGGGGTGAAGGGTGCAGAGGCTTCGCTTTTTAAACCACAGTCGACGACGATCAACATGGTCCGGAATTCTCTATCGCGGGCGAACAAGACCGACATTATTCATCTCCTATGCCCGCGTTGCCTGGTAATTGTGCGTCTGGGCTCCTCGGCGCGAGCGATGAGAGTCGTTTCCCGCTATTGCCGCTCTTGCCGCCGGCGCTAGGCCCAATTCGGCCGTCGTCTGATGCCCGCATCGCCATTCTCACCCGACGTCTTCCAAGGTCCGGCTTGATGCATCCTTGTTCCCTCGGCTTCAGCCTTGTCGACCACGCCTCTCTGATGCACCTCACATAACCCGTTGTTCCCGTCTCATATCATTGGGCCATTGTGCCACTTGTCTCTCCCCATTTGGAGGCTCTGGCGGGCAATCATACTGGCCAAAGGCTTCCTGGCTCTCATGACTCCGTCGACCACGGGGCGTAAGCGCTCCCGGCTTGCATGCCAGACATGCCGAGACCTCAAGCGCAGGTGTGATGGCGCCCGGCCGTGTGGCACGTGCGTGCGGTTCGAGTATGAGTGTATATACCACGAGGGCAAGACAAGAAAGGGCCGCCGGCCGCAGAGTCTGGAGCACACGGCGCCGGCCATCAAACCTCCAACGCCAGCGGCGGTGCGTCTGATGAACGCGCAAGCGTCTCCCGAAGAGGCGGCGCAATCGACCTCGGGGGCTCCCCCGCACAATCAGGCTCGTTCACTGGAAGCCAACTCTGGATCTGCCTTTGTCCGAAAGCTGGCGTTGCGGTTGGACCCCAAGAAGAACCCACGGATGCACACCTTTGCCTGGAACGCGTTTCTCGGATCCCGCCAGGCAAAACGCATACCCGTCTACCACGCCATTACCGAGTTGCTGTCCCTGCAGAGGATGCAGGAACTTGCAACCGTCTATTTCCAGCAGGTGGATCCGATATACGGATTCATCGACCGCCACGAAGTGACACGGCATATCCAACTGAGATGGACGGCACAGATGGTTCAGCAAGCTTCAGACGCAGTGCTGTGCGGGATTGCCGCCCTCGGCTGTCTCTTCTCTCGAGTCCACTCAGACCAGGCTGAGCTCGACCTCGTCGAGTCGGCAAGGATACTCCTGGAGCAATCCATGTCCACGCCGGCGACGGTAACGAGCATCACGGCCTGGCTGCTTCGTGTCGTGTACCTCAGAGTCGCCGGAACACACTACGAAGCCTGGATGGCAAGCAGCATGGTGATGCACATGATTGAGGCAGCCGGCCTGACGGTCGAATCCTCGAGCGAGTCTGCCCTCCCCTCGACGCGGCAAGAGGTTGACTCCGAAACCGCACGAAGAATCGTCCTGGTCGCGCAGCACCTCAACATTTGGATGTCATTCGACATGGGCCTCACGCGCGTCTCCTTGTCCAACATCTCCATCGCGATGCTGCCCACGCCACGGCCAGGCGATTACACGTACGAAATAAGCGAGCTGTTGCCATTCTCGATAGAATTGGATCCGGAGAGAAAGCCGACCGCGGCGGAACTCGAGACGGCACTGCACACGGTGCTCAGCCGCGCGCACTCGATTCCCCCCACGGTTCTCGCTCAATGCAACCTGGCGCTCTGTCTCTGCCGCCGACTACGCTCGCTGGAAGTCTCGCTTACCGAGTCCATTCTTCAAAAGATCTTGGTACTGACGACGAATGGCATCCAAGCCGCGCAGGCTATCCTGGCTGCTCGCGCGCCCTGGCATCACATGGCCTACGTCCCGTTCCAGATTGTCTGTGTCCTGCTGGCCATAGATACCGTTTCGTCCATCTCCCAGCTCAGAGATGCCATGCAGTGTCTGAAAGACATCTCGGCCGTGTACAACACCAAAGCTACGGAAGACGCGTTGAAGACGGCTCGCTCACTGGTGCTGCTGCACCAAAGGGGTAAAGAGATGTTCGCCTCTGCCCTAAGCGACATCTTGAAGCTGTGTCCGGCAAACCCGGTAGACGTGGTTTCGGAAACGTCTCCGACGCTGTCGGATGGAACAGAGTGGATGGATGGGTTCCCGATGGACTTTTCCAACCTCCAGTACTTTGATATTGAGCAGTTTCTCAACCCCGGCTTCTTTTGGAACGCTGGCAGCAACGGCATGATGTAAATAACGATGCATTTGGTCGTGCTTTGTCTACAGCTCATCATGGGGGATACCAAACAAGTTTGTTAGCATGTTGAATGCAAGCGGCACGGGTGTCTTGATCCATTGACAACATGTGTCCATCACCAAGCACGATTCTGTGCCGCACCAGACCCCTAGACTACAGCCTCGCCAGGTCCCGAGGGCGCCACAGCTTCAAAAGCGGCCCGTCCTTTCCATATACCGGATCCTCCTCGGGCATCTCGACAGCCCGAATCGTGGATCGAAAGTGTGTCGCTGGGGTTTTGCCGTGCTCGTTTACCCACCTCGGATGGCGCTGTCGACCTTGTCAGTACCATGAGCAACTCGCGACAACGTCCGCCACGCAGTGGAACGTACGCGCGGATAGACGCCAATGTAGAAGTAATCAGGCGTGCTCTCGATGCTGGAGTGTGCGGTGCCGGCGGGAAGCACAATGACGTCTCCCCTTTGCACCTGGACATGCACGCCCGTGCCGTCGTTTATCTTGCCGAGAAGCATTGTAGAACGGCCGCTGACGATTCCTGCCAAGATTAGACGACCAACGTCTTCCGCTTCAAGAGTCGAGACTGCCGTACCATAACACTCGTGCGTGTTTGGGTGGAAATGGCGGATGCCAATGTGTCCCCAGGCGCCCTGGCCGGCAGGTATTAGCGGTGCTGGCATGGAATAACCCACGAGCCCCCCTTCTCAGTCGCATACTCGCTTTTCCCAAGTGTTGGCGGTCAGAAACTTGGTGGCCATGTCTTCTGTCGCCTCCAGAGGCAGGACCCCGCGATAGTGCAGCACCGGCAACGGGTTGTTTGGTGCGTCGGAATTGGGGGATAAGTAGTAGCATTGAACGGATTGCGCCATTGTGAATAAAGAATTCAATGAATGTCGCGTCATTGATGAGTCCGGGCTTTGAACGCATAAGACTACTGCGCTTCCTTTTCATCAGCTGCGATGTCCAACTCGTGTGTGGAGGGCGAGAGTACGAGTGCGGCCTGCACGGCCCGATCACGGGTCGGGGCCGGGATGAAAGCCGCGTGGCGCCGCATGACGGAGACATCAATTGATTCGTTGGAGTCTGGTGCACCACAGAGCGGAATGCAGAGGGCAGGCTGGCGTTCTAGTCACAGCTTGAGCATCTTCGTCGAGTTCCATCCGCTATACAACAGCCGCGCCATCAGGGACTTGACCAGATGCTCAACGTCGTGCACGTCTCACAGCCGCCCACGGCTCTCATCCTTGTTCTACATGTAGTTATATAAACCCTCTACACGCGAGACCCCTAAACTGGGACCGTGATACAAAAGTGGTCTGCAGCAGCAGCTACCTCCTTGTCTCTAGCGGGACCATCGTGCTCTCCCAGGCTCTTTGCCCCGGCAGACTTGATGTTCTCGATGCTGTCAACAGGACTCTCGCCGTTTGATGACATTTCCGACGGCGAGAGGTTTTCCGCCTTGCCTATGTAAAATGCCAAATCCGACGTGCTGCGCGGCAGAGTCGTCATGGCTTCCATTGACCGCTGTGCTTGCAGCCCCATTTGATCCGCGCCAGGTCTCTCGATCCAAGAGAATCCGTTTTTCCAGTACGCAAAGCGCTCCTTGTCGTACCTCCATTCGTAATCTTCCCATCGGTCCTCGGCAAGGCACTGCATGTAATGGAGCGAGCTTCCTGGCCACAGAGCCGTCACCTTGCCGTCGTCTGCCCGCTTAACTGCGTCTTGTCAGACTTGCGCCAAGGCCAATAATCGAGCGTGCCAACTCACACCAGCTGCGGCATGTGCCCGTCCACACCATTCCTTTCATGAAACTCTTGGTGTGCTTGTCGAAATCTTCTTGCGCACCCGGGTGTACGTCAAAGGAGAGCGCGCCATGTCTAATCATTCGTTGGAGCAGACGAATAAAGTAGTCGCTAGTTGCTTCCAACGGCCCTGCGTAGAGAATAAGTGTGAGGTGCTTCGCTCCAAGGGGTGAGAGAGTGAAATCTTACCCATGAGGCTGCCGTTGGAAATGGGTGTATTCGGGCCCAAGTAGACCAGATAGTTTGGGAAGCCAGAGACACCGGTTCCAAAGTACGAGATTGGATCCTTCCCCCATATGTCCTGCAAGTTGACTCGTTTCCGACCGATGATGGGGAACCTCGGTCGGAAACTTGTATTGAACCCTGTTGCCGCGACTATGACATCGGCCGGATATTCCACTCCTCCCGCAACGATGCCGGTGTGTGTCACCCGTTGAATTGGGTCAAAAACAGGCTCAACATTGGGTTCCTGGATGGAAATAAGGTACTGCTCCCCCGGGTTGATACGGCGACATCCAGCTTCAAAGGACGGGATCAGTCGCCTTTGCAGCTCCTCATCTTTTATAATGCATCTCATGCGCGCTTCAAATCGATTCCGCATATCCTGTTGCTCTGGGTTTAGCTTAAAAAATGCACCAAACATGCTATTAAACCGCGATTCGATGTCTTTCCGCAAGTGGATGTAATGTCCTTCATCCTTCCTGAACAATTCCCTCTCCTCGTCTTGGTAGGTGTAATTGCTGTTACCGGCATTGGGTACAACAACCGGCGGGCAGATCCAAGACGGCGTGCGGATATACACGTTGATATGCTTGCACTTGGCCTGGAGCTGAGGAAGCACTTGGACAGAGCTTGCGCCAGATCCAATGATGGCAACGGTCTTGCCCTCAAGATGGACGGACGAGTCCCACGCGGCGGTGTGTAAAGTTGGCCCGGTAAAGGTATCCAGACCCTCTATGCTTGGCATTTGTGGATTATTCAAGATGCCCCCTGCGTTGACAAGAATTTCGGACTCTATAGTGTCTCCGTGGCTCGTCTGGACAGTCCAGGTGCTTGTTTCGTCGGACCAGGTTGCCGACACCACTTTGCGGCCATACGATATGTTTTCGTCTAGACGGAATCGCCTGGCAACTGCTTTGAGATAGTTTCTAATCTCAAACGAAGTTGCATACCTGGCTGGTCAGCGGCACGGATTTTGAGGGCAGAGAGCAAAATTGCAACTGACATCCGGGACCAGTCTGGATTTGGTGCAAAAGAGAATTGGTAGCAGTGGCTTGGGACGTCGCATGCGCAACCTATGGAGTTTGAGCAAGTCGACAAAATTATAAGCAGAATGGGAGCGTGAATATTCTACCTGGGTATCGGTTTTCTTGCCAAGTTCCTCCCAGTTCGGAATTGTTTTCCAGTATCTGAAAATCGACAAATGCTGCTAAATGCATCCGAATTTTGCAAGCTAAGAGAGGTTAGCAAGGATACTAGATTCCATCAACAGATTAGAATCGATCTAATTACCCATCAAAATTCCCGAAACTCTATAGTACGTTTAGAGTCTTGTATCAAGATGTTGGACATGACGACATCGGACTTACCCTGCACCAATAATAGTGCACCTGAGGCGCCGAGCTGACGAGCCTTCAGTGCTGTCCATTTCCACCAAGTTTGAATGCCGTAGGAGAATACGTCTTTGAACTATTTGGTCAACATGTTTATCCCAAGATGGATTGCTGATAAGGCACGAACGTCGGCCCTGGTCCGTCGTCTGAAGGGTTGTGAGGTGAGGCGGACCGTCCGGACCGGATACCGTTTCTGTGCCGTGTCGACTCTGGTCCAGACTCATGCCAGTCCTGTACCGACCAGTTGGGACGGCGGCAAGACGGCGCCACAGAGCCGTGAATAGTCCATGTGACCACGTAGGTGGCCAGGCCAGCAGCCTACAACTGGCAGAAGGGAGCATGGGGTTCGGGCTTAGCTGAAGAGCAGCTCAGCTGGGCTACTGTAACACCCAGCGCCGCCTCTAGTATTACCGGTTTTGATCCAGGTGTCCCGGCCGTGAGATGCTGGTGCCTGGCGATACAGCGATACACACACTTGTGCCCGACGAGGGGACTGGCATCAGTGAAAGCTGGTGTACGACAGGGTGGCCACGCTGCGTGCTGCATACGCAGACTCGAAATATGGAAACAGGAAATAGGCTCTTCTCCGACAAGTCATGCAAGTGGCACGAGAGAAGCAATTAAATGACTATGAATGCTCCATCTATACGATGCATAGCAGCTGGGGATCGAAGCTTGCCTGGCCTTTCGAGCAAGACCTGGGCTATCAAAGAACACTAGAGTATCAAAACCGACCAAGACACCGCAGCTCTATAGTTTGGCTTGTTCTTCGGCAGTGAGAAGTCTCAAAGGCGGCCCTCCTCTACTTCCATCTCCTATTTTGACTATATCGTCTGCCCCGGAAGGCAGTCTATACCTCCACTTCCATCTTAATTCTTTCCCTGCTTTATTCTCCAAACAATCTACAATATACTTGCCAAGAACAGGAAGAAATTTGAAACCACTAGATGCACGTTAGTAACAAACTAGTCAAGAGTCGTTAAAGCGCAGCGTTGAAAGCACATACTGTCCTGAACCACCTGTAGCAATAAAGAGTCCCTGAACACGAGGATGTTTATCGGCAATGAAATCCCCTTCGGGCGTATCCGAATACCAGCAGAGGCGTAGCCGGGACCAAGGCCTCTCAGCAAATTCCGGAACAAGATCTCTCAGTCCATCCCTCAGTCCTTGCTGCGCATCTTCCGGCATATAGGAACTACGTGCGTTGTTGCCGTCGCGCCGCGGGCACGAAACGACCCTCGCTGGCGAATGTCCATCGTCAACCCTCTCCTCCGTGGCATATCCCCAACCGTGGCGAGCCACCTTGAGGATATTCGAGCCGGGAGTGGGCGGGAAAACAAACACCCCCTTATTGGAATTGATCATGACGGGCATGTTTCTCAAGCGCGCGGCTTCTCCTTCTGTCAACTGGATAAACCCAACGGGCTGCGCTGATGCCGAGCTGGCGTGTCCCACGGGCAGCAGGTGGTTTGTCCACGCTCCCGTGGCGAGGATGACGAGAGATGCCCGAATCGGAGGGCCTCGCACAACCCTGACCCCGACAACCCCGGACTCCTGATACACCAGAGACGCGGCGGTGCCTCTTGCGCCGGTAATAAATGAAACACCCGCGAGGCTGCAGCGAGCGGCTAGCTGCGCAATACTCGAGGCTGCGTCTGCCCAACCCCCCTTTGGGTTGTAATAGGCGCTCATTCCTTCCAGCTTGCCGGGTATGCCCGGGCGTATCGAGCGCATCCGAGTGGCATCAGCATACTCCTCGATGGTTTTGCCCAGCTGCTCGTCGACTTGCTTTGACTTGGCCGTGTACTCAAACCCCCCCTTCTCATTGAGCATGAGGAACCCGGCTTGATGGTAATGGTCGGGGTACTCGGTGGCCCAGAGCTGGACGGCCTCCCTGGCCAACTTGCTGTAGAAAGCGTCTCCGTAGTCGAATCTGATGATGCGGGAAATGTCAACGCTGCTCCCATCTACCGCGGGGGGCAGGTAACGATCCAGGACGGTGATGTTAGTGTACCCTCGCGTGGTAAGCTCTAAGGCCGTTGAGAGGCCAAACACACCGGCACCAATAATGACGACGGCATCTGATTTGGAGGGGTGGCTTTCGGACACCATTTTTTTTTAATTTGCTGTCGTGTAGTTTGTCGTCGAATAGCAGACTATCGGCCACGCCACGTAGTATGGTTGCTCATGAGCTCCATGAGTAACTGTACGTCCAAAGTCTTTTTAAGTTGTCGGCTGCCTCCTCGTTCAAGGCCCACCGCCTCGTTGTCTGTAAAATGCACGACTTGTGCTCCTGCTTCTGTGGCGTCCGCCTTGTCCAGTAATGTTGCTGGTGTGGGCACGGAGGACTGAAACAAGGGCCATGAAGTATGGGTACGGATGCGGTCCGGAGTCCGGCTCATACGTGGTGAATGTCATCGAGGGCTACCGAGGGTCTGGGCACTGAGAACGGCATCGCGGTGAGTGATGCCGTGGTGTGGAAGGGCGATGTCTGGGTATAATAGAGTTTTCACGACGTATTTATCGGCTGCAGCTATACCATCGTGCTCAAGTCGCAGTGCTTTTACTATTCATCCACCATCATAACCAAGCATCGGAATTCCAAGCGCACAATGAGCTGGCTCGGTTTTGGGAAGAGCACGACGAAGTGTGACGAGGAGCCGAAAACAGGACAAGCTTTACCAGCAGCATGGTACACGTCCCCTGCCATGTATGAGCTGGAGAGGCGAGCCATCTTTTCCAAGAAGTGGTTGCTCGTTACCCATGTATTGCGATTTCCGGACATTGGCCACTTTGTGCGAATAACAGAGGCTGGCTATACGTTCTTTTTGATTAGAGACCGCCAGGGGCAAATTCGGGCGCATCACAACATTTGCAGGCACCGTGCCTATCCCATTGTCGAGAAGGACTCTGGCAAGGCATCCGTTTTGGCATGCAAATACCATGGTGAGACACTAGATTGGCCATGGAAGGCTTGTATTCAGAGTTGCTAACTATTCTGTCAAGGCTGGTCGTATGGTTTTGACGGCCACTTGGCCAAGGCACCTAAATATCAGGAAATATCTTCGTTCAAGAGGGAAGACAATGGTTTGTACCGCGTGCATGTGCATGTCGATAACCTGGGGTTCGTCTGGGTAAATCTTGACGCAAACGATACACCCTCGGTTCCTTGGGAACAGGACTTTGCTACAGTCGACTTTCAACCACGGTTGTTGGAGTTTGACATGAACAAGTACCATTTCGATCATGAGTGGGAAATGACCGGGGACTACAACTGGAAGGTGCTCGCAGACAACTACAACGAGGTACGTGGCCGCAGTGGTACAGCAAAAGAATGCAAAGAAGATGGATATAAACTCACACGTACAAAACAGTGTTACCATTGCCCTACGGGGCATCCTGCACTTCCCGCCGTCACAGACTTGGCCAAATACTGGGTTGAGACATCGGGGGCTCACATCCAACACTATGCAGTTGACAGACAAGACGAAGAGGCGAAAAGTTTGGGCAACGTGAGCACATACTTGTACCCCAATGCCTCGATGACGGTAACGTACGTAATCGACTTTGGCGAACAACAAGTGAGCAACCTTGCTAACGGTAATCGCCTGCCACAGACCGCACTTCTTCTTCATTCAGCGCTGCGTACCCATGTCCGCGACCCAAACGCACATGGAGTACGAGGTGTACAGACACGACGACGCCACGGACGCCGAATTCACCGAGATCAGCGACTTCTTCAAGACCATTATGCGAGAGGACAAGAATCTCTGCAACGGCGCGCAGAAGAATCTGAACTCCGGCATATTCCTCCACGGGGAGCTGCACCCCCGCGTAGAAAAGGTAGGTTCGCGCCCGCCGCGCAATTCTTCACGTTCTGACGCGTCGTCGCACAGGGGCCGTTGTTCTTCCAAAAGCTGACCCGCGACCTGGTGACTACACATCACGAAGCGGAGGAGGCGGCCGGGGCGGAAATCCGGCCCGCGGTGCCCAAACACAGGGTCACGGCGACGGTGCAAGCGGACATGGACTTGTGCAGCCGGCTAGAGTGTGAATCGAGCCGCAAAGCAAACTGCGAATTGGCATGGTAGTCAGAAGGGTTATTCACTAGCAGACAGGTGGGACAAGGATAGTGTCATCAGAATGAATCAAAGCTTAGCCAATTGTCAATCGCCTTGCCAAAGTCGTTGGCCTGAAGAAACAAGTGTTCCTGCCCGTCGCGGCCGCCGATGCCCTCGAAGAAGCGGTCCTCCACCGACACGCCAATGCCCGGCGTCGCCTCGCCCTCGGCACCCATATGGGTCTCGAGGAGGCCCGGCGTAGGGGGCACATCCTCGTTTGGCGCGTAGGCAGGCGTCTCTTTGGAGACGGCCTTGTGGCCGGATATGCCCGCCGAGCCGACGAGGTCGAACTCGGCGGCGGTCGGCGCGTCGCCGTGGCGAGACTTGCTGCCGACTTTGAGCGTCTTGCCAAAGATGGACTGGTCGGCGCCGGCGTCGGGGCGCCCGGCGCGCTCGTAGATGAGAATGTCCCAGAGGAGCTGGGCGTCGATGGAAAAGGACGTGCGGCCGCCGGCGACTTGTCCGTCGAGCGAGTCGGACGGGACGACGCCCACGCTTTCTCGCAGCTTGGCGAGGTTATTCGCCTAGATGTCCATGGTCAGCGACTGGAACTGCGCGAGTCGGTGCTGGTCCATGTGCGTCAATATAATACCATGATGGACACGCAGGGCCATGTGCCCCCCATTCTTCGCAGACTACTCATGCACTTGTCGAATCCCTGCTGCGCCTTGTCTCGCAGCGCTCGGTCTTGGACGAAGCTGTGTTGGAGGTGAATGGTGGCCACGATGGCGATGCAATGGGCCAGCGATGGGTCGGAAATGTGAAACGACTTCTTGTCCAGCAGATTGATAAAGTACACGATCCACCCGGCGTGTCGGTTGATGTATTCAAACGAGTGGTGAATGAAGGATTGAGGCACCGTGTGGCGACAGTTCTTGAGCCGCATCGACAGCAGGAACGGATGGTTGAGTATGCATGGAATCACGGCATACACAATCTGTACAAAGAGCCAGGGGCCCCAATAGTTGCGGTGCTGCTCGAGCGAGTCTTGGTCCTGGTCTGCAAACTTATTAGCAGCAAAGCGGTACTTCAACGGCACGCGGCAGTCAAACTCGAGGTGCAGATGCATGATTTCCGAGTAATCCGAGCGCTGGTTCCATGGCGGAAGCGCGTCCGAGGGAACGCGGCTCGCGGCGTAGGCCCTGGCCATTCTCCAAGCCTCGCTCAGCTCGAGGGCATACTTCATGATGCCCGAGTCCATCTGGCTGTGCCCGAGAGCCGCCCCTGACGGCGGACATGACGGCTCGACGCCCGAAAGAGCCGCCGCGTGGATTTGGGAGATTGAAGGCGCGTTGCTGCAGGAGAGGGCACTGCCGGGGCCGGTGGTTGGGGGGATGCAGCCTTGCAGATTCTGGAGCATAATGATGCCGTGGACGCAGTCGTTGAACTCTTGCGCGTCCCCAAGCATGTTGTTGGGCTGCACGCATTGAGCGAGTTGACTTGCCATGGCGACGTGCAGTCCTGCCTGGGCAACCTTGCCATCTACGACGCTCGACGAGTTAGCCAAGCCGCTCATCATAGCGAGAATGGTGGTCATTTGTCGTCACCTGCAAATTCGACCATGCTTAGAATGCACAGTGTCTGGAGGGTGGACAGCTCGGCTTCCGAACTGGCGATGCGGCTCATGACGGCGCTCCGTGCTTCCTTTTCCATGGAATCCAGCTTGTCGCGCTTTTGAGGCGTGAGCGTGCCGGGTGGATATCGAAGGCTCAGTGTCTGCAGTGCGAGGATTAGTTCAAGATCCCGAAACGTCAAGGACTCTAGGAATGTGTCGGGGTTGAACAGCGAGATGGGTTGTCCGTGACACCACGTCATGTAGAGCCGGCCCATGGACAGTAGCTTCTCTTTGTGCACGAGTAAATCGCTGCTAGACAGTCATTATACGTAATAGCCGGATTCAGGCAAGAGTAGACGCCAGTTGTGGACATACAAGAGCTCTTCACCGCACTCCTCGCCCACATCCCACCATGAAATGTCTCCAACACACGATGTTCGACTGCTGGTCGGCCGTGGATATGGCGTCACGGACTGACGGCCAGACATGGCCACGGGGCTGCGTGAATTAACTCGTGCCAAACCTGCCGGTATTCGTGGCCAATCCGTCTCTCACCTGAGCCGCTGTATAAGCTGGTCCATTTTCCCCTCGAGACTGTCAATTCGATGCGCCTACTCTCCCCGTCAGCCTGATGCCGTGGCAAACTCGGTACGCAACGGGGAAAAGGTCTCACCATCTTTCTGTCATGTCTAGCTTGACTGCCCGATTCCCCAGCCGCAGCGTTGTATACGCAACGCTGGCCAAGGCGCTCGCAATAGGAGCAGATTGGTCGCTCTCCCGGACATCGTGACTTTTTCCTCCTACGATCCATGTGTCAACACAAAAAAAACCCGGCCATCTCACAAGGTTCCAGGGTGAGGCGTGAATACCGACAAGGCTCGCAAGCCTGGCGCGCTCGCTTCGCATAGCGACCGCCGTCCATTATCAGATGGGCTCTTGGGCGATGGACGTCGACGAAGGGGTGAGGAGAGGGAGTGATGCCGGGGTAATCCACATTTGCCGGCGCAAGATAAGAGGTGCCCGGCCGCGGATTGGGCTGCATCTGCATCTGACCGAGAAGCCACAGTTTGTCGGTGCGGGGGAAACATGGTTGTGCTGGTCGGCTCATGTCTATTCAAGACAGGTTGTGTCCATGCCAGCCCAACCAGGGGTCTTGTGACCACTCGAGGCTGACACGGCCGGTTGCCAAGTACGGACACGGTGAACGGATTCAACTACATGTGTCGTTTCATGTTGCCAAGTTGTCTCGGGCCTGCTTCTACCAGCCCTTGATGCGTGCTGCGCGTCGCCAAGCCATGGCCCCCAGCCTCACAAGCAGCGAGGCATCTGCAACAGACGGATCATTGTCTACTGATCACCTTTCTGCGGTGCATCCTGTACGAGTTCATAATGTTCAGGAGTGAGCACGTGCCAGTCATCTACCAGACACTATATACGCTGGGTGGCGTACGCCATCGTGGACATGGACAGTTTCAACCCAAACGGATGGCAACACGGACAACCTTTCAATAGCGGATTGATGCCCGATGAAACCATGGACTCTGCTGTACGCCCACAAGATGCTTTATTGACTGGTTTGCAAACAGCAAGAACCTGGCTGTGGCATGGACAGAGAATCAGTCTCAGGAGCTGAACCATAATGGTATGTACTAAGCCTTGAATAGACTATCCATGCTCCCATTGCCGGTTTGTTCCGCTAGGCTATGACGTCCCAAAATAAATAAAACTACGTGTACTTTGCTGTACGAGTAGTTTGTCCGTTGTAGGGGATAAGTTGTTCAAGCGGTGACGCCAGAGGCTCCGCGTTTGCGTCCTGACAATGTCCAGGCTAATTTTTGTGCTGGCTTTATTGTTCCCTTACTAGACGCCATTTCTGCTTGCTCAGCACATGCAACTCTCAACCCTGGCGATGCACAAGAACAAGAAGGCTGCTACAGCCAGGCAGAAACTTGTTAGCATAAAACTCGAAAAGAAGCAAAATCCATCAGTCTCTCTCCATGCCACTATAAAACCTGTAGCTCTCGGAACAAGTGCCAACGGTGCGCGCGTTATTCATCCATGTGCCTGTTGAAAAGATCAATTCAAAGGGATCAAATAAAATTGTCAGTGCCTCCTTCATGGGCCAATGGAAGAAGGTTATTTCTGCTTAAGCATTAGATTAAGAAAAAAAGATGGCCCCTTGTTTTGTTCAAACTCTCCGTCTATTGTCTTTGCTGGACTACCAAATACTCGAGTGAGAAGCGTCACCAACGCAGAGGTGTGGGATAGTTGGAGGAGATCAGCCTTTTTCTCATGTGGTTATCCTAGGAGGTCCAGCAAAAGGTGTAATAACAAGAGGGCGGCAATATCGTCATGTTGACTTTGCACTGAAGCTTGTCATTGTGCGTCGGCATGGGTCAATGAGGAGGAATATAAATGAGCCTGAGGCTAGCGATTTATCAAGTTGTAGAGTCTGACCCAAATTCAGATTAATCGGACTGGGATCAATTAACGGACAAAATATCCCGCAGACTTTCTCAAACGTGGGGGGAGCCTGGAAGATACGGTTGTGGTGTGCCTTTCTAAAAACAACAGGCTTTTCTCTCCTTTGCATCTCACTTGCTATACTGGATTATGCAGAGAATTTCCACGCCAAATTGCCTCTTGGAAGATCTCTTTTAGTGGAGATTACCTATTTTCAGCTGATCATACATGGGACCGGGGGTTTATGACCTCCCATGCAATACGTCAGAGTGTTCATTTGAGGCCGAGTTTTTGTAGCTATGTGAAAGGACTCAAATCAGACTTGGAAGTAGCAACGATTAATTCATACGTTCCAGTTAGCTATAATGTGTATCAATCCTTGTGGTATTTGATCTACTTTCCGCGACAAATATGAATATATAGGTCCATTGGGTACAGTATCCCGCTCTATTGTGTAATGAATGTTGACGTAGATATTCATCTTGCTCAAAGGGCCAATGAATAGCCGATGGAAAGGATAATACATGATTCACGCCAAATTTCGCTATACTCTCTACTCGGCCCAGGTGTTTATAAAACCTGTCCAATGTCACCAAGAAGACTAGTAGTGGTCATCTTCTGTGAGTACAGACACAAAACTATCAGCATCTATAACTAAATTTCGAGGCAAAAAGTTGTTGGACACGGCATATCTCAGAAAAAGAAGCTTCACCTTTACACAAAATGCTGAAGAGTCTTTCCAGTCAATGCCAGCCATACACGTCACAACCCAGCTCTGGGTCGAATCCGCAAGTACTTTTTCAACGCCGTGACGGTACCGGCGAGTACTCAGTAAAAAGTCCCATCAATGGTTTCATAGCACACAGCAGCAGGATTGAATATCCTGTTTCGCATCTCCCACATGGACTGGGCTACCCTGAAGACCGCAAGCTTCAGGTTGTACACGCCGGTGGCGTCCAAATTCAAACCTCACATAGCACAACTCAATTTGATGTCTTGAAATATATGGCGTGCAATAATACACCCTCCCCCGGCTTCTTGTACAGTCCACATGTTGAAATTATTTGCCAGTGCTGCCCTTTACCGCATCACGCCTCTCGTTATCCCTGCCATGTCGATTGATAAACAGACATTGGCAGGCTCACAATTCATAAATCTCGGCTGATGAAACAAACATAGAATCCAAGCCGCTCACGAATCCCTGCACACTTGCTACACGGCCGCTCACGACCATCAATGATAGGTGGTTGTCCCATCAGCGTTGTATTGTAGCCACCTTGTCAACCCGCCTCATCTGCGACTTGACTACATACATGTATTGACACGAGAAGCAACCACGGACCAGACCCCACAGTTTCCAAAATGATGCTGCAATCAGAGCGCATGCTCATGCTGGCAGGCGCCTTTTTGCCCGGGCTCGCCAAGAAGCGGCGTGGAAACAATGGTCGCCGGTCGAGGGCACAAGGTTTGCGCCGCTGCATTGTGACACGGCCGATCCACCGACTCCCATTCGCACATGGTTCCGTCGACACATCACGTCGCCCAAGCCAACAGCGACGGGGAGAAGCTTGTCTGTTAACTTTATTGCCGTCGCTACCCCACCGGACTCGTGTGTGTGCGCCGGCGTCACAAAACTTGCCAAGAGCCCTTGAACTGCCACTCGACGTGTGCTGCCGTGACACCGCGAGGGGGCGGCGGTTTTGCCGTCGTGATTCGCCGTGGCGACGGGCATGAAAGTTTAAACCCACTAGGTTGCTCGCACGGCAGATGTGTCAGTTTTATTGAATCTGGGCTGTGCAATCCGTGGGGAAGCCGCGTCGACACATCACTGGCAAAGCCGACATGGCGTCAGCAACCGGCATCTGCTTGCTTGATATTGCCAAGACGTGCAAGCCGAGCGACGCCATGTATGTACGAGTTGGCCGCGCGCGTACCGGCCTGCTTGATACTGGCTTACATGGACGAGCTTGGCAGGCAGGCAGGCGGGCGCGTAGTGGCAGTGCCATGGTCGATTGCTCTATTTGCCTGCCTTTGCACTTGGGAGTCGACGGTGCTTGGATACATGAAACGTGTTTACACGGGTGGATACCGGGACTTTTGACTTGCGGAATGCAACCGCGCACAACATGGGAATTTTATGCTTGTGTCTTCCTATCATAGGCCCCCGGGTCCGCATGCGCTCCAGGCCGTGGCACACACAATAGACTTGTAGTGGCAATAAACCGTGGACTGCGACACTGCCCGTGTCGTGATTTGACATGGCCGTGCTCTAGATGTAGATCATGACTCTTTCGCGGACCGGGTGAAGTCGGGGTCTCTGATGCCACAAGCAAGAGAGCTTCTTTGTTCCGAAACCCTCAGTCTTACTAGGCCACAACCGTCATCAACGCGAGCGACGGCCAGAGCAGAGTCCAAACATGGCTCGACAGCGTTCTTGACGGACCCCATGTGTCGGCCTGCGTGCGAGTCGTCGGTACATGTATCCACATTGGCCCTCGTTTATACCCGACCTCTGGCTCTGTATTATGCCGATTGAGAGCCCAAATTTGCCAATAATGGCTGCGAAAAGTCCGAATCTGACTCCTTCAGGCTAGTCGCTAGCCACATCCGGTTACACTGCCTTTCTCGCCTGCCAGGCTTGTATATGTTGCTCTGTGACGCTACAAGTCGTGCATGCGAGCCTTGCTCCCGGCTGATTCGTAACAAGGCCTCTTTGTCGCAAAGGAATCGGAGTTGACAAGTATTCCTTGCAGATGAGATATTCGGAGGCCAAGATTTCGTCGCCATAAGCCATTTGCTTCCCAAGTACTACGCTTGAATCACGTATGCGCAATGCGCGATACAACCGAATCCGCGCGCTGGCGCACCCACAACAGGGCCCCTTGTTCAGCTAAGCAACGAATATGCAAGATGGCATTTTTTTTTTCTCTCGACTCGCATTGTCTTTGCCTTGGCCTCGTGTGAATGGTGTGATGGAGCAAACGATGCATCGAGCATTGCTTCCTCCAGAGCTGTCTCTTCAATGCCCCATGGTGCAGTATATATAGCCTCCAACGAGCTTCATCCGCCATGCCATCCTGCCTCTCCAAGCAAGCTGCCCATTCTTTTACCCATTCATCCCCCATCATAGCAGCACACGCCCTCCATCTATCCTACTCATTCCCCCCTCACCATGAAGAACAGCTCGGCTGCTCTGGGCTCACCCACGGTGAGCGTGATGCCTCTCGACTTTGGCCACGTCGACTCGGCTCACCACGCCCACGTTGCCATTGTCGGCGCGGGCCCCCGAGGAACGAGCTCGCTGGAGCGTGTATGCTCGTCAGCATCGGAGTTCCTTGGACCATCCGGAAAGCTTACCGTGCACGTGGTAGACCCGTCTCCTCCGGGCCCGGGCATGGTGTGGCGTAGAGAGCAGTCATCGCAGCTCCTGATGAACACAGTCACGTCGCAGGTCACCCTGTTCACCGACGACAGCGTGGTCTGCGCCGGGCCCATCCGCCCTGGCCCGAGCCTGCACGACTGGGCCAGGGAGGCGGAACCAGACCTGGGGCCAGACGACTACGCCACGCGCTCCCAGTACGGCGGCTACCTGGAGTGGGTGTTTGGCGAGGTGGTGCGAAGGGCGCCGCCCAACGTCGCCATCGAGGTGCACTCGGCGCTTGCCGTGCGGCTCAACGACGCCATCGACGGCAGCCAGACGCTGACCCTGTCGACGGGCGAGACCCTGCCCGGGCTGGCGGCCGTCATCCTCGCCCAGGGCCACCTCCCCCTGCACATGGACCCTGAGCTGAAGAGGCTGGCCGACTATGCGGCCGAGAACGCGCTGCGCCACTTCGCCCCCAGCAACCCGGCCGATCTGGATCTGTCCGTCATCCAGCCCGGGGAGGCCGTCGTGCTCCGCGGCCTCGGCCTCAACTTCTTCGACCACATGGCCCTGCTGACGACGGGCCGCGGCGGACGCTTCACCACCTCGCCCCAGGGCAAGCTCGTCTACCACGCCTCGGGGCGCGAGCCGCACATGTACGCCGGCTCGCGTCGGGGCATCCCCTACCACGCGCGCGGCGACAACGCCAAGGGCGCCTTTGGCCGCCACATGCCGCTGGTGCTGACGGAGGACGTGATTGCCCAGTTCCACCGGCGCGCCAACGCCGGCAACGCGCCCGACTTTTTCAGGGACATTTGGCCGCTGGCCGCCAAGGAGGTCGAGGTCGTCTACTACGAGGCGCTGCTCCGCGCACGGCAAAAGGGCGCCGCCGTGCCCTCGCACTTCCGCCAGCGGTTCCTGGCCGCGCCCCACGAGAGCCGCCACGAGGCCCAGCTCCTCGAGGAGTTTGGCATCGCCAAGGCCGACCGCTGGTCGTGGGAGCGCATCCAGCGGCCGCAGGGCAGCCGCGCCTTCGCCACGGCGGGCGCCTGGAAGACGTGGCTGCTCGAACACCTGCGGCAGGACGCGCGCGAGGCGGCGCTGGGCAACGTCGACGGCCCGCTCAAGGCGGCGCTCGACGTGATGCGCGACATGCGCAACGAGCTGCGCCTCATCGTGGACCACGACGGCGTCCAGGGCTCGTCGTACAGGGACCACCTGGACCGGTGGTACACGCCGCTCAACGCGTTCCTGTCCATCGGCCCGCCGCGGCAGCGCATCGAGCAGATGGTGGCGCTCATGGAGGCCGGGGTGCTGGACGTGCTGGGGCCCCGGATGCGCGTGCAGGCCGAGGGCGGCGCCTGGCTGGCCTCGTCGCCCGAGATCCCGGGCTGGACCGCGCGCGGCACCACCCTCGTCGAGGCCCGCCTGGCCGCCGGCGCGCGTCCCGGCGTCAACTCGGTCACGCTGACGGACACGGATGCCGTCGCCCGCGCCGCGCTGCATGCCGCCCGATCCGAGATGGACAAGGGTTGCGAGCCGGCCATACAGGCTAGTTCGCTGCCCATGGCGATTGTGGCGTGAGTGCATATGTAGCAGTTCAGGGGGGGGAGGTAGGGAGGCAGGGCTGTGGGATTGTCGCTCTGCACATGAGCTTGAAAAGTTGAAACAGACTGCCACGATGGGGTACATGTAGCATTGATGGGCCGGGGTACATAGACGTTTTGTTACTTGTGTGGATATTCGCATTGATAGAAAAGCTCCTCCAAATTGCAAATTAAACAAAAAATCAAGCTTCAACCATGGAGCCGCAGCTGCGCGTCCCTGACTAGACCATGTGTATCGACAAGAATTCAAGATGCCAAGTTGCCACGTTGTATGGAATGTCTACCACCGTCGACGCGTTCACCCGCGGCGTGCTGCTCTCGACCACGACCAGGGAGCGGTTCATCAATTCATTCACTCTCAGCTACACACAAAGGCCTTGTTCTCGCCCAACCAGACATGCCGCCAAATTCCCTAACCAGCCCCCCAACCCGGCAGCCTAGTTTTCCGGCCGCTTGTACTCCCCCTTGTCAACCATGTCATTGATCGTCTTCTGCGTGACAATCATGGCCTCGATGCAAGACGGCGTCCCGCAGTAGACGGCAGCATGCAGGACCGCCTCCCGAATCTCCAGCTCCGTCATGCCGTTGTTGATGGCGCCGCGCGTGTGCAGGCCCAGCTCCAGCCAGGCCTTTTGGCCGATGATCAGGCCCAGAGCTGCCGCCGCGTGGCCCGTCAGCAAATCTACATCTACCTTCTTCACATGTGCGAGACGGACGTGCCGGGGCTGGCGTGCACTTACTCAAGAGGCTGCGCTGCTTGCGGTCGAGCCCGGGCCGCTGCCAGACGGTGCCCCATGCCCATTCGGTAATGAGCTCCTGGCCAGGCCGGGTGAAGGGCGTGGCGCTGCTGAGCGCGTTTTCCACGTACTCGCTGCCGAGGACGTCCTTGCGGACCTTGATGCCCTCGTCAAAGAGCCTGCGGTGCAGCTCGTCATTCGTGGCGTCCGACGACATGGCGCTCGGCTCGAGTCAAGCGGGAAAATGTGGATATCTGCTGGGCCTTTGCTCGTGAGTCGCCTTGCTCCAGAGCGGATCTTGTTCGAGTCGGAAAACTTGTGCGGGCGAGAGTGCCGGATATGCCCAGAATGCTGGCGTCAGAAACGCTTATTTAACTTGCATCCGGGAATCCAGGAAAAGCGATTTGCCCGATTGGAGCCCCCCCTCGCGCCAACTTGTCCAGTCCACCTACGAACTCGCCACGAACCCGCCTTGTCTGGCCGGGCAGGAGCCGTGCTTGGCAACTCGTGTGCTTGGCTGCATGAGAGGGAAAGCCGGGCACCGGGGATGCTGCCCCTGCCCGGACTGTATTCCGCAAGCTCGACATGGCCCGTCCAAGCGCGCTCCGGCTGGAGTCTCTGGGATGCGGCGGGCCGCTGTGAACCGCTTTATCCGCTTTGCCCGAACATCCACACGATCCCCGGAGTCGGGGGCATGGGCATGGGCGCATGGGCATGGGCATGGGATGAACCAGTGGCGACGTGCAAGTGGACGTGGACGTGGGCAGGGATGTCGGAGACTCTGCCAACACCACCGTGCTCCGTATTACCATATGTGCGCGCCGCTATACACGGGATCCCGAAAAAGCATACAAGTAAAGTTGGAGGACAAGAGTAATCCAGATGCACCGGCCAACGTGTTTGTCCGACCGTGTCGGACATGACTGGGCTTTGCTGCCGACCGTTGATTGGCAAGAGTCATGCAAGTGCAAATGGTGCAAGTTGTGCGTTGCAACACCAGCATGAGCTCGCGTCGGACATGATGGGGAGACGTTCCCGACCAAAGACACGTGTATTGCGCCATCGGTTTCCGTTGCAATTACGTACGTCAAATTTACAGTTTCTGCTGTGCAACAGAGGCCAGTCCCGGGTTGCAGCTGACTTGTAAGTTGTCACTCCGGCAGCATTTGTTACACGTGCATGCCATGCCGTAGCTACCGGGCGTCTTGCAAAGTCTCGGACGTCTCAGGTTCTTGTGCCAACACATTTGAGAGACAATGCTGAACCTTCAATGCTGTGACATGCCGGAGAGCAATGGAACATGGACAAGTGACAGACAGGAGCACACAACCGAGGGCTAGCAAGTCATATTTTGACTACCCACTCGTCATATTTTCTCGACATTGAACCGCAGAGCATCCATGTTCCGGCCAACTTTGTCATTTTGCTACCGTGCCATTATTCGTCTCTGTGATTCCCAGCTTCCAACATGTCATCTATGCCATGCAGGCGCAACACTCTCAGATTGTGGATAGCTGTCCATGTTCCACCGGCACCATGTGAATGATACACAAACTTGATTAATTCGACTACAGATGAGCAACCACTGATGTAAGAATGGCCCTTGCTTGGTCCCGCGTCTCGCGCACAATCACCGCCGCATCGTCCACACGCCGAACCAGTCCTACCGCGGCGCCGACATACGTTGCCAGCCTCCCCTCGGGACCCCAGCCCGCATCGCCAGTCTTGGCAGACTCGTCGTGCAGCTCCTTGAGCCTGTCGAACTGGACGCCGGCCTCGTGATCCCTCCAGCTCCTGTTGATCAGCGTGCGAGGCGAAAAGGGCTCCGGCCAGCCAAACGTGCCACGTAAATGGTTGTACAGCTGCGTGCGCACGGTATTCCTAGCACCGTCGGACGCTCGCACAACCTCGCTCTGGTAGCCCTTGCTGATCCGGGCCTCGCTGGACGCCAGGAACCGCGTGCCCATGGCCACGCCCGCGGCGCCCAGTGCCAGCGCAGCCGCCGCGCCGCGCCCGTCGACGATGCCTCCCGCCGCAACCAGAGGAATCCCGCTGTGCCCCAGGGCGTCCGACACCTCTGGGACGAGGGCAATGGTGCCCTGGGCGTCCCTGTGCCTGCCGTGCCCGCCTGCCTCGGCGCCCTGGAGGACGAGCACGTCGGGGGGTGTCGCGCTGGCGGCGGCGTCGACAGCCTCGCCGAGGGAGCCGACCTGCAGCCAGACGCGCGTGTCTGGCGATGCGCTCCTGATGGCGGCGGTCCATTCGTCGAGCTCGGCCTGGCCGCGACGCGGTGCGAACAGCCACACGGCGCAGGGGCGGTGCCTGGCCACGGCAGACACGGCCACCTCGAGGTCGCCGTTCCACGTCTGGAACCCGACGCCAATGGGGAGCAGCGAGGGGCCTGCGGCGCCCTGGATGGGCGAGGACCCGAGGAGCTCAGCGGCCTTGTCGAGGTCGGCGAAGACGTCTTCTGGCTTGAGGGTCGGCCCCAGGAAGCCCAGGCCGCCGGCGGAGGAGACGGCGACGGCCAGGCCCGGCCCCGTCATGACGCGCATGGGCGCGCTGATGACGAGGGGCGATTTCGTCCATGGCAGACTCTTTGCGAGGGCCTGCTTGCACTCGTTTCGAAGAAGGGCGGTCATGGTGCCGGGAGCGGTTGACGCAAAGTTGAGCACGAGTGTCGTCCCGATGCAAGGGCCTTGTCGATGAATGTCTTTTGTATGCAGATGCTATGCCGGGATGCGTCTTTTTCTTTGCCGGCTGTCTTGTCTGTCGTGCCGAAGCCACTTGCCTGTGACTGCATCTGCATGGAGTAAGTTGGTTGTTGGTGGAAACGCCGTGTAACCGCGGCGATGTTGCGCATGGCATCTGCTGGTTAATAAATTGACCAGACTTGACTTGATAGCTTATGTGTTCACGTCGACCCCACTTCCTGGAAACACAGGCCACATGCAGTAACTCCTGCATTCACTCTCTGGGCGGCCATGTGGCGTCCTGGCGGCCCAATATGACATTGACAACCAGTCCGCTGCTCCTTGTCCAGTTCGCCCGGCGGGTATGACGGTACGGAGCGGAAGTGGACCATGTACCAGACCCGAGGCCAAAATTACGCCATGTATACATGGATGTACATGTCGACGGTGTAGTTATTCCACCGCTTCTCATTTGCAATCCACGGACCAGCCAATGGCATAAAACCGAATTGCCAACTGCTGCTACTCTGTCAAGGGCGTCACGCAAGTCTCAGGCATCGACCGACGGGAGGGAGGCGACGCTGCGAGACGACGGCAGTATATCTTAGATAAAGTAAACTCGGTCCACGCCTGTGAATGCAGCTCAAAAAAAGAGCGAGTGCCATCGAATTGTCGTAGTTGCCGCTCTCCGGCTTCCGCCCGCCCACCATGGCCGCGCCGCCCACCGCCGAGCAAATCGCCATTGTCAAGTCCACCGCGCCCATCATCAAGGAGCACGGCCGGGCCATTACAGACGCCTTCTACACAAACTTGCTATCTGTCCACCCCGAGCTTAAGAATTACTTCTCCCTGCGCAACCAGCAGACCGGCGCGCAGCAGCTCGCCCTAGCCAACGCCGTCTTCGCCTACGCAGCGTACATTGACGACCTCGCGAAGCTAAGCGAGGCCGTCGAGCGAATCGCCCAGAAACATGCCTCGCTGTTCATCCAGCCCGAGCACTACCCCATCGTGGGCAAGTTTCTCGTCGAGGCGTTTGTGCAAATCCTCGGCAGCGCCGTGACCGAGCAAGTCAAGGACGCGTGGATCGCGGCATACCAGCAGCTCGCCGACATCTTCATCCAGCGCGAGCAGCAGCTCTACAGCGAGCACGGCGAGGACTGGCAACAGTGGCGCAAGTTTGTCATTGCCGACAAGCAGCACGACTCGGAAGACGTCTTCCACCTGTCTCTCACACCGACCGATGCGCTGCCCCTGAAGGAATTCCTTGCCGGGCAGTACGTCTCGCTGCAGGTCCCGGTCCCCGAGGCCGACGGGCTCCTGCAAAGCCGGCAGTTCAGCATCAGCTCGGCGCCCGTCGAGTCCCGCGAGCGGCTGCGCGTCACGGTCAAGCGAGGGAGTACCGTGCTGGGCGCGAGCACGCACGACGTTGTCCAGGGCAAGGTGTCGGGACTCGTTTCCAACATTCTCTTTGAGAGGTACAATGTCGGCGACGAGGTGGAACTCAGTCCTCCCCGGGGCGTCTTTTCGTTTGACGCTGAGGCTGTAGATCCGAGTGTTCCCGTCGTCCTGCTCAGTCTTGGTGTCGGGGCGACACCCGTCGTCGCGATTCTGGATTCGATTCTCAAGTCGGGCCATCCGGCTCGCCGGGTGAGCTACATCCATGGCGCGCGGCACGCGGGCGCCGTATGTTTCGGGGAGCACGTTCGTTCCGTTGCCAAGGACTGTGATAACGTGTCGTCGGTGCTTTTTCTTAAAAACGTCAAAGAGGGCGACGAGTACACTTTCCAGGGGAGGATGGATCTGAATAGGCTGGATGGGGGTGCGCATTTATGCCTTGATGATGACAAGGCGGAATACTTTGTGTGCGGGCCGCCCGAATGGATGGTGCAGACGCGGACCTGGCTGACGGAACAGGGCGTCGAGGTGAAGAGGGTTCACTTGGAGTTGTTTGGGACAGGAGGAACCTGAACTGGCCTTTATTGCGTTTTGTAATGCCATTGTGTTGTTTTAGCGTATCAGATTGACGACAAGCCTTGCTGGCAGGCGAATAACGAGTCACGACTTGCTTTACCGAATTGACATCTGGAGTCTTTGTGAGGTGTGCATCGGCGCCATGGCAGTAGTTGCCACTGTGACATGCTGTTCCAGCATCTTTTTCATTGGGGTGAATAAAAACTGGATAAAGGTCATTTTTTGAAAAGGAAAAATAAACCAAACTCACGTCTGTCCATCCGTCTCAAGAGTCAGGCTGTGTTGGCAATAAAGAGATTCCCCTCCGCTAGCCAACATCTCCGACTTCAGTCTTTGCCTCGCCGTCTACACTCTTTCTTCCCCCGCGCCACCACCTTTTTAGTTTGTTCTTCTTTTACCCAGCCTCCTGTCACTGTATTTTTCGTCTTCCCGCCCCGGTCGTAGTCTATGCATGTCATGACCCGAACTCTGAGAAACGTCCTGCATAACCATTTCTTGCTTGCAGAGTCCGGCAAAGCTCGCACCGTTCGATCACCCGAATGGACGATGCCGAATATTCTAACATTGCTGCCGTCCACGAAAATGCTCTTCAACGCTGATCTTGAGCCAAGGGCATCATGTGATATTGGAACCGCTGCATCTTTGTTGCAGAGTCCACTGCGTTGCTGAGATGGCTTAGGCTGGCAATGAGTGCGACTTCCCAGTGCCAATGGCCAGAATGATGGCGCACGAACCGATTTGCGTCGCTGTCGAGTCCTGCCATCATGTCGCCGTCCATGGTGCAAGTCCCGTGGAGGGGAAAATACACAGCATCGCCATAACATTAGCGAGGGCTTTGTCTAGACATGACTCTGCTGCTTTCTCAAACATCTTGACTTTTGCCTCTAACCAGGGCTTAGGATCGGTTCCTCCTTTTTTGTCGAGCCCCCTATTCCCATCTTCTTTTTTTCTTTCTCTCTGCCTTTTCCTGTAATTTAAATTCGTCAACTTGTTATTTTTTTTTCTTTTTCTTCTTCTTGAAACTTTTGCATGTCTCTATAGAACATTGTCTCGTCGTCCGGATCGCCTTGTCTCTCAACCGTCTCAGACTCAAGCTTTGGACTTTGAAATTCTTGGACTATATTCATAGAACCAAGAAACGTGGATGGAAACTCTGCCAAAGATAGAGGGCGCATAAAGAAAGTCGACGCCATAATCTTGAGTCCTCGGGGCAGACGCCTGCGCTCTAGATGCCAGAGTTGGGGGCGTAGAAAGACGAGCTGCCATCTCGGTTCGCTAGTGCAGGTATAATCGTCATGTCCTTTAAATTAAACTTTGATTCCAGATGTTAAGAAGTTGAAATAATACGGAATATGTTTGAGATGATGGCTCAGCAAGCTTGCTTTGCTACAGCTTCCAATATTCGTAGTATAACACACCACCATCTCCAGGAATGTCTGATAATAAGTCCTCCGTAGACGCAAATCAATGCAATACGAAAATTCCACTCGGAAGTTTAACGGTTGTACATGGCTCCGTTATAGATGGCGATGAGTGCCACCATTACAACGACCATCCAGAGACTCCAGGGCTCCCATATGGCTACCTGAATGATGGTTTTCATGACAATGGAAGCAGAATCAAATGAATTTGATGAGCAAAAATAAAGTGACTGCAGCTCCAATAGCTATGATTCCAGCGAGGGTAGTGGCAAGACCTTTGACGAGCACCGTGATGGTGTACCGAGGGTGCTGTTGGTGCTGCTTTATCTCGCGACTAGTGACGGGCGATGGGCAGCATCTGTTGAAAGGGCCAACAATGAGCAGTATGACCGGGAAAATGAAATAGAAACGAGGTAAACTAGATGCAAAATGAACTGCATTGTGGGTGAATTGGATGTGGTGGAATATACATGAATCATGCCATGTGTCGTGAGAGATCCGCTCATATGTTGGTCGGATACAACTGATTGTATAACAGAATACAGGCCAGCAAGTCCCTTTTTTTTCATTCTCCGAGACGGTTCATCACGCACACGTCCAACTTTGAACCTTTCAATGTTGGATGGATGTGGCCAGACGCCGGCACCAGCAGATGAACACAGCTTCCAGTGGGGTTTATAGGCTTCAAATGCTGATGGCATCATGCATGTTGGTGGCCATTGACAGGCGTCGGTTTGCCGCCGGCCGTGCATTGATGCGACCACACAAATCTGGTTGCCTCACTTTTTCTTTCAATGTTGCGAGAGTGTGGGCGCCTACTGACCCATGTTGTTTCAATGTTCACCTGCAATGACATGTCAGTTTGGCGCCGTTACAACAGAAGAGCACCAGAACAAAGAAATACCTTGACAGTATAAAGCCCTCTAATCTAAAAAAAAAAAAAAAAAGTTCACGCAATCATTGGCCTACATCATTTTTCTAAGCTCGAGAGTGTCTTGATTTGCCCCAGATGCAGGATGAGTCATTCTATAAAAATTGTTGGAGCGCAGTCGCGGCTCGTTTTTCTCTTTCTCCTCAACCTCCTTCTTTCTCCTTGCATCACCTTGCGCAAGACTCATGGTAGACTTTTGCCCCTTGTGTCTTTTCAAGATAGGCTCGCTGTTGATTCTCGACAATGAGGTAGGCCATGAATGCGCCCCCGGAATCAATGAAACTAAAGTCTCCTCAGCTCAACCACAACACCCGTCGCTGCTAGCAGCACAGCATGGACTCCGATTCCCTACGTCCCAGGTCGAACTATGAACTTGAAAACCTCTTGCGGGAAAGATATTCAACTTACCATCACCCGCGTCTGCTCTGTTACTGTATCGCCTGTCATGGAAGTGCAACTAAGAAAGCCGGATGGATGTAGGACAGCCATTCTCAAATTATTCGATCGACGTTTTGGGCATTCCCGCGAGAAGCATCCATATAACCAACAAGCGGAAGCTGCGTGGCAAGATTCTGTTCGCTCTGGTTTGGCGAAAAGGCTCCTTGACGATCTCCGAAACGATGAAGACAGTGTCCGAAGGGCGCGTTTTCAAAAGGATGTTGATGAAGGCGACAGTGAAGAAGAAGAGGAGGAGGAAGAAGAAGAAGATGATGATGATGATGATGACAACGAGAATGACCTCGCCGAGTCGGAAGCTATAATATACCACACAGCTCGGACAAATTATGAAAATGAAGTTCGAGCCTATAGCCAACTAAAACCACTCCAAGGCCGATGCACCCCCCGATTTATCGAATCCGTCATTGACAGCTCACCAGAGTCACCTGCAGATCTTCCGGTCGAGTACTTCCAAGTTCCTGGTATAATACTTGAATACCTTTTCGGCTTCCCCCTGTCAGAACTCACGGCGAGAATCCCAAATCAACCATTTCTCTGGGAGAAGATAGTGCAAGGCGCAATTGATGTTGTTCGAGAGGTGAATATGGCGGGGATTGTTCACCATGACTGTCAACCTAGGAATATGATGGTGTCGCAGATAGGCCGCGACGTGTTTCGGTTATACTTGATCGACTTTGCACAATATGCCTTCAGGGCCGACTACAAGGACACGGACGACTTATTTGATGAGAATGGCTTTGCGCATATTGTGAACCTGTACGATAATCATGGGGGCATCGCAATACTGATGAGTCAAAGGGTGAAGAGGGAAACATCATATACGCTTCACCTGAAAGCGCTAGAGGGGTAATATTACACAACCGTCACGGGGTTTTTGGCTAAAGCTTGGCTTGCTCAATAAGAATGTTACAATATGCATGTCCTCGGCCCGTTCTCCAGATCTACAAAGTCGGATTGCTTTACCCCACGAATGGAGAGAGTCAACTTGCTAGCACCATGTTGAGTCTGGAAGAAGCTGTTCCTGGCACTTGGAGACGTACGTTGGGGAATGATGATGGAGCAGAACATAGAAGATATTGGGAATCAAGTTCATGGCTTGATATTATAAATGAGAGAGCTCACGAAACTGGCAACAGGTTTGAACTGTTAGTGAGCTTCATCAGCTAAATAAAACGCTCATTTCATCACCATCTTGACCATTTGCCAAGCCGGCTAGTGAATAGTTTCGCAAACCGCATGTTTTACCAAGATGCAGAGCCCAATCGACTATTTCACGTCGCTCAAGGAACTCTCTAGCAAGGTTCGGTCGGGAGGTTTGGGTAAACACCACAAGAGGGGACCCGTGCTACTGAGCAGGCACGCTTGCAGAGCTCACCTCCTACTCGTGCAATAATTTTCTTCATTCGACTAGAAACCCTCCTCAACGGTATCCATATATGCGCCATCCAGGTCCCGGCGGCTTACCAGAGTTTCGTTCCTGGTTAGCGTCGACCGGCTTCTCGCTCCCGATGTCACCTCTTCATGCAGGTTGTGGTGACGACGTGGCACAATAGCAGGTTCGCATCGGTCCGATGGTTGACGAAAGGATTCATTCTCTTCACATTGACAGTGCGACCATCTAGTCATCAGAGTTATTGTCGCCCGCCAAACAGGGAGATGCTGCAACAATGAGCCGCACAGGCACATGTCGTCCTGCTCCCGTCCCACATGGGCGTGTTTGCCTCTCGTTTTGCATGAGTATTTAAAGAAGTAGCGATCCGGAGGGGTTTTGTGACAATCTACTATTTAACACCGTCGCATACACCAGCCAAACGCATCTAGTCGACCAGTTTCCAATTGGCAGAAATACCTGCCATGTTCTCACTCTCCAGCGCTCTCCGCCGTCTCGGCGTGGGATGGCTTGCCATGGCGGGTTGCTTGTCTGTCGCAAAGGCTTCAATAATGCCGGAGACGTCTCCTCTAGAGGTTCGAGCTGCAGCTGGCGATCGCCTCGTATTTTGCCACTTCATGGTTCGTTGCCAATTTCGCATTGCCACATCGGCACATACTAAACCTATACCTCTAGATTGGCATTGTTGGGGACCGAACCAGTGCATCCGACTATGACGATGACATGAGACGCGCCAAAGACGCAGGGATTGATGCCTTTGCCCTCAACATTGGCGTGGATGGATACACAGACCAGCAGCTTGGATATGCGTACGACTCCGCCGCGAAGAACGGCATCAAGGTCTTCATCTCCTTCGACTTTAACTGGTGGAGTCCCGGCGATGCTGGCGGTGTTGGCCGAAAGATTGCCCAGTACGCCGGTAAGCCTGCACAGCTGGTGGTTGACGGGCGTGTCTTTGCCTCTTCCTTTGCTGGCGATGGCTTAGACGTTGATGCCATGAGGTCTGCTGCCGGTTCTAATGTGTACTTTGTTCCCAACTTCCACCCTGGACAGTCTTCTCCCGACAAAATTGACGGTGCTCTGAACTGGATGGTAAGTCCTGCCCGTATATGCGATGTGCTTTACTAAGACTATCATCGCAGGGTTGGGATAGCAATGGAAACAACAAGGCGCCCTCCAACGGCCACACTGTCACGGTTGCTGATGGAGACAACTCGTACCAAAGCTGGCTTGGAACAAAGAAGTACATGGCGCCCGTGTCTCCCTGGTTCTTCACCCACTTCGGTCCCGAGGTTTCTTACAGCAAAAATTGGGTCTTTCCGGGAGGTTCGTTGATCTTTGACCGTTGGAACCAGGTGCTTCGGAAGGGATTCCCTATGCTTGAGATTGTCACCTGGAATGACTACGGGGAATCTCACTACGTCGGCCCTCTCAAATCCCCTCACTATGATGATGGTAACTCCAAATGGGTCAATGATATGTCCGTACCCAGCCCCCAGGCGCCCTCGCCCCCAAAAGATGTTGATAACTAACACGGCGGTATCTTAGGCCCCATGACGGCTGGTTAGATCTCTCCAAGCCCTTTATTGCCGCGTACAAAGCCGGCGCCAGTTCCATCAACGACTACATCAAAGAAGACAAGATCATCTACTGGTACCGCCGCACTCTCCGCACGCTCGACTGTGATTCCACCGACACCACGGCCGGACGTCCTGCAAACAACAACAGTGGCAACTACTTCATGGGTCGGCCCGACGGCTGGCAGACCATGGACGATGTTGTCTATGTCGTGTCTTTTCTCACCCAACCGGGAACCATTATTGTCCAGTCTGGCGGTCAGTCCAAGACGGAAAACGCGCCGTCTGGCGCTCACATCTTCACTGTCCCCGCTGGTGTCGGCCAGCAAAAGTTTTCTCTGACTCGCAGTGGAAACACTGTGCTCTCGGGCACATCATTGATGGACATAGCGAATGCGTGTCCCTGCGGCATCTACAACTTCAACGCCTACGTGGGCACTCTGCCGTCCGGCTTCAACGATCCCCTGCAGCCGCATGGCCTGGCATCATTGACGGTCGGTCTGCACGTCAGTACTTGTGAAGCCAAGCCGTCTCTGGGAACCAACCCCCCTGGTGGCGGAACATCAACGACAACCACTTCACCGGGAGGCCAGCGTCCTACCACTACTACCAGCTCTACCAAGCCTCCTGTCACCAGTCCGCCTGGGGGAGGTCGTACGTTGTCCCCCAAAGTGCTAGTTCCATGAATATAAGGAATATTTGGCTAACATGCCGTTTCAGAAGTTTGCACCGGCGGCACAAACGCCGACGGCGAAAGCGGCAACTATTCTGGCCTTTGCGGCTTCTCGTGCCACTATGGATACTGTCCACCCGGCCCGTGTAAATGCACTTCGTTCGGCAGTCAGATTTCCCCTCCTCCAGAGACTGGCTATAACGGCTGCCCTCTTCCCGGAGAGGGCGAGGGATACAAGGGCCATTGTAGCTTCTCTTGCAGTCATGGGTATTGTCCTGATACGGCTTGCCAGCGATGCTGAACGATGTGCATGGGATTAAAAATGGTCGCCTTTATTTGAAGCTTCTAAGGGGAAAGAGTATGCGCCAATAGCTTTTTGTTCATTCCGTGTATACTTTGTGACTTGAACATCTCACACAGACATATCCATTACACTCGGAACTCATGGGTTCAATCAAAGACACTGAGGTGAACGGTGCCTAAGCTTCAGACTTCAATCAGACTGACGGGGTCGAATGGTCCCGCAGAAGTTTATTTATCTGTCAAGATGAGAATCAATGTTGAGCGCAACGTTATGTGTAGTGTCATAAAATGCCTGCCCATCAGACGGCTTAAAATGCTACAGGACAGCCTTCACACCCGCAAGACCATGTTGTACATAGTCCGTACTTGGTTAATTCAGATCAGTAAGCGTAGTCACTCCAAACTTGCCATACCACTTCAACCCACAGCTGGCATAGACCCGGTGGATGTCGCTGCTCCTGTCGCCTGTGTGGCCTGCCAAAGAAGCTCGTCCACTACGAGCTTATACATGCTTGACAAGTAAGACGGAAAAGGCGTTTATGCGTATTACTTCCCTGCCCAGAAGCCAATGTCGCATCCGTGGCACAACTCTCAGCCGCGGCCAGTCTTACGGGTGAGACAAGCTGCTCAGCTCGGGGAGGGCAATGAGTCGATTCAACAAACGGCCGAACAAACGAGTCGAATTTTATCACGATCCACCAATTTGTGTCTTGAGAATACCAGACGACGATTTTCAAAACGAGGAACGTGTCTGGTCATGATGGCCCAAGACTCGAAGCCTGCACATGATCCGGTGCATGGTATCGGACGCTGCTGCGACCTCTGTCTGCGTAGAAAGTGTGCCATCCTATTCATAAGCGACGACATACAGTATCTAATGTGCTACAATAGACTGGCATGCAGCGGTAACGTCCCGTGTATGGCATGTTCCATCCGCGAGATACCATCGTCCTGCGTGTATCCCGACAGCTACGTTCCGCGTCCTCATCGCCTCTCGTCGTGTCCCGCCTCTGCTTCCACCTCTCCTACGCAATATCAGGCAGTGCTTGGCACACAGATAGACCAGACACACGGTAGTCATGCGAGCTTCAGCGATGGCGCACATTCGAGCATTGAATCTCCTCCGTCGAACGTGTCGGGAGGGCCTCCACCTGGTACTATGCAGCTTGGCTCGGAAACAACAGTATACGTGAATAGTCGGCATTGGACAACGCGTTTAGTTGACTTTGCCGAACCGGACCAACGCTTGCTTCCAGATGATGCGTGCTCTGTGCCTGCTCCCCGTCCGCGAAAGGATGAAATTGTGCAAAGCGCCGGCCCAGCACCGCAGCAATCTACAGCATGCGCGCTGTTGCTCCATGGATCCCATTTGTCAACATCGAGATCGGATATACTATCTAGTTTGCCGGAGCGTGCGGTGGCTAACCGCTTAGTTGAGACATATTTCAACATGGAAGCTTTGCCCCGAGGTGAGCATCATATACTCCAGCCCATCGCCACATCACGCCCGCACCTCGAGTCCGACTAATCAGTTTCTGGGGGTTAGTTTGCGTTCACTCGCCGAGTTTTCTGCAACAAGTGTGTTCCGTCCTTTGTTGACTACGTAGGCGCCCTTTGCCCCATTCACCCCGATGCTAACAGACACCACAGTATCAACGTTTCTGGGATAATCCGTCCCAAGCCCCCTTGACATGGATCGCGCTCCTGTTCGGAATCATGAGCTTCGCCGCCCAAGCCCAGCCCGGCACCCCAGACCAAGCACACGATCCCGCGCTGCCGCTGCCGTTCCTCGAGCAAATCGTCTCGTGCCTCGTCCTCGGCAACTACACCCACGGGCCGCCGTACGCCATCGAAGCCCTCCTGCACTACTTTGTCCTAGAGCGCAGGAGGGCCCGAGACACGCAGGCGGACACTTGGCTCGTCATGGGAATCATCCTCCGCCTCGCCCAGCGCATGGGCTACCACCGCGACCCTCTGCACTTCCCAGGCATCACCCCTTTCCAGGGCGAGATGCGCAGGCGAGTATGGCTCATGATCCACGGCATAGACATCACGACAGCGCTGCAGTTCGGGCTGCCCCGGATGATCAGCCCTCGCCACGGGGATACCGCGCCGCCGCGGAACCTATCCGACCACGAGTTGCGAGAGGACATGGCGGTGCTCCCGCCGTCGAGGCCCGAAACCGAGCACACCCCCATGCTGCACATGGTTGCCAGAAACAGGTTCTTCGTCGTCCTGGGCGCCATAGTCGACGCCAGCATGGGCGCATCCAAGATGACCCCCGTAGAGGAGAGCAGGCTGCTGCAGCAGCTGTACGATGCGCGCGACGCCATCCCCCCTGTTTTGCGATATACCTCGCTGTCGGACAGCCTGGGCGACGCGGCATCGCACAATATCCATCGCATCATCCTCGTGGTTCTGTTTTACAAGGGCTTGATAGTCCTCCACTGGCACCACGTCAGGCTGGTCAACGTGCGGACAAGGAGCGAGGAGCCGAGGCCAGCCGCGGCGCGCGAGGAGACGAGGAGCTCGTACCGGATCTGCACGACGGCCGCGCTGAAGATGCTCGAGATACAGCACGAGGTGGAGGAGGAGCGGCGTCCAGGCGGCTGCCTCGCGTCGTTGGGCTTGCGCTTCTCGGCCGCGTACAACCACGAGTTTCTGATGGCCACCCTGGTGCTTTTCACGCACGTGTATGGAATTGCGAATGGCGCCCCGGGCAGCTATTTGGATGATGGGGAGAAGGCGGAGATGCATGAGATGGAGGGCGTTCTCAGGCGCGCCCGGCGTACGTGGAGTCTGCGCAGCGCACACTCTAGGGAGGCGGCCGCGGTCGACAAGTTGCTAGGCAAGCTGTTCAGGATACTCGACGGCCCGGGCTGCGAGGCGGTGTTGACGGATGGCGTGGCAGACGATGCTTCCATGGGCCAGTTGGATGGCGTGGACTGGGGTTTCCTCGCGGAATTCGGCTTGCTGTCGCATTTGCAGGATCTGAGTCGTCACTGTATAGGGCGTTGAGGAGCCTTGCTTGTTTATATTGAGGAGATTTTGTACAAGTCGAGCCAACTGTTCTTGAGGCAAGATGCATGTGGTTTCAGATAATAATAGATGTTGGGAGAGTGTTGAGGGAGCGTGTGAGAGTAATGTGGGTTATAGATTGTGTTGTGAGGTATACCGGCAGGTAATGTCAGTTCATGGGTTGGGTCAGAGCCTATTTATATTCAACAGACACGGGTAAGGACCATACGAGTAGTAGGGGTTGTCGAAAAGGACACAAACAGGCATTGCGAATCTTTTCACCGTTTGAGTGGCACAATCTTCTCCGAGAAGTCTCCTGCATGTTCCTCCACCAGAACCAAGCGGACTGCCAATACATGGCGTAACTAGTCATCATTCGCACTAGACACAGACGTGCAGTCATAACAAATTAACGATCCACCCATCAAGCTGCAACAGACATGACATCCACGCCATCTTGAATGTGCTTCTTGGATGGCATCTTATTCAGCCTCATCAGCTCAGAGCTCTGCGACATGAGCGGATCCCTCCCCATACTAGCCATGGCCACGACCGTCTCGCCCTTGGTGTAGTAGGCGACAAACTTGGCCTCGGCCGGATCGCCGTCAACAATCACGTCGTCCCATCCATTGGCAGTGTTTCCGCAATACCGCATCTGAGCACCCAGTGCGGACCAGAAAATGGGGATATTCAGGGGTCGGTTCTGAGTTGGGTTCACAATGTGGTTGGCAACATGGCGGCCCGAGTTCTGGGCGACATTCCAGTGTTCAATGCGCACTAGCTTGCCCTCGCCTCCGGGTCCAGAATATGGGTGCGTGGCAATGTCTCCAATTGCGTAGACATCCTTGAGGCCAGAGACCTGGAAATTCTCATCCGTCTGGACTGATCCATCCTTCTCGAGGCGTAGGACAGAGTTGTCTCGCAGATAGTCTGTGGCAGGCATAACGCCGACGCCCAGGATAACGAGGTCGGCTTCCAGTTTTGTGCCGTCTTGAAGAATGACGGCACCAACTTTGGACGGATTCGACGCGGATGGCTCTGCCCGCTCGATGCCGCCTCCCAAGTGGAACTTGACACCCTTGGCTTCAACCGCCTTTTGTATACCGGCACCAACCTTTTCGCCAAGGACACGCTCCAAGGGAACCTTGGACATGTCTGCGACCGTGACAGTGTTGTCCTTGCAAATGGCATTGGCGACTTCCATGCCGATGAAGGATGCGCCCACAATGACAACCTTCTTGCCCTTGTCGCCAATAGCATCAACAATGGCTTTGACATCATGTACATTTCGCAACGTAAAAATGTTGCCGAGCACGCGGAATCCGTTAAGGGGTAATGTTCGAGCGATTCCTCCTGTGGCAAGGATCAATTTCGTGTAGGAAATATTTTGGCCGTTCTTGGTGGTAACCTTGCGCTCTCCAAAGTTGACGGCAGTAGCTTCTCCGTCCACCCACTCGACGTTGCCGCTATCGAACCAGCCTTTGTCTCTCCATTGCAGCTTGGAGAGGTCAGTCATGAGGGCCTTGCTCAGTTTGGGTCGATCGATGGGATAATAGCCCTCGTTGGAGATGACAGTGATGCCACCAGTGAAGCCCTTCTCGCGCAAGCCTTCAACAGCTCCTAGTGCACCAGACCCTCCGCCAACGATGACTACCTTTTCGTCTGCAACAGAAGCACCGGCGCAGCTGAGGTTGGGCTGTCTTCGGGAATTTTTGATTGCGGATTCGTCGCCAATGACATAGACGGCGCCGTTGCGCTCGGTGACCTTGAAAACAGGCAGGGCGTCGAGGGCGGGAGCTTCTTCGACGTCACCAGTGCTCGTGTTGAAACAGGCTACTCCGTGCAACGGATGGCAGAGACGATTAATACACATGATACCGAGCGGTGTCGATTTGATCAGCGGGAGGTTACCTACCACCATGCCATGGACACTTGACGCGCCCATCAGCAGTAAGGACGCCCTTGGCAAGGGGTGCACCGTAGTGTGTGCATTTGGCGCCCATTGCTTGAATCCTGCCTCCCGTGTTGACCAGCAGGACCTTGCCGCCATCCACGCCGTCAACCTCGACCTCCTGCTTGGAGCCGGGCGACAAGGAGAGGGAGGTCAAGTCCTTGAGCTTGAATTCCTGGGCCATGGCTCGAGGCAAGGTTGAGAAGTGTAGTGTTGGTGTGTTTGGGGTGTTGAAAAGGGCGCGACTAGAACGAAGCAGAGTGATAATGCGGGGATTGCTGCGTAACATGTACGAGGGCGTCTGGAGATGCGCTTGAGATGTTGAGGAGAATGAGGAAGCGTGTCGGTTGTGTTGTAACAACCAATTCAAGCAACTGACGACGGAAATGGATGTAGGTAAAATGCAAGTGTCAATCTGGCGGTGAAAAGGAGATGATTCTGCGACCAAAACTCAGACGGGACGGGAGGTGACGGGCATGGAACTTGGGAAGAGGCATCAGGGCGAGAGCGGCTTAAGCGGGCGCTCTACGCTTCCAGAGTCGTTGCCGATAACAGCTCCAAGTCGGGCCATGACGGCGTGCGGCGCCATTGGTGCATCTTGAGCTTCGTCATCGAGTTTCAAAAGCAGATGCCGGCGGAGCATGGGCCCTCATTCACGATGTGATGACAATGGCGTGATGCTGACTGGCTGCGCAACGTGGGTGGTCCAGATGTCTGGGATGGCGGCTTAGCGGGGAAGGAGCTACCGTCCAGGTGATGTCATTTGCGGGCAAGTAGTCACCACTCCGTACGATATCGACCAATTGATCCCAGCCATCCAAAAGACGCATCAATGGCTGCACAGCTCCTTATTGGCATTTTCATACAGCCAATAGCAAAGCAACATCAAGCTCGCCTGCAACCACAAGCTAAGAGCCAACCTCGAGCGAAATGAATTGAATACTTGACCTCAACGACACCTTAATTTCACCACTTTTGCATTTACCCTAGGTCCTCGTTGGCCATCAGGTTCAGTCCACTTCGGGCGCATAGTTTCGTGAATGGACAAGTTTTATCCACCCAGTTGTGCAAAGGCTCTAGACATGTATCTCTAGGGATATTCAGATTAATTACAAGCTTTATGCCAGATATTACTTGGTCCAGTCCGCTGGTCTATTTCCAGTGTCTGGATAATGCTGAGAAACTCGATTATTCGGCCAAGATTTCCGTACGGGCGTGACCCAGAACGCAGGGCATTTCAACACAGCAAGCTCGAAAAGATACCAATGCCAGCGACTTGGAAAGGAGAAAATGTCTTTACATTGCTCTACCTGAAAACTACGGACAATTTTCTTACCCCCTACGATCAAGTAGAATTTCAGTGACGATAAGATGGTTGATGGCTGCAAATACTTGTCACCTTAGGGTAGGACGTGCCGTAATGTGTGCAACACTCATCTCAAAGTCAGCCATGACGATATGAATACAATGTGACAACCAACCTCTCTTGGAACGTGGCAAAACTTGCTGTCGGATTCGAGTAATAATTCCACATCATAGCTTTTGGGACATCTCTTTGCGCTGGCATCACTTGTACACCTTCTTTCTGACTTGGTGATGATGTTTGATACAAGCGTACCATGTTGGCATCCTCCATGTCATGGTTGTAGAATTGACAAATGCGCGTTTTTAATAAAAGCGTGATTCAGGACCGGATCCCCCACGTTACTCGAATACCTGAAGCATGTTGAACGGGAGCAGTTCTTCTGGGCAGCACTCAATAATTGAGCCACCATGTGTTGGGCCTGCATGCACAATACTAACGGTCACGTCCCACCACATTAATGCTAGCAAATGAATGAGGCTGGTTATTTAGTTCTCTATAGCCTTTTGCATGTAATCACCACAAACTACGCCTAGTGTACTTGCGTCAACTTTAAACGGAGTGTAAATACTCAGTCAGCCACCGACACCGCCTCCAAATAACTACGGCTTCCAAGAAACCGAACTGTAAATGTTGAGAAGCAGGGATGCAAACATTATACATGTGAGTATAATCGACAAAGGTTTCAAGACACTGTACCTACCTGTCGATCCCATATTGTCCTAGGATCCCGCTTGCTTCGTTGGCCATGATATTCCAACCATTCATTATGCGTGGCTTTTTGAACCGTGGGCAATAGTCCCTATGACAAGTCAGAAATTCCCTCAAGTAGTAACACGTCCTGACCGATGTTTCATCGCAGTGTCTTCAGCCAATCTAGAATCTAATCCATCTTGACCGCTTTTATAAAAAGAGGCTTTGCCGCTCGTGTGCTCCTACATACATGAGCATACGGCATGCAGTTACGAAAGTACAATACGGATTGGGTAATCATGAATTACAACAACACCAATGGCAGGCTTGTGTGGTGATAATAAGCGAAAGCTCGTCCAACTTTTCTGGGCTAGACTCTTCGTAGTAGGGAAAGACACTGAGAAAAAAAAAATATTTGGTCACTAGTGACGCACGTCTCAGCGAGCAAGACGCGCAAAGTGGCCCCTGGTAAGTAGCATCTAAAGACATTATCAAGCAGCTTGCTCGATCGGGAGGGGATTGGCAAACACATCGCAGAAGATGCATCCAACGAATCTTGAGACGCCAGGTACTAAACATATTTGGATGCAGATGTCTGACAAGGTGCGACATGATGCGGTCACCTCACAGGCCAAATCGCTTGCCAAGTACTAGCAAGCGGCCGAGAGCTGCACCAGCGGCACAGAAAACAGCGCTGGCCGATGCAGGGCAACATCTTGCAGAGTCTCGGCGTTCTTTTGGCGGCATCGGGGAAAACTATCAGTTAGATTAGCCATGTTCCGGTGAGAAAAATTAAGCTGGCGAGGAATATATAAGCCCAGGAGTTACCCACTGGTCCAAGATGTCTGATCATCGCCATGTAGCACATGCCATCTTGTCCGAATACCATTTTCCAGTGTTATCTTACATTTGCATCCCAGCCCAAAGTCATCATGACAGCTGTCACTGCCTTGTTCGACCCGGCTATGCCGGATGAAACGAGCATTAGTCTCTTCTCTAACACCTCCATGGCACAACTTACGGTTGCCTTGAAGAACAGCAATGATGGCCCGGACCCAGACGGGAAAAGTTTTGGGCCTAGTGCGAGTGATTATAAAGGCTTTATTGCACAGCCGTCGCAGCTAGCCTCGGGTTCGTTTCGCGGTTTCCGCGTCGTCGTTGCGGCCACCGTCCCGAGAACCGTTGAAGGTGGGCCAACCACTAACCAGATTTCCATCGTTTCCCCTGTATACCAGGGGCTTGCTTCCAATAGGTTGGAAAACAAAAAGGTGGCAGTCTCCAACTCTGACACATCCGCATGGGTATACTTTCTAGAGTAAGTAAGGCCAAAAAAAATTATTTTAGGGAAAAAAAATAACATACAACACCGGGTATTCGCTGGTCGTCACCGACCCAACTACTAATCCGGCGCTCGCCAGGTTATTAAGGGAGATCGGACGGGATACCGCCTCCGAAATGTGAACTTGCCCGACCTTTACCCGAAACGCCCGCCCGGACCCGCTTTTCCCGTCCTCTCCGTTTCCCCATCCTGCCACCGTTTTGGCTCTCTGTCCCCGGGCTTTCCACTCCGATACCGAAGCGCCGGGCAATGGACGGCCGCACGCCGCGTCGTAATACACACCCTCATGCTGCCTGTTTTCGACCCTGGCACTCGCATGAAATCCTCACCCAGGCTCTGGGGGGAGGCGCCCAACGCCGCCGCCCCCTTCCTCCCCCTGGTTTTATCGACAAGTCTTTTTCTACATTGGTCCTGTCGCAGGTCCATGTTCAGTCCGCCCTGGCGTTAATGTGCCATGTTGGTCAGCCCGTGATATCCTACTTGAGAATGCCTACGTGTACTGCAGGGCTCCATTGCCCCATTGGCCTGATTGAATTCAAGTGACGGACTGACTAGATAAAATGGTCCCTCTCCCCCTTTCATTTGTCCTTGTGCGATTTGCCGTCCATGCCATTCAGTCCTTTGCCCCCCTTTTCTCATTCACGTGTACTGCCACTGAAGCTGCCTTCGCTCACTTTATCATCATGCCCCGAGATACGAAATCTTCGCTTCGCTTTGCCCGCCCGAGTGTGCGTCAATTTAACAAAGATGCCGCTAAGGCGGCGGTGCAAAAGTATCAGGAGAAGCCGCTGAGTGAGGTTTGCCGCCTTGACCCAAAAACGAGGCAGCGTCGCGAAAGGATCTGGCAGAACTGGGAAGAGTGAGGCATCCCCCTCTTATCTTTATTCCTAGGCAATGAGCTATTACTGATTTTATTCCATGTAGATTTGCCGCTTGCGCTGAAGTCGACCCGGTCGATATATGGTTTGACCTTTGCTTAGGCAATCCAGAAGTTCAAGCCATCTTCCAAGGATTTCTCAGACAATACTGGGAGCAGTCTGTGACGTTGCGTCCCTGCCTTGGCCCTGAGGAATATGAGGAAGTACACACGATTAATTGCGCGTCAACAATAGAAGATGTATGGTGTTTGCTGGTAAATCATGCAGACGATCGGATTATGAAACCAAAAAGGCTTCAAGATCGCGAGAATGCCGGAATCTGGTCATTGAAGTATTCGTCTAGGAGGACTTCATCGACTTGCGGTCCTACTTATGAGATAGCTCGTGTGAGTCCTTGGCCCCTCTCCTTATCAACAGACTTCTCTAATCCCTAATTAACTATAGTGGATCCCTGAGTTCGGCACAGAAGTCGGATTAAACTTGGGGCAGACTTTTCAAAAAGATGGCGCGACTACAGACGATATTTTAACTATTCTTTCCACTTTGTGGAATAGAGCAAATGATGTTAGGTGTTCACCTGACGATAGACTCTCTTTCACTATGTATGTTGTTGAAATGGGTCTAGGAGGTTGGCGGCCAGGAGCGTTAGAACTGAAGAAGTATAATCATGTAAAGCTCGCGTGGGTTAGAGATCCTGTTAACCCATCTGTTACGCGGACTATATGCTGGTCTACCGTTGATCATAACAAGCTTCGACGGCTTAGAATCGAGAGAGAACAACGTTCAAGGTAAATGATCCCAATAATTTATTCCATCACTTATAATTAATAAATAAGCTAACAAGCGGCTCATATAGCTTGAGCTACGCACTCTCCGTGGTTCCAACGTTAGTTCTATGCTTAACTACCATGTTCACAATTAGAGCAATAAGAGATAACGCCTTTGAGGCTGGGTTTACGTCTTGTGATGAGGTGCTTCACCCTGAAACACTCGAGGAGGGCGTTAACTTTGTAGAGTTGCGCTGGAAAGAGGAGTTTATGAGTGATGATAAGTATATTATGCCAATGAATTACCATAAATTTATTAATCTTTGGAACGAGGTGCGAATGGTATTGGGATCTCGATCTAGCCTCCGTCCCTACTCAGTTCGTGTTGGCGCGGTGGGTAGATTGGATGGTAAGCAGCCTCTGAATTGGAGTACCTTCTTGCCTCTAACCGTTTATCCCTAGGATGTCTTCAACCGGCACTTCGAAACTTTATAGTATCTCATTCCACCGAGGTATTTGAGCGAAGCTATCAGCCAGTTAGACTGCGTGCGAACTTGGCGAATATCGCATTCGGCGATAAAGCAAGGCATGACACAGCGCTTTGGGAAGCTATCTCTAATAGCCTGCATAATCGAGACCCAAACGCGCCTACACGTCTAACTAAAAAGGAAATTGATCAATTTGAATCAAGAAAAGATATAACAGAGCTTCGCAAGGAGCTGAAATACATCACAGCCAAAGAAGGGTCATCTAGTCAAGAAGCAAAGAAAGTCTCATCGCGAATCAGATATACTCTTGACTGCCTAGAGAGACTAGAAATTCAGGAAAAACGCCGCAAGTACTTTGAGGAAGCAGATAAGCTACGTGCAATGAACAAATCAACGGCACATCTTAAGCAAGAGGTGCAAAATTTAAAAAGAAAGAGGTTCGGAAACAGCAGTGCCTATGCCGCTAAGCTGGCTAGTCTTTTATTCCAAACGAATATCACTTCCGCTCTAGCCGATCGTCTTGTCGCTTTTATAAGCGGAGCAAGCGTACTGAACAAGATTGGAGATGTTCTTCATTTCAGGAATGAATCGAAGGAACCCGCGCGATGTCTCTTTGGCTGTGGAACCTTCTTTAACACGTCAGCGCTCACAAGACATGTTCGCCATCTACACATGCATATCTTCAAGGCCCGGTTCTTGTGCCCCGAGTGCAAGCGGATGAACCTTGGAGATGTGGTGATTGAGGCAAATCCCTGTGCCTGGAGTAGCCATGTTCGAAGAGTCCATGGCGCGGTTCACACCCCAAACCTAGAGTCTCTACCGGATGTTCTCTGCCTCTTATGCGACCAACAATACAAGCAGAGAGGGTTCTCTCGCCACCTGAACACTCATAGTGAGCTATTTGACGAGCCAATCTCATGTCCAGCATGTCTACAAGAGGGCAGGAAGGTCGAAGTCGAGGGAATGGGAGGCTGGATCACCCACGTAGCAGACGTTCACGGAGGTGACAGAGTTCTCGGAGCCATAGAGGTCTACAAGACCTCATTTTCAGATGCTGAAACCGCCCCAATAGACATAAACCCTGCCGAGGCGCAACACAGAAAAGAGCTTGCGAGAAGACGACAAGTGAAAGCGGCTCATATAGCTTGAGCTACGCACTCTCCGTGGTTCCAACGTTAGTTCTATGCTTAACTACCATGTTCACAATTAGAGCAATAAGAGATAACGCCTTTGAGGCTGGGTTTACGTCTTGTGATGAGGTGCTTCACCCTGAAACACTCGAGGAGGGCGTTAACTTTGTAGAGTTGCGCTGGAAAGAGGAGTTTATGAGTGATGATAAGTATATTATGCCAATGAATTACCATAAATTTATTAATCTTTGGAACGAGGTGCGAATGGTATTGGGATCTCGATCTAGCCTCCGTCCCTACTCAGTTCGTGTTGGCGCGGTGGGTAGATTGGATGGTAAGCAGCCTCTGAATTGGAGTACCTTCTTGCCTCTAACCGTTTATCCCTAGGATGTCTTCAACCGGCACTTCGAAACTTTATAGTATCTCATTCCACCGAGGTATTTGAGCGAAGCTATCAGCCAGTTAGACTGCGTGCGAACTTGGCGAATATCGCATTCGGCGATAAAGCAAGGCATGACACAGCGCTTTGGGAAGCTATCTCTAATAGCCTGCATAATCGAGACCCAAACGCGCCTACACGTCTAACTAAAAAGGAAATTGATCAATTTGAATCAAGGAAAGATATAACAGAGCTTCGCAAGGAGCTGAAATACATCACAGCCAAAGAAGGGTCATCTAGTCAAGAAGCAAAGAAAGTCTCATCGCGAATCAGATATACTCTTGACTGCCTAGAGAGACTAGAAATTCAGGAAAAACGCCGCAAGTACTTTGAGGAAGCAGATAAGCTACGTGCAATGAACAAATCAACGGCACATCTTAAACAAGAGGTGCAAAATTTAAAAAGAAAGAGGTTCGGAAATAGCAGTGCCTATGCCGCTAAGCTGGCTAGTCTTTTATTCCAAACGAATATCACTTCCGCTCTAGCCGATCGTCTTGTCGCTTTTATAAGCGGAGCAAGCGTACTGAACGAGATTGGAGATGTTCATCATTTCAGGAAGGAATCGAAGGAACCCGCGCGATGTCTCTTTGGCTGTGGAACCTTCTTTAACACGTCAGCGCTCACAAGACATGTTCGCCATCTACACATGCATATCTTTAAGGCCCGGTTCTTGTGCCCCGAGTGCAAGCGGATGAACCTTGGAGATGTGGTGATTGAGGCAAATCCCTGTGCCTGGAGTAGCCATGTTCGAAGAGTCCATGGCGCGGTTCACACCCCAAACCTAGAGTCTCTACCGGATGTTCTCTGCCTCTTATGCGACCAACAATACAAGCAGAGAGGGTTCTCTCGCCACCTGAACACTCATAGTGAGCTATTTGACGAGCCAATCTCATGTCCAGCATGTCTACAAGAGGGCAGGAAGGTCGAAGTCGAGGGAATGGGAGGCTGGATCACCCACGTAGCAGACGTTCACGGAGGTGACAGAGTTCTCGGAGCCATAGAGGTCTACAAGACCTCATTTTCAGATGCTGAAACCGCCCCAATAGACATAAACCCTGCCGAGGCGCAACACAGAAAAGAGCTTGCGAGAAGACGACAAGTGGATCGCAAGAGAAAGGCAGGTAACGCTGTACCATCGGGTCCCCTCCCATATAAACGGGCGAAAACGGACTTATCACAACCTTACGCACATGCTAGTGGTGACTCGGATTGGGAAATCTCATCACCGGACCCTCACGCGGATGAAGAGTTCTGGGTTGATGGAAGGGAGTAGTCAGCCTGGCTGTTTTGAAAGAGACCAGACCCGTGACTAGAGATGGGTGATGAGTATAAAAGGGACCGTTCCCGCCCTTGAAGCTTAGCAAGAACTCAAACCTTTGTTCAATCTTACCCATAACTTATCATTCCCGGCTTACCTTTGCTTAACCAACCTCCCTTCTACTCTTGTCGACAGAGTGCTCTTACCCTTCCGTCCATAAAGGGAGCTTGAACGTCCGTACCGGACTCCCCTCATTGCTCTTCTCCGCGTTCATCGTCTTCAGGCGAACGCCAACTTCACGATGGTGAGAATGGATCGAATTACTTTGGAGAAGAATTATTCCTGGACGTCCCCCGCTCGCCACAGTTCATTACGACGATCCTTTGTCTCCGCGAAGGAGTCTTTCGCACCCCCAGCCGGGTCATCACCTATCAATGCAAGGCACTACGATGCTGTTCCCGGCATTGACCCGCAAAGCTCTTGCGAACATCTTCAGTCCGTCCTAAAAAATGGTGTCGGAGGCTCCAACTTGGATTCAGGAGATATGATATCGAGAATTGTTAGCCCAGAGGCTGACTTGGAAGGTGCTACAATACGTGTGGCGGACGATGAAGAGACCACTGGGAGGATCCGACGGAGTAATCAGAAAAGAAAGTATAATACAACAAGAACTACTGGCTCTGGCGAACATCGTATTCAGAAGAAGCGCGCCTCGGTTAGCGGAAGACAGGTTTTTGAGTACTCACGTTTAGGAGCGATCCGGGAAGGTGTCGACGGACGCATTCAGTTCAAGATCTGTTGGAAGCCAACTTGGGGCACTCTTGAGGACCTCCGGGGAAGTCGGGCACTGAAAGAAGCTGAGGAGCTCATCATCAATAAGTATGACAAAGATACGTGGGATGAGGAAATGAATAAGTCTGGTCGTCTTGCTTTATCTACAAGATCGAGTAGATAACATAAATAAAAGCCTGATAGGCGCTATCTTATGTTTTTGACTTCGCAGACAGTTTCTCCTGCCGCCGTCCACTTTTCAACATGAGTTTTGATTGTCAACCTGCTGTCAAGCCAGATTTACAGCCAGCATATGGCTTTTTCTGGGTGTTATACGGTATCACCATACCATAATGGCAACACAACTTCACGGGGCGGGTGCAATTACTTGGGACTGGTTCAGTGGATCCAGTGCCATTCGCCGCACATGATCAAAATTGATCACCCTCACAGGCACGGCGGGAAAAAAGCGAACTCCTAGCACATGCTTCAGCCTAGGACTGTCAAACAGGCTATAGTTAGGCTTTTCGTCTACTGCTAATAAAACGGTTGTTTTTGAGATTCATCTGGATCACAGCGTGCGAAACAAGATACTCGCAGTTTTTACGCAGCTTTCGTCTTGCTAGAGGGCTTTCTCATTCAAACGGCTACGTTCATCTGTCCTCACTGTCTGTTTCAACTACAACTCAGGCTGAACTCCGTTATGGAGCAAAGCTTCACTAACGACTTCTTATCTGTACTATCCATTTATCGACCAAACTTCGACAAAAGGATGATTCCATAAGAATCATGAGTCTGGGTCAAATCCGAGACGGAGCCGATTAAATATTCTGCATATGCATTCTACCTTGACAGGATAGGTTGCGATCTCGGCTCGGAGGGAAAATGGTGCTCCCCGCTTGTGGAGATCATCGCAACTTTGGAAACAGATGTAATTCAGTAGGGACACCCTTTTTAAAATACAATGTATTTAATAGATTTGACATCGAAAGATACCCACGAGCGAATGCCCACGTCTGTATCCATGAGCGGGTTCATTGCAGTAGTGAGGGTCTGCACGTCTCATTACCGATACTGCAAATGGCCGCTCCATCCCCGCAGGAGTCAACTCACCTCAGTGGCATCGCCAACTCGGCCACCGTATGCCACCGTCTCGCAAACCCCCGAAATCGACAGACTCTTTGCCAGCCTCATGTCATTGCCCCTTCTCGCTTTCGCCGACACCGTTGCTGCTGGTGCAGATCTTCTTCTCGGATGTCGTGATTTCGTTGTCCACGTTGGTACCTATAACTTCGTCGCTGCTGGCGCTGCCGGCGCCGAAATAGTATCTAAAGACGCGTGCCTCGAGGTCCGACTTGAAATTGCCGCCCTCCTTCGCCTGGTGGCGGAAGTAGACCCGCTTCACCCACTTCCACCCTTCAATGCCTAAGAAGAAGAGCGCAGCCTCAATGAAGACAATGCCCCACTCCCAACTGATACCGGCGTGCTTGAAGACGACTGTGTTGAGCTTGGGAATATAGATGAGAGGGAACGTAGTGACAAAGCCGGCGACAATGGCCCAGAACAGGAACTTGTTGCGCCAGACGTCAACAGTCCACTGCGTAAAGTACTTCTTGCTCTTGGGCTGCATGCGGAAGAAGGAACGGCGCATGTTGACCATCTCCCACGCTAGAAAGAGCGCGAACCAGGTGAGACATGCAAACGTCGTGGCCCGAGCGCGGAAGACGACCTCACAGTCTGCAGAGTATTCGTTGTTACAATTGTCGCCAATGTCTGCAGCACCGTTTCCGAAGCCGTAGAGAACCAAAACAAAAGAAGCCAGGCAGAGTGCGGACATCCACAGGCCGTAGACAACCATGTCGAGGAGAAGCTCCGGTGTGAAGACACCTTGTTTCAACTGAGACATGGTCAGACGGAGCCTTAGTAGGACTGGAGGGTAAAACTCACATTTTGAGGCGGACGCTGCATGATATCCGGCGCAGCAATCTCGAAGCCAAGTCCCATGTCAGGCATGCCAGAGGTGACCATGATGATCCAAAGGATTTCAACCGGCGCCAACGGAAATACTGAGATGCCGCGGCTGTCTTTGAATGCGAGACCAATTAACAGTGTGCAAGCCTGGGCAATATTTTCGGCCAAGACGTGCAGGATGAACTTTTGGATGTTGTCAAACATACGGCGGCCTTCCTCTACAGCGTTGAGGATAGAGGCAAAGTTGTCATCAGTTAGCACGATGTCTGAAGCCTCCTTAGCAACATCGGAGCCGGCTTGTCCCATGGCGATGCCGACATCAGCACGTTTCAAGCTAGGCGAGTCGTTGACTCCGTCACCAGTCATGGCGACAAACGCCTTTCGACGGTGGAGAGCTTCAATCATGCGAACCTTAGTCTGCGGCGCGCAGCGAGCGACGACAAGTGGGAGAAGAGGGAGCTTGTCAATTTCCTGGTCCGTTAGTTTGTCAAAATCAGACGCGGCCATGACCATGGTCTTGGCAACGTTGGTGGCAACATTGTCTATTCTCGACGGCAAGATGCCTACCTCGAGAGCTATAGCACGTGCAGTTTCTGGGTGGTCACCAGTTAACATGTGGACACTGATTCCGGCCTCATGACACATCCGAACAGAGGGAGCAGATTCAGGACGGGGAGGGTCGTAAAGACCAATTAGGCCACGAAACGTGAGATCTATTTCAAAGCTTCCCCTCTCGAATTCGGCTTCATTCTCCTTGATATGACACATGTTTGTCTTGCTAGCGAATGCAAGGACACGAAGACCAAGACGGGCCATGGCTTCCATGTTGTTGAGAATATCGACCCTGACATCTTCAGATAAGGTTTTGGTTTCATCGCCGACGGCGTAACTGGAGCAGCACGTGAGAACTCGCTCCACGGCACCTTTAGTAAATAGCCACTGCCTCTGTGTCGCCATGTTCACAAAAATGACAGACATCTTCTTCACATCTGAGTCAAATGGAAACTCAGCCTTTCGGTGCCACTCAGCACCATCTCCTGTTGACAGACGGAGTCGGTTCCAATTAAAGCGGGACGAAAATACCTGGATTGCAATCTCAGTAGGATCACCTCGTCCGTGCCATTCGCCATTAACTTGGTTCACAGAGGCGAGATTGGCAAGTGAGGCAACATTGAGATACTCCCTGAGAGTGGGATCTGTGCCGACAACTTGGTGGCCATCGATGGGCTCACCATCGGTACCGGCACCACGAAAGTCAATGTCTTTTGGCTGGGCGTTCTTAAGGCAAAGCTTGCCAACAGTAGGGTTCAGAGGTTCGCTAGTTGTACGAACCGAATAGGTACCGCGGCCAGGGACCCATGCCTTCTTAACGATCATGTTACCTTGGGTGAGCGTACCCGTTTTGTCCGAGCAGATATCTACTAGCAAGTTAAGCGATTGACAAGGTGAATGGGTGTAAGACGCGTACTAGAAACCGCACCAAGTGCCTCGAGGCTCTTAAGGTTGCGGACAATAACATGACGCTGAACCATGCGCTTCGTGCCAGCTGCCATGGTAATTGTCAACACCACAATCAAGGAGGCGGGGATCATGGAAAGGCCGGTAGCAACGGCGTAGATGATGACTTCCTGTTTGGTGTCGAACTTGTTTGCACCAAGTACGATAACGGCACAAACCACAGCCGTGCCGAGAAGCAACAAAGCCAGCTTAGAGAGCTTCTTTTGGAGTGGGGTGCCGACATTCACACCGAGAAAGCGTCCAACAGCATCGGAAAAGGTCAAAGTCCAAGCCTGAAGCCAGAGACCAAAGGTAGTTGTACCATCCTCGCGTTTTTTGGGCTGGCGACGACGGGACACCTTATCCCGTAGGGCAGCAGCTATCTGACCAATCTCGGTGTACAGACCAGTGGCAAAAACGACACCCCGAGCTCGGCCCTTGGTCACGGTCGAGGAGCTGTATGCGACGTTGAGACGATCACCCGGACCTGTGTCTTCTGGGTAAGTTGGAGCCGTTTCCTTGCGCACAGGAATGGACTCGCCAGTGAGGAGGGCTTCATCGGTCTCGAAGTTGATGGCCTCAACCAGGCGGATGTCTGCCGGAATAGTGTCACCAGTCTTGAGATCGACCACATCTCCAGGCACGATCTCGGCCGTGACAATGGTCGCATTGTTGCCGTTGCGGATTGCTTGGGCAGTAGGAGAACTAAGAGAACGCAGGGAGTTCATGGTCTTCGCCGCCTTGAGCTCCTGGAAAAAGCCAACTACAATATTAAGAATGATGACGGCAGAAATGACGCCACCCTCGATCCAAGACTGGATGCCAAACGATGCAGCCATGGCCAAAATCAGGACCTACGATTAATATGTTAGTGACATCAGAACGGCGCCTTATACACCAACAGGTGAAGCATGCCGTGACGCTGCGCTCTTTGCGTGGTCCCTCTAAAAGCCTGGTCAATAAACTCACCAAGGTCAAAGCATTGGCGATTTGGCCGATGAAGATTCTCACAGGCTGCACACCCTTTTCTACGCCAAACTCATTGCGACCGTGCTCCTCCAGTCGCGCCTGTGCCTCTTCGTCGGACAGACCAACTTCAACATCTGCTTTGAGCTCTTTTACGATCTGTTCGATTTCGAGAGCGTGAGCAGGCGCCGACATGGGCCTATTAGACTGGCCCGAGACATGCTTCCGTACCACCTCGTTCTGATTGCCGCACATTGCCAGAAAGGCTAGAGTTAAGTGTAGAGTGACGGTAGATGCTCGCAGACATGCAATGCAAAGCTGTTGATTTGCGATGAAGCTGACAATGTAAGTTGTCCTTGTCAAGTACCGGGCGAACAAGTTGTAGTAGTAAGATGGACTATAATGGGAGAAATTGTGAACCAAACCAAAGTGAGCAAGAAACCGTAAAATCTTGGCCCGCTCACCGCAGGCCGCCACCCACGGCAAGTTTATTAAAGCTCACACTGACGAGTCTTTGGTGGAGTTAGAGCACCCCCACCGATGGCAATCGACATGCCGAGCAGGCAAGCCACTCCATCTGAGTTAGCGAGGTTTCTGACGAACGGGGATTCGCGGCAGCGTCAGTAAGAAAGAGGTTTTTTTTTCCTTTGTAAAATAAGAAATCTGTCCAATAAGAAACGGAGTCCACTCTCACGCTCCACGAATCCTATAAGCTCGAAACTTAGGTTGAGGTGGCAGATGGGAAATTACGCCCGTTGGCCGCAATACGATGGAGAATTTACGTGCTGGCACTGCGGCCGCAATGGGTGGGTTGCCCGAAGTTGCGGCAATTCCACAAGCCACATGTGTCCACTAACGCAGCAACGGCGAATCCTGATCAATGGGATCAATAGGTGAGCCCTTTCATTCGCCTGATTGCTATTCTGGCTAGCTATGCATGGCACTTTGTGGGCTCAAGCCATTGTTTTTGCCAGATGAATGTTCGAAGCGAGGTGGATCTTTGGATTCATGATTGTGTCTATGAGCTATGTCCTCACAATACATGACACGTGGAACTGTCCCAAGGTTGAGTCACATTGACAATGGCCACTCGAGTTAGTACTGGAAACACAACTACAAGGGCATCGAGCAAGCGGAGCGAGCCCAGCAGGGTTGCGATTCTGCAAGTGACCAGGTGTTGTAGTATGGCAGCGACGGCAAGCAACAAACCAGATTTTAGAGGCTGCTAAATGAGAAGCATAGGAGGCGACTAGGTAGGATGATATCATCGCTAGACCACTTCCTAGAGAGTGATCCAGCTTATTACCAACAGGTTAACTGACTTCACGGCACAATCCTTTCCCACGCCACCCTTCAAAGTCGTAGCGACGACATTGCCCATTCTTCTCTTTTCAAGTCCACAATCCCGCTACGCTGGCCATACTCGTCTAAAAGCATAATGGCCTTATCAAGAGTGTATGGTAGCCCGCGGTGGCGCCCGCAGATCTTCATGACACAGATAATAAGCTTACTGGAGGTACCGAACACGCCGCGTAGGGAAGTCGCGACGTCAGGGTATCCCAGGCTAAGGCCAACATCACCACTACAGGATATCAGTTTTCAGCTTTGTTCACACTTATAATAGTTGCAAGGAACGTACTATGCAGATGTGACTTCGAATAGGACCGTCCAAACTGTAAACAACTGCCAGTGTCAGTGCTCGCCACCGAGGCTAAGTGGGAGAACGCTGCGTCAAGGCCAATCAACTCCTAGGGACACCAATTTCTCAAATGATAAACTAATTGTTGAAATGGATTGTCATTCCGGAATTAGGTAATGCCAGTCACGGTCAGCCTGACGACTACTGCCCGATCGCCATGTAGCCCCAGATTGGGGTTTAAACCTGTGTAGCAGACAACATCACAAGCTTCTGCTTTCGTTCTCTTCAGCTTAGTTGTTCGTAGTCAGTCCACTGCATCCCCAGCGCTTTAGACCTGTAGCTTGCATTATGCCGTGACCCCACTTACTGGTGGAATAGTAACAGTGTGTGGCGGTCATCATTCCACCAGTAAGTGGCAATAAGTATTAATCGACTTCAAAAGCAGAGCTAATCCAATTAGGCCACTTGCCAGTTTTCGGTTCGAAATTTGCCTCGTAAGTTGTAATTAAGGTGTTTAAAAAGAATAAAGAGCTTCTGCCATTTACAGGCAATCAGCTCCCTTATTATAGCGTCTTACCATATTCTAGTTGCGGCGTTGTTGTGAGACGATTGGCGCACTGGGTGGATGCACCACGACACGTATCCTTGGCAGGTTCATTCTCGGTACGTCTGGCGAAGTTTGAGACAGTCAATTCACGTCTGTGGTGCATGAACTGCCACTAAGATTCTGTCTCAAGAAGGTTGTACATGCAGTCGACTAGACAGATTGCACAGTGTGAACAATACCGGTATCACTTGAGTGAACATCGGAGGGGTGAAAGAGACAGTGGGCAAAAAGTCCCAGAAGAGATACCTATCACAGATGTGAGGTTATGGAAGTTGAGTGAGAAGATTGTTAGGGAGGCAAGGGGCTGGCTGGCTGGATTAGCTGGAATACATGAAGTTCTTGGAAGAAGTCCCGTAGACCTATGTTCTGTTGCATCTTATCCCAGCAAATTTCCAGTTCTTTGCCGCTTTGAGTTTGGCCAGCATCCTTTTCTCTCCATCTGCCTCTCAAGCTCTGATTCAAACCCCTATCTTGGTCATTTCGAATTCTTCATTCTTACCCGAAAGCTAGCAGTCTCTGTTATTATTGCCTATTTGACACCTTATACGCATGTAACACGCTGCAAAACTACTGCTAGCCTATAATCTCATTATACGGAGGCAGAGTCTCCAAAATTATGCTTGGTTAGCTGCAGTAGTCAAATCACAGACTTGCAGGGGAGAACTCACATGATTCGACAAGCTACAACAGCTGCCCATACTTTCGCTCCTCTGCGATTGTTGTGAATTAATGCACTCAGTATGCAATGGCAATATCGGCGGCTGTGGGTATGATACCTGGAGCGGTACCTGAAGGTCGATTTTGCTCGTGTAGACACCGCCAAAGGAAACTTGGAGACGCAATGAATATGACCGTGCAATGAGATGGCTGCAGAAACTCGGTTGCAGCGTACGAGGTGGCATTATGGGCACACAGATCGATGTTTGCCACTTCCCTGCCTGTCGTCTCATAGATGATGCGTCTTCTGAGCAACATGATACCACACCGCTTGTTGAGTTTATATTCAAGTCTCGGAGGCAGGCAGACGGTGACGAATATCCGGAAGGGGCAAACCGTTCGTCGTGCTCGGCTGGGTTACAAGTGGACATATCTGCGGGTGAGAATGCCCACTGCAGACCCTGGAACTTTTGGCTGCTTAGTCGTAGCAAGTCCTGGTGCATTTGGACGGACCCATGACTGGTGAGTTGACTCTGTGCAGGCACGCATACCATCTTTTTGGAAGAAAAGTATGTCTTTGCACAGATCGTGGGAAGGGCCGTAACTGTTACGCATCGCAGCCGGTGGAATGCCAGAAGATCACACTCGATAGTAATACTTAGCTGACATTCAGTGGAACCTCGGGCGACATCCGATGAATACGCCAGCGGCTGTGGCTCCCTCACGCTGATGATGGCAAGTCCCAGGCGACTATGAAGAACGTTCTTCCAGATGGGCCTTTGTATACTAAGTGTAAACTCTCCAGGGAAGCTGTCAGTATCTATAGGAGGGGGGACCTCGATGTAAGGAAGAAACTTAATCGGTTTGGTCACTGTAGATGTGGTCGGCGTGCCCGCAGTCCCAGCCTTTCCCGGCTTGTAGGTCAAAACAACCTGAAGGAAGTACAAGATTGAAATATCTGGAATCGGTGTAGGGCTCCAGGAGGATAATAAAGCATTATGGCGGTTGAAAGAAGGGGGTAATGCATGCCGTGAAAACGGAACGAACTCAGTACCATCGGGCATAACGAAGAAGAAGGGGATGCTGTATATGTGCTCGGATCCCTCATTGTCGATTCCGGGATCCTGTGAAACAGAAGGATAACACGCGACATCTAATAACTGCGGCATGTCAGTTTGCCATAGACTGTGACGATATCTGATCATAGAAACGGACCGCTCTGGAAAAGGTATGTGGCGTCGCCTCATCGATGGTAACAGTTGTGGTTTCTTCAGCTGTACTGCCATTAGTAGACCCCACTGGTACAGTAAATACCACAAAAGGGTGAATGAGAACATAAACTTACCTTCAAGATGCACCTCAAATCTGCTGAAAGATAGAGGATGTCTTGATGACACACGAACTCGACCTTCCAAGATGTCAGCTGGTCGTACGCATCCTCCATTCTCTAACTGTGCCCCGAGAAACTCTATTGCCACGTCACTGTCGTCCTTAAGGAATCGCGAAGCTGGGTGCTCTGCCATGGTCCCCCGTCTTTCGTCTATGGCCCGATCTTATGCCAAGAGGGACGGGTTGTGCTGGGCTCTTCAAACTCCTCGTAATGCCCCGCGATGGGACTTATATTCTGAGGGGATCAAGGGCTTTATTAAGCTCCAAGTCGCCTCGCACACCAGCCAGGGCCCACCTTGGCGGGAGTTGGCAAGACATGGCTTTAGTGGGTATGCCTTTAGGCTGTTGCGTCTAAAAGAGCAAAATTATAGGTCTACTGAATTCCTTCTAGTAGCACTAATAGCAGCCTATTCTATGCGAGAGAGGCACGATCCTCTCTCTAAATGCATGCAAAATGCATCACGCCCCGATCGCCCGCCAATCCTCGTTAGGCAGTAGGCACAGACCATGCCTCACCACATCTTGCCACCCGGACAAAGTGGATATATCATCCCACAAAAGATCCCTCGAGACTGTTCCGTGTGTGCCTGTGTTGCGAGTCGATGCAAGGACGGCTGAAACCCCGGCAAAGTGCGGGTAAAGTGCGGGTCTGCATTCTGTGAAGCGTTGTCGTGACTGGCTTGTGAAGAATCGATCGTCGTAAATGCAAGGCAGACTGATGAGAAATCAGGGCACCAAGAGGGGTGTCAAATTTCACGATGCCCCACTTGAGTTACTACCGGGGTTAGGTCCGTTATTGAGGTCAAAATTGATGATTGTATTCATTGACGCTTGTATCTTCTGTATGTTCTCGTCTGGCGGGGAGACTGTGTCTCCTTGGCCAGGTTGCACCGCCACACGCCACTATTGCTATAGCCGACTTTGCATTTTTAGCGCCGTTTTAATTGCACACTCTCCCGCCAATCTATCAAGGGGCGGAGTACAAGCCACCTGCCTCGCTGATAGCCTGTTCAATCTGATTACTGTGAATGTTATACTGTGCCTTTAGTCCGTTCACCGCAATTCGTAGGACAATGGGGCTGGTTTAGGAAACCTGTGGTGGGCAACGTTTCCCATTGGATTCTCCCTGGATCGTCTTGCCGAAGTCATACTGAAATATGCCGCCATTCCTGTCGCCAGGAGCACTGACAACGACGTCGCCTAGTGGGACATCTTGGTATGCACTTGGCGCACCGCCAGCGATGCCGACCATCAAACCCATTCTGACACCAGGGAAGCTGTGCAGCATATCTCTTGCAGCGAGTGCCACAGAGGATGTGCCGAATTCCCCATCTGGCAAGATAGCGATGACAACGTTGTGTTTTCCAATCCTGCCCAGTGTGTAATTGTTCCGTAGTTATAGCGCAGATCCAGCCGACAGTGGAGTCTTCAGAGTCAGGCATACCGACTGATGGAGCGTTTCAACGGGGACAAGTGAGATTGTATGTTCTTTAGTGTCTGGAGAGGGCTTGAAGAAGGGAGCGAGGGGGAGCGACACCTCGCCAATGCGAGTCCATGAGGAATATCGCACCGTCTGTGTAACCGGAGTGTCATCGCTCAGTTCGGAAGCTTTGGTCAGACTTGATGTTCACCTCCTGCATGCATCTCGATCGACCTCGCAGTCTCCCGGCCGTTACTCCCTTGGGTCGGACGGGAATCAGGGACCTTGCTGTTAAGCCCTGAGAAACCAATCATTTCGCCCTTTTTTATGACAGGACGGCATCTTACCAGACAGCAATGACCGGAAGAGCGATTCGCGCCGCCGATGTGAATGCCAACTTGCTCGAGTCGACCGGGAATGAGTAATCACTAGTCAGTTACAACTCAGTCCTCTCAGTTGTGTGAGGCTGTCTCAACCAATATATAGCCCTCTCGCGCGCCATCATGCGACGACATCACAATGGTTTACCAGTCACGGTGACTGGGCAATGTGAGCCAGGGGATATCCTGCTTCCCCCCGTGCAGTCGCATCTGTCTCGAGTAAAGGTCCGGTGGCGCACTGTGTAGTGACCCTTATCGCGCACTGTCCGGTTTTAATCACGTCAATTCAGGGTCAGCCTATCCAGCAACAAACGCGTCGCGACATGACCGCCCGCTCATATCGCACTTGTCTGGCTTGTATCTCGCGGAGCAGGGTGACTTAGCTATCACAGGCTGTCATGTTACGACCAGCATCGAGAAGGAGCTTGACTTGAAGCGACCAGCCTATATACACAGCTCCAAGCCATGGAATTTTCCGTGCGGTTGCGCATGCCCCCCCTACCAGTCCGTGTTCGGTGGGGAGATCATTGTCGTACAGTCGCATGAACCTACCTATTGTCTCGACAGCCTGCTAGATGTTCTTCAAGCTCTTGCCAGGTTTTTTGCCTAAGTCTTGCTTCCAGGCCCGGTATCTCGCATGCGAAGTCGTCTGCGGTTTTACGATTGGCAACCTTGGATACACGTGCCAATGAATGGGAGGGCTCTGGCGTCGTCCGCCGGGTATCCTCGTCTCCTGCGCCGCGTTCATATTCTGCGAGAGCGACTTCCGCGTCAGCAAGAAGTACATACCACCGCCAAAAAATTGCAATGGCCAGTGTGGCAGATCTTTGATAAGCAGCTTGAATACAGAGCTAAGCTACCCAGCCCACTGACGTGCAATTCCGCCACCGCGAGCAAAGCAGCTTGAATACAGAGCTAAGCTACCCAGCCCACTGACGTGCAATTCCGCCACCGCGAGCGAGGTCTGAGCCGACTTACCAAGATATGCCGTCCCCGAACATTTACTGTCACCGACACAACAGTCCCCTTTCATATCTCAGGGACCTCGGCCTTGCCCGCCCATCTTACTACCCTTCCTTCTTCCCATTTGGTGTCTTCAGAACGCCGCTCCAATACGAGAAATGCCAGCCGAATACATTTAGACATGGCAAAGGTTTATCGCTGGTATGAGGACTATCGAAATACAACAGCTGAGCAATCTCAAGTCTAGTCAAACGGCTCCGCATCGTTGTACCAGCAGCCCCAGTTGCACCAGCAGCGAAGCGCTGCCGTTCTATCGATGATATTTGCCCAAGCTACTCTGACTCAGAAGATACTGATGGCTCTGAAACCTCTTATGACTCCACAAGAAGTTTTGAGGGCCATTAGCCTGGGACCCAAAGAGAATAGTTTGCCTCCTGTGGTATAAGATTCAACGCCTGAGGCTGCCAACCCTTGCTATTCTCAGCCTGCAATCGACGTAGATGGGAATGTCACATCAGCAGAAAGAAGTCCTTCACGAAGGAGAAAGCGGACCGATAGGAATGGGAGGAGAACATGCCCATTGTTGCTAGAGGTAGTAGCTTGTCCCATGTCGAGAAGAAACGCACTTCAGCCGGTAAAACACCAAGACGCAAAGTTTTGCGCGGTCAGCTGCTTATTTCGAGAGCAAAGGGAATTATAAGCGAACGTTTGAAGTACGAAGCCGTTTTAGAGGCCAATCTGGGTGGCTGTACGGAGGGAGGAAGAGACGCGCCATTTGGCTCTCTCAGTGGAAGGAACTAGGCAATCTAGTCAGAAAGTTATCAATTAGGCAGCTTGTTTCATCTTATTTATCTAGCATAACGTGTTCTTGACCGTGCTGTACATGCTATGAAAGCCAGAATCGTCCACCAGCATCTGATAGCCGGCTTGACCATGATATTCCTGTTCACTTAAGCTGGAGACAGCAGCGGAGCGGCAGGCAGGTGTCGGCACTCATGGTCATGTCCTGTTCCTGCCACAAAAGACTGCGCTAGTCGCCAAGCAGCCATCGAACGACCAGGTAAACGGCGGCGATGGCGCCATATCCTCATGAGGAAAGATATTCAAACAGGCCAGACCCTAGACTCCTTTTCAAGCATGCCCTCCATGATCAGTCCTCTTCGGCGCTTCGGCATTCCGGCGACCCCACTCCGCATCCATCTCGGCCGGCCACCCACTTTTCTCGGCCACCCATCATCTGCAACGCCCGGAGATCCTTGAGCAAACTGAAGGCTATGCATGGGCGGCGCTTAGAGTCGTAGCTCTTCAATGTCCTAAAAATAGAGAGAGACGGTCTAAATACGACGAGGGGGTGAATAGGAACCAAGTCTCAGGGCTATGGTTGTTGCCCACCCTACAGGTGTCAACTTCCCCGTGGGACGGCGCTTACCGGCCGCCGGTCATTGGTACACTCACTCTCGGGGCCGCGTAATCAATCCCATTCAAGCGGCCAGTTTGAGATAATGCTTAATACAAAAGGGAAGCATGGTCCCCAAGCAACTCTATGTACAAACTTCAGGAGCAATATCACCATTCTCATTTAACTAAGCCCATACCATCCGACCTATTCCTCCGGCATAACATGGCTACTAACCTTCGCTCTCGCGATGTCTCAGGTATTAATCATGTTTGGGACGCTGGGGCACAGATGGACCCCAAACGGCGCACTCGATCAAAGGTGAACAAAAATTTTCAGGTGGGCAAAAATCCGACCTATTCCTCCGGCATAACATGGCTACTAACCTTCGCTCTCGCGATGTCTCAGGTATTAATCATGTTTGGGACGCTGGGGCACAGATGGACCCCAAACGGCGCACTCGATCAAAGGTGAACAAAAATTTTCAGGTGGGCAAAAAAAATCGTCAAAATGGGTTATGCGTCAAGGCCAATACCCTTTTCCGGCGCTATAATGTTGACATAGCGCTTGTCATGAAGACATCAGACGGTTACATTGGAGGGTATGAGTCAAAACCTGGGCTGGCTCAAGAGCTTCTTCGGAATGAGGAGGTTCCCTTACTCCTACCGCACATTATTGAAGAATGCAATTACCAAAAGCGACGGCTACGCATGCCCACACATAGTCAACCATCCGTGTCGCCATCATCTTCTGTTGCAGAAAGCCACCAAACGTTCTCGCCACACCCTCCAACAAGCTCAGTCGCTGCATCTGATAGCGCAGACAGTCGTCAAGGCAATACATGCCATGGCAGCCAATGTGACAAGAACACGCCCCTGGATTGCTTGGCAGAAGCTGCACTCCTCGCGTCATCGCATGCTGTTTCTGCGCGGGAACAACGAAATTTGGTACTCAAAGGGGACACAGACCTAGATG